GCTCACCGGCTGGGGAGATCTGCTGAAACACATTATTCACGGGCAGCCCCTCCTTCCGCAGCGACCAACACTCCACCAGGCTGCTGGTCTGGCTGGAGGCACACAGCAGCACCTGGGGACCCAGCAGACGGGTAGGTACATGGATGGGAGGGTTAGTGGACAGGTGGACAAGCGGGCTCTGCGAACCAAGCCCCAGGGGCCTCCCTCCCTTCCTCCTTCCTGGCCTGGTACCCAGCACTACTACCCCTTGTCCCCCAACCCCAAGAAATGCCTAGCTGTGGGCAGGAAGTAAGCGAGGGACTGGGAAGTGATTGCCCAGGGTGGGAATTGGGGCTGGATGGCGACCCCAGAGTCGCGACCACCACAGGACCCTCTGAGACACAAGGCGGCTTAGAGGCAGGACGGGGCATCCGTGTCCCCCAGGTCACCCCAAACGAGGACAGCAGGGATGGGCGCTGGGGGGGTGAGAGGAGGAGTGAGAGCAAGATGGCTGGGGGACATCGGCTAAGGGGAAGGAGGAGGAGGGGGAGGCCTGAGGAAGTGCTGGGACAGGTGCCCCCTTGGCCGCCCACAGCCCGCAGCACACCTGCTCTGACATGTCCCGGGCCAGGAACTTGAGGTGCGTGATGGCCGGGAACTTGTCCCTGCGGTTGAGGTCGGTGGTGCAACGCATGAAGAGCGAGGGCAGGATCTCCGTGTCCACACGGCACTTCTCGCTGACCACGCTCACGCACACCTTGTAGAACTGCACGGGCGAGGCGCTGCTGCCGTCCGCTGCCGCCACCACGATGTTGCCGCCGCCCGTGAAAGCGATGTCGGCCAGGGCCACGCGGCCGCGCAGCCGGCACAGGCTCTCGGTGGCCGTGAGCAGCTGCCCGCTGGGCTTGAGCAGGGACACGGTGACCAGGCCACTGACGGTCACGGCGATCCAGCCCTCCATGGGCTTGCCCCCAAACAGCGTGAGCGACGGCGAGAACTTGACCCGAGAAAACTTCTCCCCAAAGCTAGAGGCACCCGACTGGGGAGGGAGTGGGAGATGGGAGTGTGAGGGGTTGGGCCCAGAGCCCCACACCCCCAGCAGATGCCTGTCAGACAGAGCGAGAGGCCCAGCAGGGTCCCCTAGGGGCTGCACCTCTGCAAAGTCGGACACAGGAAGATGGCCAGGGCCACCTAAGCTACCCTGCGTGTGTGTGTAGCTGGGAGCTCAGGGGGCTGGCATCTGGGCTGACCCGGGCTCGGGGGGTGTGGGCTGGTGGGCCTAGAGGGGGTAGCTGCTGTTCGAGCAAGGTGGGTGGGCTAGCTCAGATGGCAGCCAGCAGTAGAGTGGTGGCCTGGAGACACCAGTGCCCACTGACGAGCCTGACGGCAGACATGAGCGGGGTCAGGCCAGCAGGGAGGGGTACCTACCTTCTCCACATGCAGGGCTAGCTTTACGCCATTATGCAGCCAGGACAGGGCCACAATGGGGTCCCCATCCACCCTGCTGCCCACAAGGCTCTCCCAGCTGTTGGCCAGGTGGTCGGCCATGGTCCAACACTTGATCTGTCCGTCAGCATCCGCCGATAGCAGCCGGGAGCCTGTGGGCATTGGGCGGGGTTAGGAGCACCCGCTGGGACAGGAGAGGGGTCAGCCCCATGGGGTGCCTCTGCTGTCCCTCCTCCCCTGCCAACTCACCGGACTGGTCCCACTCCAGGCAGGTGATGGTCTCGCTGTGGCCGGAGCTGACTGAGTGCACGTCCCAGGGGTGCTCTGTGTCCAGGATGTGGATGGTACGGCTCAGGTCTGTGGGGGAGGAGGGGATGGGGCAGGGCTGAGCGAGGATGGATGGGGCAGGGCCGAGTGAGGGGGGACAGGGTTCTGTGCGGTGGACGGGGCAGGAGTGAGGGGGGTGATGGGTCAGGGGTGCCTGTGGGAGGACAGGCCAGGGTCTGTGGGGAGGCGCATAAGGTCCCAGCAATGACTCGAGGGACAGGCGGTCCCCAGCAATCAGAGCAGGCTGAAGCTATGACATTGTGCCAGGAGGGGCCAGTGACTCCAGCACACACAGCGGGCAGTGGCCAGGCGACCCCACACACGGGGCAACCCAGCCGTCACGGTCCGAGTTGGGGAGCCGGTCACGGTCCGAGTTGGGGAGCCGGGAGGAGCAGGCTGGGGGGCGCACCCTGGTCGTCGCTCCGCAGGTCGGTGGTGAAGGCAATGAGGTTGCGGCAGGACCAGGCGCAGGCCAGGGGCACCGACGGGCAGTGCGTGGTCTTGGGCCATTTTTCCCACTCGCAGACGTAGGCCAGGTCCATTGCCACAGCCAGTCAGCAGCGCTCAGCACGCCAGGCTGGGTGGGGGGCAGTGAAATAGGGGGGTGCAGGGTTAAATACACTTCACAGGAGGCTGGCAGGGCCTGGGGATGGGGTGCAGCTCCACTCACAGGGCCTGGCACTCCACGCAGGACCCCCGGGGGGCCCGAGCAGCACTTAGAGAGGGAGCCAGCGTCCCAAGACACCCCAAGGCGCTGAGCCCACGGAGCTCCTGAGGTGCCACCCCCAGACACCCCACCTTACCTCAGTGACGATGCACCCTGACGCCTCAGGCTCCGCCCCTGGACACCCCACGACCTAAGACCCCCCCAATCCCAGGGACCCCTCCCCACCTGCATGACCCCATCTCCTGACCCCGCAGATCTCATTCCCGTGCACCCCACGACCCCGGATCCAAGCTCTCAGATCCCCGACCCAGGGACCCCACTCACCTCCGTGACCCCACCTCGTGACCCCTCGGACCCCGCCCCGGGCACCCCACGACCCCAGGGACCCCGCCCACCTCCGTGACTCCGCCCCCCGACCTCGGGGTTCCCCCTCGGTGCCCGGGCAGTGCCCGGATCTTTCTCTATGTCGTCTTCCCGCCCCGACTCCGGCAGCCCTTGCGCGTGGCCGCGCCCCCTGACCCCGCGTGTCCCGCCCCCTGACCCTCACCGACGGCTCCGGGCGCAGGCGCCGTCCGTCCGCAGGCCGCTGCCCTCGAGCGCCCCGCTGCCCGTCTCCCAGCGCGCCCCGCGCCGCCCGCGTCGCCCGCGCCGCCCGGTGACGAGCGTGACGCCGAGGCCTCGGCCGCCGCCCGCACCCCGCTACCGCCACGGCTCCGGCACCGCCATCTTCCCGGGCTGCGCGCGCCGCTCCGGCTCCGCCCCACTTCCGGCCTCATTTGCATACGCCCGTGGAGTTCCCAGCAGGCATTTTCAAAAGTGTCTAGGATAGAGCAGGAATCACCCATAAACTTGATAACACCATCGAGTGAGGCGATACGATGTTGTGAAGTCCTGGTAAAGACGGATAAGCCAGAAGAGTAATTCAAAAATTGCACCGTGAGTGTAAAGAGTCGAGACGTCGGTGCTTTAAATATGGAGCAAGCAGAGCTGACACCCGTGCTCGCTTCGGCAGCACATATACTAAAATTGGAACGATACAGAGAAGATTAGCATGGCCCCTGCGCAAGGATGACACGCAAATTCGTGAAGCGTTCCATATTTTGCTCCCCTTTGTCCCTTAGGGGACGGCCAGACGAAATCTACCCGCGTGACGTGTACAACGTGGACCTGACGTCATGCGTAGTGAGTGGCGTCACAGCTGCACCCCACGCACCACCAGGGTCTGCAAAAATAAATGTACCCACACAGGCGCCTGCAAGACACCTCCCTGGGGCTTGGAAAGCAGGACATGGTGCATGCACCGGGCCCGGGTTACCCCAGAGCCCACGGGGAGCTGCGTTGTGCACCCGGGGCTCCCATGTCCGCGTCCACCCGGGACGCTGCCCCAACCCCTTCACCCCAAAGAACGCGCAGATCCCAGACACCAGAGCACCAGAAATTTATTCAAGCCTTGATTTTGCCCAAAAGCACACACGGGGGCTTGGGGTTGGAGGCGCAGGGGTGCAGGCCTGCTCCATGAGGGGGTCCCCAGGTGGGGCCCGGGGGACACGGGAGGGCAGGAGCTTCTGGCTGGAAGCCCTACGTCTCAAGGGGCCATGGGGGGCCACCATGGGGAGGGAACCGAGGGACATGAATGCAACCAATGCAGCTTGTGGGGTACACACACGCAAACACACAGAAATACACATAACGAATGTTCCTGGGGGGAAGGGCCGAGGGTCCCCCGCCCGGGCCCCAGCCTCCATCCAAGGCCGGGTTCAAGCGGAGAATGGGGCAGGAGTTTGCCTTGATTCCACCAAAAGGGAAATTTAAAATTCTACAATACGTCACGTCAAATTCATTAAAAGCGATTAAAAACCCAGCTGACCCCCCCTCTCCTTGCTTAAGCCTCGGACCCGGTCAGAACCGGCAGGAGAGGGGAGCCGCGGTGTCCGGAGCTGGTGTTCACAGACAGACTCCAAAAACAATAAAGAAACTTGTAGAGACAGGGCTGTGTGGCGGGGTGGGGACGGGGTGGGGGGGCAGGTGGGGGGACGGGTGGGGGCTGGCGGGGTGGGTGGGACGGGGTGGGGGCTGGCAGGGTGGGGGAGGACGGGGTGGGGGGCTGGCAGGGTGGGTGGGGACGGGGTGGGGGCTGGCAGGGTGGGGGAGGACGGGGTGGGGGCTGGCAGGGTGGGTGGGGACGGGGTGGGGGGCTGGCAGGGTGGGTGGGGACGGGGTGGGGGCTGGCAGGGTGGGTGGGGACGGGGTGGGGGCTGGCAGGGTGGGTGGGGACGGGGTGGGGGCTGGCAGGGTGGGTGGGACGGGGTGGGGGGCTGGCAGGGGTGGGTGGGGACGGGGTGGGGGGCTGGCAGGGTGGGTGGGGACGGGGTGGGGGGCTGGCAGGGTGGGGGGGGACGGGGTGGGGGGCTGGCAGGGTGGGTGGGGACGGGGTGGGGGCTGGCAGGGTGGGTGGGGACGGGGTGGGGAGCTGGCAGGGTGGGTGGGGACGGGGTGGGGGGCTGGCAGGGTGGGGGGGGACGGGGTGGGGGCTGGCAGGGTGGGGGAGGACGGGGTGGGGGCTGGCAGGGTGGGGGAGGACGGGGTGGGGGGCTGGCGGGGGGGTGGGGACGGGGTGGGGGCCACCATCAGCTGTGCTGTTCCAGGTAGGCCGACAGGAGCAGCCCCGGAGGCAGGAAGTCCAGGTGACGGTTGCTCACCCTCATCTGCCTCCGCCCCTCCAGGTCAGCACCTATGGAGGGGGCGAGGTGGGACGAGGAGGAGAATCCTGAGTTGGGCGGGGGGGCCGTGGACCCCGAGCTATCCAGCCCCCACCACTTGGGCGCCCCAGGAACCTCAGCCGGCCCACGCCAGCTCCCAGCATCCCCTCTGCCAAGTGCCGCTTCCCCCCTACCCAGACCACAGCTGTCTCTGCAGAGACACACCCCAAGCCTGTGGCACGAAGGCAGGTGGGCACGGCTGCCTCTCCCACGGAGAACAGGGGAGGAAAGAGTCCCAGGGTTGCCCGGGGAAACCGTCTCCCTGGCAACTCCTGGCAGCAGGGAGAGAGACCTATGGAGGCACCTAGGGGCAGCCCCCTGTGTGTATGCTTCCTGAAACTGTAAAAGTGGGGGACTCAGACCCTCCTGGGAGTTGGAAGGCCTTTCTTATACCGGGTCCCTATCTCTTCATCACCCCCACCTGCCCTGCAGCTCCATGGATGGGGTGTGCAGCTGGCCAGCCATGTCCACAGCGTCACTGTCCAGGGCCAGCATGCATGCCCCCCACCTCCCTCTCTGCCCAGGCCCCTGCCCCAGCCCGGGGCTTCATGCAGGCTCAGGGCCCTGGGTCCACTCACTGGCAGAGATGAGATCCATGTACTGGCACACGGCATGCAGCAGCAGTCTCTCGAAGCTGTGGAGGAGACGGCATGAGCGTGCGAGACTGCCCGAGGAGAGCCGGGCCCACCGCACCTGCAGCAGGGCCTCACCTGTTATCCAGCATGGCGGTGTACACGGCCTGGGGGGACACGGAGAAAAAGCGCAGCAGCCTTTCCTCCCAGGCCTCCAGCGTCTCCTGCGTGAGACAGGGCACAGTCAGGCATCACCGACCCTCCCCTGGAGCCTGCTGGGCCTTCCTGGAGGGCTCAAGGGACATCCCCTGCCATCCCCTGGAGCCTGCTGGGGGCCCTGGGACACCCAGACCCTCTCCTGGAGCCTGCTGGGGGCCGTCGGACACCCCGACCCTCTCCTGGAGCCTGCTGGGGGCCCTGGGACACCCCGACCCTCTCCTGGAGCCTGCTGGGGGCCGTCGGACACCCCGACCCTCTCCTGGAGCCTGCTGGGGGCCATGGGACACCCCGACCCTCTCCTGGAGCCTGCTGGGGGCCCTGGGACACCCAGACCCTCTCCTGGAGCCTGCTGGGGGCCCTGGGACACCCAGACCCTCTCCTGGAGCCTGCTGGGGGCCGTCGGACACCCCGACCCTCTCCTGGAGCCTGCTGGGGGCCTGGGATAACTCTGTGACCCCCTAACCCGTCCCACCGTGGTCCCAGGGAGCAGGTCCACCTCCCCAGCAGGTCCCCCAGGCCAGGCACTCACCATGGGAATACGGCTCCGTTTAAGCACGGCGCGCAGCCTCCGACTGATGCGCTGGAAACACTCCCGGGGCGTGTAGGCCGGGTCCTCTGCAAGAGCAGGGTCAGCGCTGACCGTGGCAGACGCTGTCCACCTCGGCCGACCCCGCCCCATTCTCACAGACCCCGCCCATCGTGCCATGGCCCCGCCCTCCCTGCCAGGCCCCACCCACGCTGGCCACACCTCTGCGCCTGTCCTCCCCGCGGCCTGGCCCCCTCTTCCGGGCCTTGCTCTGGACGTCATCCTCCAGGTAGCGCAGGACGCGCTCCTGTTCCTCCCCGGAGCGGTTCATAAAGTCGTTCCAGACCTGCACAGGGGCAACAGGGCTTGGGACCGTGGCCACACAGCAGGCCACCAAATGCTGCAGGTCCAGCTGAGACTGGCCTGGGAGGGTCCTGGGAGCAGCAGGACCCCGGACAGACCTGCAGCAGAGGCCGCTGAGCCGCCTGCTAGTCCAGGACACAGTGGCACCCTCTCCGTGCCTGGCCGGCGTGGGCAGTGGGTGGAGTAAGAGACCCCCGGGGGAAGCGATGCAGCGGGCGAGGGCCTCACCTCCACGTAGCTGGCGTTGTTGCAGGCCTCGGCGAAGATGCCCGGGGCTGCGGATGGAGTGGGGTCCCCATCCTCCAGGCCAGGGGGACCCCCGGTGGCCTCCAGCAGGGTCAGGAGGTACTGGGCTGCAAGGAGACAGACGGCCTGCTGTGGAGGGGACGAGCTGGGGAGGGGGCGCCCTGGAGAGGGGGCGCACTAGGGAAGGGGTGCGCTGGGGAGGGGGCGCCCTGGAGAGGGGGCGCACTAGGGAAGGGGGGCGCACTAGGGAAGGGGTGCGCTGGGGAGGGGGCGCCCTGGAGAGGGGGCGCACTAGGGAAGGGGTGCGCTGGGGAGGGGGCGCTCTGGGAAGGGGGCATCCTGGGGAAGGGGCATGCTGGACCCCCTCCCTGTGCACCCTGCATCCTTCCAGGAGCCGCCGGGTCCAGCAGCTGCTGCTCAACCTCGGGAGCCCAGGCCTAGCGCCCCGCCCACCGGGCTATGGCCACGCCCCGCGTGATACAGGCCCCGCCCACCGCTGCATAACCACACCCTGCAAGGCCCCGCCCACCCCCACAGGCCACGCCCTCCAGGTCCAGCCCCAGAGCCCCAGCTGCCCCAGCCCCTCCGGGCTGAGTGGGGCAGCAGCACGGGGGTCTCCCCGGACGCCCCCCGCCCCAGACTCACTGTTCTCCAGGCGCTGCAGGCTCTTGCGTCCCTTGGCCTTGGGCACGAGGTCTGAGTTGCGCACGGCCTGGTTGATGAAGTGCTGTTTCCGTCTCTTCACCTGGGAGCTGGCCAGAGCGGGCAGGCAGCCGGAGAGGGGCCTGTGGGCCGGGCGGGTGGAGGGGGTCCTCAGTGGGCCCCCCAGAGCAGGGAAGCCGGGACCCCAACACCGCCCAGGCTTCCTTCCTGCCCCAGAGGGCCTGGCCTGACCTGCTGGGCTGGACGGGGACACACACACCTGCCCAGCACCCTTCCCACCCCGGGGTCTTCCCACCTCAGCTCCGGGCGTCCAGACCCCACAGACATTGCCATCCGGCAAGGGCAAACCGGGACAGCCGCTCCCCAGCCTCAGCTCAAGGTGTGGTCGGTCTGTGCACCCCACTCCCGGGCGCCCCAGGAGCCAGGACAGGGAGGCGGCTGCAGGAAGGCTCTCCTCTGGGCTAATGGGCCCTCCTCCAGGCAAACTGACAGCATTAATGCACTAAGTGAGGGGATCAGCTGGCCCGGCCAGAGCTCCAGCTGGCGGGGCCCACAGCGCACAGGTGGGGGTGCGCTGGGGCTCAGCAGGCGGCCTTGGCCAGCGCCCACGGTGAGGTCTGGAAAGGTGGGGGCCCCGGGCTCCTCAGGCGGCCAGCCCTCCCCCAGGAGATCCGGCCCCTGTGCTGGCCCCCTCCCTCTCTGCTGACTTTCTCATGCGCACCCCCGTTCCCCCCAACACACACACGGGGGGAGCTCAGATCTCGTCTCACAAACAGCCCTTTGGGTTTGAGGCCCAGGAGAATCAGAGCAGACAGGCGGGGTGGGGTCCACATCCCTGCCCGGGCTCAGCTGGCCTCCACTTCCCGTCCAGCTCCCTGCCTGTGGCCCGGGAAAGCAGTGGAGGACGGCCCAGAGCCTCGGGACCCTGCACCCGCGTGGGAGACCCGGAGGAGGCTCCTGGCTTCAGATCGGCTCAGTTCTGGCCATTGCGGCCACTTGGGGAGTGAACCAGGGGATGGCACCCCCACCCCAATCCCCAGATTCAACTCAGGCCCCACCCTGGCGGCTGCAGGGAGCAGATAGCAGAGGCCGCCTGGGGGAGGGGTGGGTGCTGTCGGAAACGCCGAGTGGGGGCAGGAATCCAGACAGCGCAAGTGGGGGGGCTGTCCCCACGTCACAGGAGAAGGACCTGACTGTCTCCTGCCCCCCAACAACGGGAAGGTGGACCTTGCACCCCTGAGCCCCCAGCTCTGCCCACAGTCCTCCACAAGTCCCTGCTCCAGCACTGCCCAGGCCGCCTGGCTCCCCGAGAACCAGCCCAGCTGCGTGGACCACACAACAACACCCACGCTAGCTCATTGAGTGGGACAGCTGCTGGGAATACTTCTCCCCCGGCTGAGTCAGCACCCGCCACAAAGTGTGCGGAATTAAAGCGTATTCAGGTGGGGCTGGTGCAGTAGCCTGGTGGGCTAACCCTCTGCCTGCCATCCCATAGAAGAACCAGTTCAAGTGCTGGCTACTCTACCCAGCTCCCTGCCTGTGGCCCAGGAAAAGCAGTCGAGGACAGTGTGAGGCCTTGGGACCCTGCACCCATGTGGGAGACCAGGAAGAGGCTCCTGGCTCCTGGCGGAGGACCAGACACCATAACGGCGGGGTTGGGGGTTGGGTAGAACCAACTCCACCCCAGGGCCTTTGCACGGCTGTGCCCTGACTGCCCCGCCCCCTCCTGCCGTCACAGCTGACTGCCAACTCACTTGTTTACTGCTCAGCCAACTGCTTCCCCCCCACACAGAAAAGCAGAGTCCCCAGACATCCAGGGGTCTCTCTGCCCAGCCCATATCCGGGGGGGTCTCTCTGCCCTGCCCACATCCAGGGGTCTCTGCCCGGCCCACATCCGGGGGTCTCTGTGCCCAGCCCACATCCAGGGGGTCTCTGCCCAGCCCACATCCGGGGGGGTCTCTCTGCCCTGCCCACATCCAGGGGTCTCTGCCCGGCCCACATCCGGGGGTCTCTGTGCCCAGCCCACATCCAGGGGGTCTCTCTGCCCAGCCCACATCCAGGGGTCTCTCTGCCCTGCCCACATCCAGGGGTCTCTGCCCAGCCCACATCCAGGGGGTCTCTCTGCCCTGCCCACATCCAGGGGTCTCTCTGCCCCGCCCACATCCAGGGGGTCTCTCTGCCCCGCCCACATCCAGGGGGTCTCTCTGCCCTGCCCACATCCGGGGGGGGTCTCTGCCCTGCCCACATCCAGGGGGTCTGCCCAGCCCACATCCGGGGGGTCTCTGCCCAGCCCACATCCAGGGGGTCTCTCTGCCCACATCCAGGGGGTCTCTCTGCCCACATCCGGGGGTCTCTGCCCTGCCCACATCCAGGGGGGGTCTCTGCCCAGCCCACATCCAGGGGGTCTCTCTGGAGGTGCTGTCTGAGTGAACAGCAAAATGTTTCGTGTGCTGTGGCGCAGCGTGCAAAGCCACCACCTGCAGTACTGGCATTCCATGTGAACACCATTCGTGTCCCGGCTGCTCCACTACGGACCCAGCTCCCTGCTAATGGCCTGCGGAGGCAGCAGAGCATGGCCCAGTGGGGCCCTGCACCCAGTGCGCCCCTGCACCCAGTGCGACACCCAGTGCGACACCCAGATGGCGCTCCTGGCTTTCCCACGGTCCAGCCCTGGCCATGGCACCCACCCGGGGGGAAGGAAGTTGTGGGTGGGCGTTCTAACTCTCTTTTATTTTTTTAAAGATTCTTTCTAAATTGGAGAGGCAGATATATAGAGAGGAGGAGAGACAGAGAGGAAGATCTTCCCTCCGCTGGTTCACTCCCCAAACAGCCGCAGCAACCAGAGCTGAGCCGATCGGAAACCAGGAGCCAGGAGCCTCTTCAGGGTCTCCCACGCGAGTGCAGGGTCCCAAAGCTCTGGGCCGTCCTCCACTGCTTTCCCAGGCCACAGGCAGGGAGCTGGATGGGAAGTGCAGCATCTGGGATATGAACCAGCGCCCATATAGGATCCTGGGGCATGCAAGGCAAGGATTTTTGCCACTAAGCTCCCGCGCTGGGCCCTCTCTCTGTAATTCTGACCACCAAACACAAAATAAACAAAACCACCACACCCAGCTTGGTGGCACAGCGTGTTAGCTGCCGCCTGCCACCCGGAAACACAGATGGAAGGTCTCTTAACTCTGCCTTTCAAACAAATACAAACACATCTGTCATAGCAACCAAGAAGCCCAACTTTCATCTCTGACTCACTTGGTGTGTTACGTGGGGAGGAAGCAGTTCCCAGGGCACCCAAGCTGCCCGGGTACCGGGGTGTGTGTGTGTGTGTGTGTGTGGCGGGGGGCATTGCCCTGGCTGGGGGTGGGAGACGAGGCCTCCCCGACACCCCCAGTGCCATCCAGGTGGGAGCCCTGCACCCCTTCTCCCGGCCGCCCTGCCGCACCCCAGGAACCGCAAGGAGGAAGCGGGGCAGGTGCCAAGGAGGAAGCCACCGCGGTACAGGTAACTTCCAGAAGACGGTGGGGCAGCAGTAAGCAGCCGGGAGTCCACCCCACACCCAGGGGGCCCTCCGGGGGGCTGGAGTCCCCTCCAGGGCTGCCCCCACGCAGGTGCAGGCCAAGCTTTCACACCAGTCCCTGGGACAATGGGCAAAAACAAAAACGATCAGCGGCTGCCAGCGTGGCCAGCGCAGGGCACGGGCGGCCACCCGGAACCCCTGGGGACACTGCCCCATCTGCCCAGGCGCACCAGGCCCCGCCAGCACCCCAGTATTTCCCCGCAGAACAGCAAGGAGCCCCGCCCACCCCAAGGAGTCGAGGACCCTGAGTGGCCTTGGGGGGTCCTACAGGTGTACGGGTGCGATGGGGGAGCAAGTCTCCATCCCCAGAAGACAAACCCCGCGGACAGCGCCTGGGGGTCCCGGCGGCGCGCGCAGCCGAGGGGGAGAGATCGGGGTGCGGGGAAGTACGAACCCCGGAACAACAAAGCCGTACACCCCAAACCTGCGCGCAAAGGGCGCGCTCGAGGGGCGGAGCAGGGACGGGAACGGGGAGCCGGGAGAGGAGAGGGGTCCGCGCGCGCGCTCACAGCATCCGCCGCCCGCCGGGGGAGCCCCCCGCCGCCGCCGCCGCCGCCGCCTCCTCCGGGCCGCCCTCCGGGTTCCCGAGCGCCACCATGGCTCGGTAGCCGCCGTGGTTGTTGCCGCCGCCCCGGCAGGGCCTTCCCTGGTCCGGCAGGAAGTGACGCCGCCCAGAGGCGGGCCTGGGCGGAGCGTGGGGCCGGGGTGGGTACTGCCGAATGGGGGGGGACCTGCACCCCCAGCCAGGCTGCACCCCGAGCCTGGCTGCTCCCCTAGCACCACTGCACCCGAACCAGGCTGCACCCCAACACCGCTGCACCCCGAGCCTGGCTGCGCCTCAGCACGGCTGTTCCCCTAGCACCACTGCACCCCAGCACCACTGCACCCCGAGCCAGGCTGCGCCCCAGCACAGCTGCATGCGCACGCAGGGAGACCCGGGAGTGAGGGGTGGCCGGTGGGCAGCCCCCCAGCCTGCATGTTAGGGCCTGAAGGTCACACCTGCCCTGGGGCTGCGCCCTTAGCGTCCAGGTGGCTGGTGTTGTACCCCAAAGTCGAGGCCCAGCTTGCGGGAGCAGCAGGGACACAGCCCATCTGTTTTCACACATAAAAGAGGGGGGCCGGTGGACCAGGAGAAGCTCATCTCACCCCCCCATTCCCCATCACCAAAGAGCTGTGGTTGGTCCCCTAGGGCAGGCCACGGTCAGCCAGGACACAGTCCTGGGGTTACCAAGAGCCTGGGGCAGGGGCAGGGCAGCCACTCCGCCCACTGGCCACAGGGACTGGGCTGGCAGGAGTGGCGCGCACCTTGGCAGCCTCTTGCCCAATTGGCGCCTGGTCCTGGCAGCCCTAGGCTGCTTTCTCCTCCCTTTAACCCCTGAGTCACAATCCTCTTTTCCCATCCTTCCTGTTTCCCAGGGTCCAGCTGGCCCTGCCTCTACTCCCAGCGCCCCGCTGGGCACACCACACTGGGATGGGGGGAACAGCAGGGAGGGCTCCCACGCTCCGGCCCCTGCCTGCCAGGTTTGGGGGGGACCTGCTGGAGTCTAGCTCCCGGCTCTCCCTGTTGGGGCGAGGGGGCGTCATGGGGACAGGAACCACTTCTCTCTACCTTTCAAATCAATAAAAGGAAATACTCAAATACTTCTCTAAAGAGGATGTCAGCTTAGGTGTCTGTCACTACCCCTTCCCAGAATGCCAGCACCTGTCGCTTTTGTCAGAAGTCCAGGGGACACGGGGGCAGGTGCAGGTGGATGCCACCCTCACCCTCTGAGAAGGGACCCTGAGGAACAGCCTGCCAATACCTCGCCGACTGCACCCTGCTGACCACCTCTGCACCCTCTCCTGGTTGCCCTTGGCAACCCCATCTCCCCCCACACACACACATTAGCAGCTGGAAAAGCTGCTCCCCTGAGGCCCCCGGGGGCGGGGACGGGAAGGTTTGCCAGGGAGGAGAAGTGGGGGGGGGGGGTGGTTGGCAGGGCACCGCAGGGAGCAGCAGTGGGAAGGTGGGGACGCCATATAAACGCACGGATGCTGCGGCCGCTGCCCAGGCGCGCAACAGGGCCATACGCGTGCCGGCGATGTTGGGATTCAACGCATCCTGGTGGGCGCCAGCCAACGCATCCGGCTGCCCGGGCTGCAGCGCCAACGCTTCGGAGGGCATGGGCGCCGAAGTGTGGGCCTTGGACGCGTGGCTGGTACCACTCTGCTTCGCCGCGCTCCTGCTGCTGGGCCTGACCGGGAACTCGCTGGTCATTTACGTCGTCTGCTGCCAAGAACAGATGCGAACAGTCACCAACTTCTACATCGGTGAGCAAGCCCACTTCCCGCCCTCTGCAGAGCCCTGGCGTCCCCCGTACAGGGGCGCAGGGCGCCCTTCCAAGACGTAGGGTCCGCCCCACCAGAGGTGCGCTGGCACGAGCAAGGAGGCCTGGGCGCCTGGGTCTGCCCAGACCCGCGGTCAGTCTATCTGTGTCAGGGGCACGCTTCCTGGGGTGGGCCACTCCAGGTTGTTAGGCTGTGGCAGGCCCGGAGGTCAGGATGCGAGGTTGAGGACCCGACGGTGAGTTTCCGTGTGTCGCCACAGCCAACCTGGCGGCTACTGATTTGACCTTCTTGCTGTGCTGCGTGCCCTTCACTGCCCTGCTCTACCCGCTGCCCGTCTGGGTGCTGGGCGACTTCATGTGCAAGTTTCTCAATTATATCCAGCAGGTGCGCGGGGAGCAGGACCTGGGTGAGGGGCTCAGCGCTGCTGGGGTGGGGTGTGACCAGGAAGAGAGCTGTTTGCTGGGGTCACCGGGTCTCCAAGAACTGGGGAGGGAGGGGGAGATGCCTGGGACCCTGCCGGGCTCTGCTTTGCCACCCTCTCCTGGTGTCAGACCCAAGCACCCAGCAATGCGCAAATGTCCCCTGCTCGCTCCTGCCACCCCACTGGGCAGCTCTCCTTGGCACCCCTCCTTTACTCTTTCCACCCGTAGCCCCCCCCCTGGGCGCCCCTGCCGTATCCCAGGGGTCTGACAGGGTGCGGGTGGCACCGGCAGGGCGGAGGGCAGGGGGCTCCCGGCTTTTGCAGGTCTCGGTGCAGGCCACGTGTGCCACGTTGACCGCCATGAGCGTGGACCGCTGGTACGTGACAGCCTTCCCGCTGCGCGCCCTGCACCGCCGCACACCGCGCCTGGCGCTGGCCGTCAGCCTGGCCATCTGGCTGGGTGAGTCCCGGACCTCAATGGGGCATCCGGAAAGTGGGCGCAAGGGCGCCCGCAGAGGCTGCATGCAGGGCGGCTGCCCCGGGAACGTGTGTGGTTAGGGTACCTGCTCACGGCCACCTCGGTGCAGGCTCGGCAGCCGTGTCGGCGCCTGTGCTGGCCCTGCACCGCCTCTCTCCCGGGCCGCGCACCTACTGCAGCGAGGCCTTCCCGAGCCGCGCGCTGGAGCGCGCCTTCGCGCTCTACAACCTGCTGGCTCTTTATCTGCTGCCACTGCTCGCCACCTGCACCTGCTACGCGGCCATGCTGCGGCACCTGGGCCGGGCACACGGGGTCCTGCAGGTGAGAGGACACAGGGGGGGCGTGGTGCAGGGTGGATGGCCGCTGCAGCCATGCCCTCTCGGCTGACCCACACTCCTCCCTCGCGCCCGCAGGGGCAGCCGCTGGCCGAGCGCGCGAGCGCCGTGCGGGCCAGGGTCTCCAGGCTGGTGGCGGCCGTGGTCCTGCTCTTCGCGGCCTGCTGGGGTCCCATCCAGCTCTTCCTGGTGCTGCAGGCGCTGGGCCCCGCGGGCGCCTGGCACCCACGCAGCTACGCCGCGTACGCGCTCAAGATCTGGGCCCACTGCATGTCTTACAGCAACTCGGCGCTGAACCCGCTGCTCTACGCCTTCCTGGGCTCGCATTTCCGCCGGGCCTTCCGCAGAGCGTGCCCCTGTGCGCCCCGCAGGCCCTGCCGCCCTCGCCGGCCCGCGCTCCCGGAGCTCGGGGTGGCACCTGCCCTGGGGGAGCCGCCCGGCCCGCTGTGAGCGCACCCGCCCCCCTGTTGGCTGTTTCTTTGTGGCCAGTCGGTGATCTTGGTCCCCCGTGTCATTGCTGTCTGTGCTCCCAGCGGCGCTTCCTGGGTCTTTCCAGAAAGCCTGGTTCCCCACCCCCTCACCCCCACCATCACCCCTGCCTTGGGGTTCTCACTGTAAGTCCTGCGGAGCAATGAGGTGGGGAGGGGGGCTACAGCAGGTGCAAGCCGGACATGCCTCCCACATCTGTCCACACGGACTCCGGTGGACTGGGCGGCAGCGCCCAGCTCCCCCCTGCCCCCCATGAGGGGGCTGGCTCAAGTGCTGGGGCCCCTGCCACTCACCTGCGAGATCCCCATGCTGTGGCCCCTTAGGAAGTGAGTCGACAGGTGGTAGACTGACCCCCACTCTCGACGTGTCTGTCTCCAATTAAAAGTGATGTTAAATACGCCGCTGTTAGCCAGTGGCTGAGTGGCCTGGGAGGCGGGGGCCGGCCAGACACGGTGAGCCCACTGGGCTGTGGACCCCAGACGCGGGGTCCCGCTGAGCTGCCTGGCCGCGGCTGGGCTGCCAGGTAGCTAGTCCTGCCTCGATCGGACTTGCTGTGCCTGAAGCTTCTGGAAGGCAAGAGAAACCATGAGAAGCCTTAAGGCTTGACAACAGAAGCCTTCCCCAAGCCGGGATGGTACTCGGGTGACCTCGGGCAGGGCAACGTGGACACATCCGGGGCAGGGAGTTCATTTGCTCATGTTGCAAAGCCACAGCCTCCAGGCGTGGCTGGGGTGGACCCCGAGGGTGCCAGCTGCAGCCCCAGATCTCCACCCCCACAGCCACAGGCTGCCCCCGCTGCTGAGCCCACCCGCCCGGCTGGCATCCCACGCACTCCGACCCTTGGCTGCCTGGGCTGGGTCTCAGACACCCTGGGTGGCGGGGCACAAAGCTGGCACCCGTTCCCTCACCCGGTGGCTCTGCCCGGGGCGTGCCAGTCATGCGAGTCTGTGTGGCCGCCTGGCTGAGTGGTGGCCCGGGGTCAGCCATGCTGGGAGCGCCACACCCCCAACGTGCGGGCATGCATACACACGCACCTACGGCAGGGGCAGGCATGTGGCAGGGTGGGCACCGCCGTGGGCAGGACATCAGCTTCCCAGCCTGGTGTGAGCACTCAGGCCAGGCACCCTGCAGCCTGCGTTTCCAAGCGCGCACGCCCCCTGCTGGACATCGGTGGATCTGCAGGGCGGAGCTTCCCGGGCAGGCCACGCCCTGCAGCGTCTGGGCGGAGCTTCCCGGGCAGGCCACGCCCGCCGTCTGGGGCGCCGGCAGGGGGCGCGCGCGCCACGCCGTCTCGCAGTGACCGCAGTGCCCACTGGGGCGTGGCCTTGGGGCGCCTGGGCATCTTCTAACTTCTCTATTAGAAGATAAAATATTTTTTATCTTCTTTATTATGTATTCAGGTGCAGCGGGCGGCCAGCTCCTGCACGCGGGGGCCCCCAGGCTGCAGCTCCCGGTGTGGGGAACGCGGGTCAGCCGCCTCCTCCGACCCCAGGACCCCGAAGACACTGTGGGATGGCCACTTGCTGCGGGTCTGGGGGTGTGGGAGGGTAGGGCGGGGTGTGGGGGTGAGTGGGGAGGGTAGGACGGGGTGTGGGGGTGTAGGGGTGAGTGGGGGGTAGGACGGGGTGTGGGGGTGAGTGGGGAGGGTAGGACGGGGTGTAGGGGTGAGTGGGGAGGGTAGGACGGGGTGGTAGGGGGTGTAGGGGTGAGTGGGGGGTAGGACGGGGTGTGGGGGTGAGTGGGGAGGGTAGGACGGGGGTAGTAGGGGTGAGTGGGGGGGTAGGACGGGATGTGGGGGTGAGTGGGGAGGGTAGGACGGGGTATAGGGGTGAGTGGGGGGTAGGACGGGGTGTGGGGGTGAGTGGGGAGGGTAGGACGGGGTGTAGGGGTGAGTGGGGGGTAGGATGGGGTGTAGGGGTGAGTGGGGGGGTAGGACGGGGTGTGGGGGTGAGTGGGGGGTAGGACGGGGTGTGGGGGTGAGTGGGGGTTAGGACGGGGTGTAGGGGTGAGTGGGGGGTAGGATGGGGTGTGGGGGTGTAGGGGTGAGTGGGGGGTAGGACGGGGTGTGGGGGTGAGTGGGGGGTAGGATGGGGTGTGGGGGTGTAGGGGTGAGTGGGGGGTAGGATGGGGTGTGGGGGTGTAGGGGTGAGTGGGGGGTAGGACGGGGTGTAGGGGTGTGGGGGGGTAGGATGGGGTGTGGGGGTGTAGGGGTGAGTGGGGGGTAGGGTGGGGTGTAGGGGTGTGGGGGGGTAGGACAGGCCGTGGGGTTACGCGGAGTGGGGAGGGGTGGGTGGAGAGGTTGGGACCCTGACGCCCCGTGGGGTAACAGGTCCCCCCTTACCGGCCTGTGCTCTGGTGCCAAAGTCGGGGTCCCCCAGGGCTGCCGCCCACCGCGCCCCTTTTCTCTCCAGGGGCCGTGGACACTCGGGGTGCCTGGGCTGTGGGGGTCCCCCTGTGGGAAGGCAGCAGTGTTCTTGCCCTGGGCCTGGGCCGGGGGCTCCCCAGGACCCCAATACCCGAAGACCTTCACCCATCCCATGCTCAGCTTGTCTCCTGCCTTCAGTCTGGCCCTGCACCCATCTTCCTGCCTTAGGGGCGCCCCAAAACTGAGGCAGGGGTGTGGGGAGCCCGCTTCCCTCACCTTCCCAGCCTGCACCCTTCTCCCTGCCTCAGGGGCGCCCCAAAACTGAGGCAGGGGTGTGGGGAGCCCGCTTCCCTCACCTTCCCAGCCTGCACCCTTCTCCCTGCCTCAGGGGCGCCCCCAAACTGAGGCAGGGGTGTGGGGAGCCCGCTTCCCTCACCTTCCCAGCCTGCACCCCACGCCGCCGGCGGGAGCGGGCGCAGCCCAGGCCTCTAGCGCAGGCGGGGAGGAGCTCGGGGACCCCCACCCCGTCCCGTTTTGGGGTGCTGAGTGACCCCGGGACTCTCGGCCGACGCCCCGCCCCCGGCAGGCCCCTGTACGTCGCGCGCCGCGACGCGCACTTTGCCCACCGTCCCTTGGGCGGGGAGGGAGGGAGGGAGGGCGGGGCGTCGGCCGCGCTGTTTCCCCCTTCCCTTTTTATTATTTATTATCCCTTAAAGGGGCCGCGGCCTGCGAATGGGCGGCTGTGCGGACGCGCCCGGCGGGGTGTGTGTGTGTGTGTGTGTGTGTGTGTGTGCGTGCGTGCGCGCGCGCCGGGGTGGCGGCGCTCGGTCGGGGCCCGACGGACGCGGGGCCTTGGAGAGGAAGGGGAGGGGGCCGGCCGAGACCCCTCCCGCGCGCCCCGGGCCTGGGCAGCTAGCTGAATCACCGGCGAGGTATTTGCATCTGAGAGCGATTTGTCACCCGGTGATTTGTCTGCGGGGCGGCGCGCCGCTGGGTGGCGGGGGAGGGGCGGCGCGAGGCCCCGGGGCGGGCGGGCGCGGCGGCGGAGACGCGGGCGCGGCCGGCGCGCGGTGAGTGGGCGCGCGCGGGGCTTGGGGAGGTGGGTCGGTGGGCGCCGTGCGCGCCAGGGGCTCACGGAGGTGGGCGCGGGACGGGGGGGTTTTGGAGAGGTGGTGGTGGTGGTGGTGGTGGCGGTGGCGAGGTCGCCCCTCTGCGCTCCCCGCCACCCCCCATCCATACACACACACACACACACAACTCGGGGGACCCTGGCGCAGGGGCGCACGGCGGCGGTGATCGAGGGGGGCGCGCGCGCGCGCTCTGCACCCCCCTGACCCCACAACCCCCGGGGCCGGCGCGGAAGGAAACAGGGTTACGGGCGCACGGGGGGCGCTGCGCCATCGCCGGGTCGGTGGCACTTGGGGATGCGGACATCGTGTGTTTCCCGAGGAGGAACGCGCGCGCGCGCGGGGCTGTTTGGCGAGGGGATCCCGCGCGCGCTTGTCAGCCCCGGCGAGGCGCGCGGCTCGGCTCCGTTTTCTTCCGTCGGAGCCTTTGGTGTGTGTGTGGGGGGGTGGCGCCCCACACCCCCTTCCCCATACACCTCTCCATGCAAATCGACCGCTTTCCAAGAAGCCTCGCGTGCCGACCGGTTTTTTTTTTTTTTTTTTTTTTTTGCTGTCGCGTTTTTCTCCTTGGGTGTTTCTGTTCTCGCTTCCTCCGGGGAGCCCCCCTGCACCCCCAGCCCCTCTCCGCCGCCCCTCCCCCTCCCGCCCCTCCGAGCGGCGGCAGCGGCGGCGGAGAGGGGCCCCTTTCGCCACCGCGGCCCGAGCAGCGGCCTTGCACAACTCTTTAAATAACCGAGTTTTGCAAGGCTCGTCCGGGCGGGTGACCTCGCATCCCCAGCGTTGGGGGGTGAGGGGAAAGGCAGGGTGTGGCTCCGCACATCCCACCACCCCACGACCCCCTCGCGCCCCAGCCCTGCCCTGGGCACTGGCTCTCCGGTGGGGCTGTCATGACGTGCAGGTGGGGGGCCCCTGAGGACAAAGGGCTCCCAGAAGGGGAGGGGTCTGGAAGGGGGGTGGGCGTCGCCAGGGTAGGGTTCCTGGTGGGCCCCCTGGGCGCCCTGGCCTGGCTGTGGGGACGGGAAGGGGTGCCTCGGGTTCCAGCCTGTCCCCCACCCCCTCCTTGCCTCTCAGTCCACTCCTGCGCCCCTCCCCCAGCGGCGACGCGGAAGGGTCATTAAACTCAGCAGGCCTGGAGGGACGGGGTGGGGGCAATGGTTTCCTTCGGCCTCTTCCTTCTGTTCTGCCCACCACCACCCCCCAACTCCCAAAGACAGGGTGGGCTCCTGGAGCGGCTTCCGTAAGGGAGGGGGGCTCCTCTTGAAGTTGTCAAAGGTGGGGGAGGGGCGACACGGCTGCCAACCCAGAGACAGGGGGTTCCAGAAATGTCCCTTCTCTTGGCCTCTGCCTTGCTAGGCGGGAGATCCAACTGGCCTGCCCAGCCCCCTTCCCGAACCTGCAGGGATGTGGGGAGAGGAGCCCCTGGGGTTTCAGCAGGACACCCCCGCCCCCTGCGAACCGCCCGCCCCGGGAACCGCCCGCCATGGCCCCGAAGGGCAGGGCGGCAAGGCCACACGGAGTGTCCCCTGGGCCTGGGCACCTCCGCTGCCCCGAGCTTCAGGCTCACACTTGTCCCCGGATTGGGGTTTGGGGTATCCCCTTCTGCCCCGTCCATGAGGGCTGCCTGGGCCAAGCAGACCATTCTGGCCGTCCCTGCTCTGCTGGAGGAGCCGGGAGGGGCTGTGCCAATGAGGCCTCCCCTGGCAGCCGTGACCCTGTCCCTTCTCCTGCCATGCGCTGCAGAACCCAGCAACACTCGGGGTGTGCTGCCTTTGGGGTGGCCCAGGGTGCACAGCTTTGGCCCGGCTTTCCCCTCTGGGGCCCCAGGAGTCCCATGTGGGGTGACCCAGGTGTGGGCTGCAGGGAGGGCCGAGGGGCCCCGTGGGGAGAGCAGGGGCCCCCAGGTTTCCATCCTGGTGAGGTCCTCCCAGAGGCCTTTGGGGTTGACCTGAGGGGCAAGCATGGGTCTGACCGCTCTCCTGTCACTCCCTCCCCTGCCCCAGGTTTCTGGAAACACGGGAGTAAGCCGGATGCCAGCGACGGCCCCCCAGCGCCCCCCGCAGCCCGCCCCTGGCATGCTCCACGACCCTTCAGCCTGAGCCGGCGGCCCCCGCCACCCCCTCCCCGCCACCCTGCACTGCCCCGGCTCCCCCGAGCCCGCCGGCCCACAGGGGCCGCCCCCCGTGCCCACCCCCGGTGCCCGGGGCGGCCCGGCCCGCAGGGCCATGAAGCTTCAGGCCGTCATGGAGACACTCCTGCAGAGGCAGCAGCAGCAGCGTGCGCGCCAGGAACTGGAGGCCCGGCAGCAGGAGCCCCCCCCTGAGCCCCCGGCCATCTCCGGCCCCCCGGTCCCCCGGGCCCGCGGCCCCCCGGATGAGGAGCGAGAGCCGGAGCAGGCCCGGATGCAGCGGGCACAGATGGCTGCCCTGGCTGCCATGCGAGCTGCCGCCGCTGGTCTGGGCCACCCGCCCAGTCCCCGCGGCCCGGAGGATGACCATGACCGGGGACCGGCCGCTGAGGGCTCCCCAGGCTCGCCGGCCCCGCCTGCCCGCAGCAGGGAAGGGCCTCCCGAGGCTGTGGCCTCTGATGATGATGACCCGTGAGTTGGGGGGGGGGTCCTAGGGAGCCCCATGTGATGGGGGGGAAGGGTGCTGTGGATATGAGGCATCATCTTGCATTTGGGCCACTGGGAACCGCAGTTCTGGGCCTAGCACTTTCCATTCTACTGTCTGTACTGGACCGGGAGCCAGGGGCTCGCAGGGCTGGGGTGGCTGGGTACGCAGTGCACCTCGGGGTGGCCGCAGCTACAGCCCTCTCCGTGACCAGCAGGAAGCCCAAATGGGAGGAGGAGGAGCTTGAAGAAGACCTAGGAGATGAAGAAGAGGAGGAGTATGAGGATGAGGAGGAGGAGGAAGAAGAGGAGGAGGAGGAAGAGGAAGGCCTGGGTCCCCCCGGTGTGGCCGGCCTGGGTTCCACGGCCCTGTTCCCCCGCAAGGCCCCGCCACCCCCTGCCCTCCGCGGTGATGGCCTGCCCCGGGCGCTGGGCGGCCAGGAGCGGCCGGGCCCTGGCCCAGCCTCTGCTGCAGGGGCCACCCCCACGGCATCGCAGCTGCAGCCGCCCGACCCTGGAGACTGGACTTACGAGGAGCAGTTCAAACAGGTGAGCTGTGCACTGGGGGTCTGAGCTGGGGCTGGGAAGGGGATGTGGGGGGCGCTCATCGGGGGAGCGGGGGGTTTGGCACTCGGTGTGGGGGCTCCTGGTTGCTGGTTGGTGGAGCTGGGCGAACGTGGGGTCGGGCAAATAGTGTTTGGGTCCGGAGCTTCGTGCTGCCTGTGTTGCGTGTGGGTGATCTTCTCGGGGCGGTGGGGGGACACCCAGGGGACACAGGCCGGCCTTGGGAACAGGGAGGGGTAAGGCTCCTGGCAGGAGAAGGAGGCTGGGCCCAGCCGCGGAGAAGGGATCTGAGGTACCCTGGCCCACTTTCTGGGTTTCCCGAGGGGTGAGAGGGAAGCAGGGGTTGCCCTGTCCTTCCCCGCTGGTGTCCAGCTGGGGGAAGCACCAGGCCATAGCGCCTTTAAAGCCAGGCAGATGGATAGCAGATGGTGGCCGGGCTGGGCCAGCTGGGCCTTGCTCGGACCCAAGCCTTGGAGGAGTCCCGTGGCGACCCCGAGTGGGCCCCGGAGTTGGGCAGTGTGGGCCTCCTTAATCATGCCAGGGCCACTTGGCTTGGTGCCTAAGAAAGGAGAGGTAGAAGACGGGGACAGAAGACAGGGAGTTGTGCTGGCGAGGGGATGCTCCGAGCTGGGACAGGGCCAGGGGGGCAGGAGGCAGGCAGAACTCCGAGGACCTGGGCACAAGGGTGGGGCAGCCCTGCCCCAGCTCCTAGTCTCGGCCAGGCGGAGGTGCCAAGCAGGCAGGTGGCCAGCAGTGTCACCTTCAGGGGTGTGACTGGCCCTGCCCGTGCCAGGCCTCGATGAGGAGGCCCCGTCTGGGCGTGCGTGTCCCCATGTGTGGATGGCAGTTAGATTATTCTGCAGGAGTGCCAGGCAGGTGTGGGCGCCCCTGCCCATGCGGAAGTCCCCCTCTTGCGGAAGGGGGCTTTCTATGAGCCAGGCTGCCTCAGGGTCTCTGGAGGCCAAGGTTGAAGTTGGGGGATGATGGCACGTGTTGCTGGGCTGGGGACACCGCTGGCCCTAGGCCAACTGGATGGCTGGTGGGTGGTCCAGTACGTGTGCTATTGTGGGGTTCAGAGTCAACCCCAGCTTCCTGTAGTTTGGAGGAGGACCCCAGGTGCCTTAGAACAGCCCAGCATAGGTCCAGTGTGGCTGTAAGTCAGGGTGCAGTGCTAGGGGCCGGGGACTGTGGCCGCAGGGGTGGTGGTGGGCAGGCGGCACCGTCTTGGCTGCCCTGTGACGGGCTTTCTCCAGCTGCTGGCACCGTGCTGCGGCCCAGCTGGACAGGCACCTGTGCGGCCCGAGTCGGGAGGGGCCTGGACGCTGGTGACAGCCTGTGTTGGCTCCCGCCCCACTCCCTTCCTGGCACGTGGCGGCCCTGGCCGTCTGGCCGCCACTTGGCACGGCCAGGCCTCTTCCTCCTGGTTCTTGGCAGGAACCAGGATTGGTTTCCGCCTGGGAGTCCTCGACAGCTGCGAGGCTCTGCTGGGGCACAGGGCTGGGCAGGGCAGGGGTGCAGCCGGTCTCCTGGATGCTGGGACCCCAAGACCTTTGGTATGTGTGGAGGGGGGGGGTGTTTCCGTGTCCTGGTGCTGGGTCCCTGGTGAACACGTGGTTATGTGCTGCCCCTTGTCCTGGGAGAGTCCCGCCCTCGGAGCCCACGCTGTGTGGCCTGTGTGTCTGTTTCCGTCTGAGTGTGGCGTCCCAGACGGGGACTCCGCAAGCCTCGCCCTGTTCCTGACTGTGTAGTATTGGAGTTCATCCCCGTAGGGGTGGATTAGTGTTGGAGGGGGGACTGGGACCAGTGCTGGGGTGCAGTAGGTTAAGCCTCTGCCTGCATTGCAAATTGGAACACAGGTTCGAGTGCTGGCTCCCCAGTCCTGGCAATGGCATGCATGGCTCCTGGCTTCGACCTGGCTCAGCTCTGGCCATTGCAGCCACTTAGAAATACATAAACCATTAAAAAAAAAAAAAAAGTGAACTAATATTTAAAAGGAATAGCTGGGGATATCCCTGCCTCTCCCACCCTACCCCACCTCCACCTCCCGGGCAGCCCGCCGGCCACCCGCAGGCATAGCTGACGTGGCGCTGCTGTCCAGCTGGGCCCTGCTGCTTACCTCCGGGCCCCGGCGGCAGACCCCGCGGCCACGAGGAGGTGGCCAGGTGGCCGTCCCTGGCTGCTGCCTGCACAGGCAAGAGGCATGGAAGGTTCAGGACCTGTGCCGGCTCACGTAGGCCCTAGGACAGCGCTTGACACACCCTGCTTGGCCAGCCCCCCCCCCCCGTCCCTCCTCTAGTGGCCTGTGCAGGTCCTGGGTGGGGGAGTGAGGCCGCCACAGGCTCCAGGTGGGGCCTGGCTGCGCCTTTTCTTTCTTTCTTTCTTTCTTTTTTTTTTCTTTTCCCTATAGACTTACTTATTACGTGAAAGGTGGAGTTAGATTTTCCATCTGCTAGTTCAGCTCACAGGGCTGCAATGGCCAGGGCTGGGCTAGGCCAGAGCTGACCCGTACGTGTGGCTGACTCTCGGGCCCTGGCAGCTCAGGGGCACGCCACGGTCACGCTCCCGCCACGGGAAGAAATGGCTTTCAGAATCCTTGGCACTTGGCCCGGCCCCACCTCCTCCTCGGCCCCCCGCTTGGACGTGCAGTTCACGGGGCATCTTCCGGCCATCTCCCGCCACGGCCTGGCGGGCAGATTTTGCTTTGGGTGTCATTACCCTACAGGGCTGGGCCCACCTGGTTGCCGTTTCCTGCCGGTTGGCTGGGGTGGGGTGGGTGGAACTGGACTTGCCAGGGGAGCAGGTGGCCGACACCCTGTTCCCCCACCCTGCTGCGAGATGGGTGGGGGAATCGCAGCTGGATAAGAGCAAGGGGCTTTGCAGCTGGGGTTTTGCAGGACACACAAGAGCTTGTGTGAGACTAGAGCGGGAGGTGGGAGGAAGCCAAGCTTAAAGCTGGGCTGGGAGAGCAGGGGTTAGGAGGAATCCCCCCTGGACAGCCCTGAGAACGTGTGTGGCTAAGAGTGTGTGTTGCGGTGGAGGCCGGGGCCGCCTCCTGGGCCCAGCACCCCAAGCCGAACAGCCACTGCCTCATCAAAGCCCTGTGGCTGCTGGCGGAGAGCCAGCTGGGCCATGGCGGGTGCAGCCAGGGTGCCCGCCTGCCAGCCCCTGGCACCGTGCCCCGGCCCGTGCCAGCCCTGGGAGCTGTGCTGACTCAACCGGAAGCACCTTATCTGGCCCCTGCGCCACCTCCCGGCCGCCGGGTCACCGCCACGGGGTCACCGCCGCCACCGCCGTCTGAGGCCCCTGCCAAGCGCCCGGCCCCGCCCCACGCTTTCTAATAACACACGCGCCCGCCAGGCAGGGCACGTCTGCCCGGCTCCGTGCCTGGCCAGGATACACACCATGGGTGTGGACGTGGCTGGCAGTCGTGGTGGTGGTGGTGGGGGGGTCCCTGGGTCAGGGAGCTGCCCACTTCCTCCACGTACTCGGAGTGGCCACGTGCGGGCATCCCAGGTGCTTGTGTAGGGCTCCGGGCGTGTCCTGTACCCACGAGGTCCCTCACTTGGGGCACCTGCTGCTGCTCCCACTTGCGTGGGTCTGTGTGGCGCCATGCCACACGGCGGACTCTGTCCGGGTGGCCCAGCCAGTACCAGTTCCTCGAGCCAGCCCCCCAAGAGTGTTAACCATTAGCCTCCACTGTCCAGGTCAGCGGTTCCAGCCGGCAGCCTGGGTGCAGGTAAACCTATTTCTTCACCAGACTCCAACAGCCTCTTTCAGCCCTGACTGGAGGCCGCATGGTGGACGCGCGACTCCGGGTGCCCTCCGTGGCACTCGGTGACCCCATTTTTAGCTGAGATGCTATCCCCGTGCCCCCGGAGGAGGTCCGGGCCAGGGGCCTGGTGGGTGGTGGTGTGCGCCAGGCAGGGCAGCCCGCCCCTTCTCCCTCGCCTGGCTGCACACGGCCAGAGGACAATTGGGGGTCACGAGGTTAAATGGTCAGTAATCTAGCCATTGAAGGCCCTGGGATGTGGCCTTGCCCCCGTGGTCAGTGCTGGCGCTGTGAGGGGGCGGGCAGGGGTCTTGGTTGGAGTCAGCAGAAGGGGCAGCCCTAGTCCGAGAGGGGTCATGCATGGGAACCAGCTCCCCCGGCTAGCCCTACACAGGCAGTGGTCAGGGCCAGCGGGCCTTAGCTCGCTTGTGGACACATGAGGCTATCTGCACCCCGCCCCTCTGCGGCCCCAAGACCCTCGCCCCAAACCACAAGAGGCGCTTCGTGCCCTGCATGGTCCCCAAAGCCATTCAGGGGGCAGCTGCCGTGGACCCATGGGATTGGTGTGTGGTGGCAGGGGACAGAGTAAGGGCAATAGCCCCGTCTGGGCCCCTGCTGTGTGCCCCATGGTCCCCTGGTGAGCTTTTCTGGGCCATTCCCTCCCAAGGTGCTGTGTCTGCCCCCCACCCTCATGTGCAAGTGCCCACGAGCTGTGTCCCTGTCATGGCTGTCGCCCCATGGCATCTTGTATGGCAGGCCAGGCCGCTGCCCTACTCGGGAGCCCCAATCTCGCCACGTGCCAAGCATTTCCTGGGCAGCGCCAGAGGCTGGGCAGGGGGAGACCTACCTCATGTCCCACGTCCCCAGGAGTGCTGGAGGCCCTGGCTGTGAGCACTGGGTTTGCCCTACCCCAGCACTGGCACCCTGCCCAACTTTGGGCCTGCCCCTTCCCATGCCCTGCCATCGCTTCTGCACGTGCCCAGCTGACGGGCAGGCAGGGCACACCTGGCACCTGCCAGTGGGCAGGGCCTGCGGCTCGCCCCACCTGCCCCACACACTCTCACTTCCTGTGTCTGGGCCCTCGCTTCCCCCATGGGGAAGCGTGTTAGAGCGTCCGTGTTGATTGTGGCAATGCTAAGTGAGTGAGAGGAGATTGCTTCCCAAACGCCCAGAACTGCTTGGGGCTAGGAGCTCCATCTGGGCCTCTCACGGGGGTGGCAGGGACCCTCCCAGCACTGCAGCCGCCATCTGCTGGAGGGGTGGGGAGGGATGAGGGCTGGGGCTTGCTCTGGCTCCGGTGTGGGTGCCCCACGTGCGCTGTGCCTGCTGACAGGGCACACCTGCAGTGGGCGTGGGCTGTGCCCAAGGAGGAGCCGGGACCCTCCTGTGTATGCTTGGGTCGGCCACGTGTCCCTCTGTGAACACATCAGGGCAGGGGGCTGCCGGTGGGCACTCTACTAGAGGAATCTTTGTTCCAGGGCACGCCTGCCACTGCCCAGCGCCAGGGCCTGCGTCAGATGCAACCCATTTTAGGCCAGTGGCTTGGAGGACTTGCACCCAGTGCCCTGGGCCGGGGGGCCTGGCCACACCTGCCACTTTAGTCTTTTTGTACCCTGAGAAGCGTTTGCATGTCCCAAACCAAGATTTTTTTTTTTTTTCTGTAAACTGCCCATCGTCCCCCCTACAGTGCTGGTTCTGTTCTCCTGCCCCCACCCCCCAGCATGCGAGGGGCAGCAGGGGCTCAGGTGGGCTGCAGCCCCAGGTTAGACACATTGTTCTGATCACAGTCTGAGGGCCACTGGGTTGGAGTGACAAGTGGGCAGTGAGCCCTGGATCTCGCGAGCCGGAAGGCCGGGGGAAGGACTGGTGCCGTGTGTCCTGCCTGTGGCCGTTTTTGGGGCTTTTTTTACTAATTTCGCTCTCGTGGGTGGGGCTGTGGGGCCGGCGGGGCAGGGTGGGGTGGCCTGGGGTGGAGGGGGCCACACATGTCTGTGCCCTGCCCTGGATCACTTCCCCAATTCCCCTTGACACGGGCGCCCCATCTGCGTCCGAGGAGGCCTGGCCGCCTGCAGGGCTGACGGAAATCGAAAGAGTCGTGGGGACCCGGGGAGCCCCCGGCTGGTCAGGTGCATGGGGTGGGGTGGGGTGGAGGATGGGACAGGGCAGGCAGCACCCAGACAGGGCAGAGGGGGAGGACCACTTTGGGGGCAGACCCCCATGCCTCGGGTGGTCTAAGGCTTCCCGGACGGCAGCAGCTCACTCCCCAGGGTCCACAGTGTTGAGTCCGGGAGCAGCCCCCCCCCCGCCGTTAGCTCCAGGTAGACCACCCTGCCCCCTGACCCTGCAGCCGTGTGGCCTGGTTCAGTCCCCTACCTTGTCCTCCTCGAGTCCTGGGAGTTCCCAGAATGCGGAAAAAAACCTTCAAATCTGAACTCCCCCCCCCGGGACTCTCCCATAGCGGGTGGCAGACGGTGCCATAGCCCAACCTGCTGCTGGTGGTCATCCGTGGGACCATGGGCTTGGGATGTCCACTTTGGCCTGTGTCCGCCGGCCCGGCCCCCCACCCTACCTCCGTGTCCCTGAGTGTGACTGGGTGCCAGGGGCAGGGGGGGCCCTCCTGCCTGGTGGGGAGTGTGTGGGTGTTTCTGTGAAGGGAGAGGCTCCCCTGGGACCCTGCCCACCTGCCTCCCCCCTCCTCTAACGGCCGCGTTGCTGAGTCATGTCAGGCGGGCAGCCCCGGGTCTCGGGGTGGCGGGGGGGGGGGGGGGGGGGGCCTGGCCCCTGCCCCTGCACCTGCACCCCAGTGTCTCACCTGGGTGGGTTGGTCCCTAGCCCTCGGCCCCTAGGGGGCTGCGAGAAGACTCAGGCTGCAACTGTACACCCACATTCACAAAAAAACCACCAGTGGATGAGGGATGGACACACCCCAGTGTCCACCGCCACACAGCGAGCCCTGAGCAGCCGGGGCCATGGGCAGGGTGCGCAGAGTGACACAGACATGGTGTGGGCTCCACAGGTGGGCGACGTCCAGCACAAGGGGACTCCACCGAGGGGGAAGGGGCTGGGACCGTGCTGCTTTGAGAAATGGAATGTTCTGGAATGTTCTGGAGTGGTCACGGTTGCACAATATTGCAAATGCAGCAAAATGCCCCGGGCTATTCACTGAAAATAGGTTAATTTTTATGTTATCTGAATGTCACATCGAAGCAAAAGAAAAAAAAAGCAGGGGATTCAAAGTTCCCCACCCCACCCTCACCCCTGGCCCACCCGGCAGCTTCCCTTCCGTGGGGCCTTTGGGACGGACCCTGGTGGCATCCGACTGCAGGGCAGGGTGCCCTAGCTCGCCTTCCCAACGCTCTGTCCTGGGGTCGGGCCCCCTCCCTGCCTGGCTGCCCTGTCGCTGGGCCCCTGGACTTTGGAGCAGACAGTGCGGGGGCGGGTGGGGCCAAGGTTCTCCCAGGGGCCCCTCGGTCGGCCTTGGCTGGAGGCCGTCCCCCTGGGCCCCCAAGCGCATACTGGGAACTGGCGCCACTGACTGCCCAGGTGGGGCCCCGGCTCAGGGCTCAGCAGGTGCAGCTGCCGGGGTTGGGGAAAGGAGCTGCTTGCTAGAGCTGGTATGGGGGCTGGGGAGGGGGTCCCCAGCCTGGTGACTAAGAGGAACAACTCCCCCCACTCCATATCCCCAGGTCCTGGTCAGGGCTGTAACCCCACCTCCCATACCCCCCACAAACAAGAATTTCCTGTTTGCTGTAGGCTGGAGGTGGGGGGGGCATCGAGTCTGGCGCCTCCCCTTGTGCCAGGCCACACCTGAGCCTGGGGCTCTGCCTTGCCAAGTTGGGGCAGGGCTTTGTGCCTCTGACAGGCACTTGTCTGGGGAGGCTGGCGAGGAGGAGGAGGAGGAGGAAGAACCTGGAACCCCACCCCCGTGAGAAGGCCTCGATGCCCAGTTGTGGGGCAGGGGGGCACTCAGGCCTGCCCCCATGCCTTAATTTCCAACAGGTGCTGTTGAGCAGAGAGATGGAGTTGGGGGGTGCGGGAAATGTGTGTGGATAAGGCTGTTTGCACTTAGTAGGCCCCTGCTGTGTGCCTCCCGCAGCCCCCTTGGCAAGTGGGGCCGGTAGCCTGGGCATCGCCTGCCCTCCCCACGCCTGTGGCCCCGGCTCCCCGCGGGGCAGCGGAATTAGAAGCCGTGACCACTGAGGCCTTTACTGCCCCCGGTGACGCCATGAAAGAGGCCACCTCGGCCAGCCAGGGGCTGCCCTGGCTGCGATAATGCCCTTTTATGGCCTGGGGTCCACGCCCCCATCTTCCTCCGTTGCTCTCCCAGGCCACTAGCAGGGAGCTGGGTGAAACTGGACCCGGCTGGCGCCCCATGGGCTGCTGTGTTTTTTCTTTGAGATGGCGAGGGGTGTGCTGGACCACGCAAGGAGTTTGGAGCTGATTTCTTTCTCATTGATGGGGGGCTCTGTGTACCCCAGACTCCTGGGGAGTGGAGAAGCCCAGAGGCACAGTCAGGGTAGAGGAACTGTCCACCTCCGCCTGGGGTCACTTGACCCGTGTCTGGGCCCCACCAAGGCAGCAGCCTTCATCCTCAGGAGGCCGCACACAGCCTGGCCACCCAGCTCTCCTGCCCCCACGTCCTTGCTGAGAAAGTCATGGCTGACTTATTAAGCCACAGCCATGTGCACCACCACCTGGGCAGGGAACACATGTCCCCAGGCCCCTCGCTCAGGAGTGGCAGGGCTGTGGGGAGCTGGCTCTGTGTGTGTGTGTGTGTGTGTGTGTGTGTGCAGGACCTGCCAGCCCCTACCCAGGCCGTCTACCTGCTCAGCCCTCCGACAGCTGGGCCTTCGTGTCCACCATAAAAACGCAGGAATGCAGGCCGGCCAGTCTGACGCTGACCTGGGCGGGGCCGCCAGGGCCGGCCCTTCCCGACCACCCAGGGCAGGCGTCCAGGCTCCCGGTGCCTACTGGCCCTGTTCTGGGCGAAACGGAGACCCCAATAGCCAAGGGCAGCCAGGGGACCCCACAACACTCAAGGTGGCTTCAAGCCCCCCCCCACCCTTCCCCCGAGGCCCCAACCAGCCCCTCTTCCTGGAGTTAATTGGAGGCCTGGTGCCTGCCGCTGCTGCCTCCCCAGCTGGCCGGCCGGGCCCCCGCCCTAGCACCACTTCATAATCATGCCTGCTGCTCCCAGCCGAGCCGCTCCACCCCCACGGCCACTGTAGCAGCCCAAATGGGCACTTACTCGGGCAGCTGCCTACCTGGTCGAATTGTGGCCCCCTAGAGGGTGGGGTGTGATCCTGACCCCACCCCATCCATGCCAACAGAGACCCCGGTGGGAAGTGGGGAGAGTTAGGACGGAGATGAGCCCAGCTTGGGTTCTGGGGTATGTGGCACTGGTGGCGGGGCTGTGTGGGCAACTGGCCCTGCCCACACTTGGTCTCCAGCATTCTGCCCTCAGGAGGATGTGTTCTGTGCTAGCCTGTGTTTGGCCCATATCGCCACTTCTTGGGCCCGTCTTCTTGCCATGTGTATCAAGCTGGCGCCTGAAGGGGACCCTTGGTTCCCACCCCCCTCAGCCTCCCTCCACCACCACCGACTCCCCTCCTCCCCCTGGCCTCAACTGAGGCGTCTTTTCTGCCCGCACAGCTCTACGAGCTAGATGGAGACCCCAAGCGCAAGGAATTCCTGGACGACCTGTTCAGCTTCATGCAGAAACGAGGTAAGGGCCCCCTCCCACAAAGTCAGGGGACAGATGGGAGGCACCTGCCCAGGGTCTGACGGGTTAGGCACCTGCCCTGCCCGGGGCCTGATGGAGCAGGCATGGACAGCTGTGAGCCCCAGCCATGAGCCCCTGGGCACAGTGGGGGGAGGTGTTCCCCCTGCAGGACCCTCACTACAGGGCCAGCAGGTGGGTTATGCCTTGGGGAGCAAAGTTAGCTCCTAGTTGGACAGGCAAGGGGCCAGGGTGGCGCTGAGGAGGTGGGAACACCCCTAACTGTCCACTCACTGAGTGCCTATAATATTCTTGGCTGCACAGCCCCCCCCCCCCGCACCCTGCCACACTTCCTCCCAGATGTGGGAGCCATCGAGGACAGGTGTCCAGTTGGGGAAACTGAGGCCCAGACTGGGGCTAGCTCCCCTCAAGAGTGGGAGCTGAAGCCAGTGGGCCAGAGGCGGATGCTCAGGCTGCCTGCCTGCCCGCCCATGCCCTGCAGGGCCGCCCAGCCCAGCCCAGCTGGCTTTGTCCAGACCTCCGCCCGCCCCTCCCTGCGCTCTGTAAACACCGGAAGGGAAGGAGGGGAAGGGGGCTGTTGCGGCCTCCGGACCCCTGCCCCGCCACCCCGCACTACCCCCAACGGCCTCTGGGTTAACCCCTCCCATGCCTGGCCAGGAGTACGGGGCCCTGCTGCTGTGTTATCATGGGAGCCAGCCCTGCTGCCCCTGGAGTGGCCAGAGAGAGATGGCCAAGTCCCCTTATCAGTGCGTGCACGCCCCTGCCCCCAGTCCCGGCCGAGCCGGCCGGCGGGGTGCCTGGTGCTGGGAGCTGGGGTTAGGGTGGGAGGGGGTTGGAGGGCACAGCCCATAGGGCACTCCCTAGGGAGATCTGAGAACCCACTGGTCTCCCTCCCCAGGACTCCCCAGGCCCTGCTCTGGTTCACGGGCTGTGCTGTGGGAATAAGGACAGTGAGGCGAGGGGTCCCGCTCGCTGCACCCCTCCCTCCCTCCATCTCTCCCTTCACAGTAGCCCTGCCTGTTTCCTGGCTGCCCTGGGCCCCTGCCCTGTCACTCCTGCCCTGGGGCCTCCAGCAGGCTCTGGTTTCTATAAACATCCTCCTCCTCTTCCCCTGCCCCTCCCCCGCCACCTGCCTTCCCTCCCAGAAGGCTCTGGGGCTCCCAGGAGGGGAGGGGCAGCCGGGACCGGCCTCTAGCCCCTCTGTGGCCGCCAAGTGGACCGGAGTGGGGAGGACCCTGAGTCCTTTTGTCCTGGGCAGTGGTGGGGGGCAGTAGAGGGACAGCAGGCAGGCTTTGGGGGGCCGGGTCCTGGGGAGCTGAGGGGGATCTGTCAGCAGCACCTGCCCTGATCAAGGCTGGTCCCAGTGGCTGAGGGGTCCTGGAAGGCAGGACATGGGACCCACGGATGCCCAGATAGCTGTGGGTTCCTCCCAGCAGGCTGTGGTGGATACCCCACTGCCGCGCTGGGCTCACCCCTTCTTCCCACCTGCAAAGCCCAGCGGGGTCCTCCTGGGGAGAACTCACCCCTGTGGCTATCCACCCCAAGAGGATGGAGAGACGGAGACCGAGCTGCCTCGCAGGGTCCACCCAGACAGTGGCTCCCAGTGCAGAGCCAAGCAAGACCAGCCCTGGCTGCAGCACTGGTCTCGCCTGTCCCCCATGAGGACCCCCTGGCCTCACCCTGTCCCCTGTGAAGACCCCCTGGCCTCACCCTGTCCCCCCATGAGGACCCCCTGGCCTCACCCTGTCCCCCCATGAGGACCCCCTGGCCTCACCCTGTCCCCTGTGAAGACCCCCTGGCCTCACCCTGTCCCCCCATGAGGACCCCCTGGCCTCACCCTGTCCCCCCATGAGGACCCCCTGGCCTCACCCTGCCCCTCTTGCCCACAGGGACCCCCTGGCCTCACCCTGCCCCTCTCGCCCACAGGGACCCCCGTGAACCGCATCCCCATCATGGCGAAACAGGTGCTCGACCTCTTCATGCTGTATGTGCTGGTGACCGAGAAGGGCGGCCTAGTGGAAGTCATCAACCGGAAACTGTGGCGGGAGATCACCAAGGGGCTCAATCTGCCCACGTCCATCACCAGTGCCGCCTTCACCCTGCGGACCCAGTGCGTGACCGGGTGGGCGGGGCCAGCCAGCGGGATGGGTGGGTCAGCAGGGCTGTGGCCAGTGTGGGCAGGGCCAGCAGGTTGGAGGGGTCAGCAGGGGAGTGGCCAGTGTGTAGGGTGGGGACAGATGGGGTGGGCTGAGGGAGCAGTGGGCCTGATCTAAGGGAGCTGAGGCCCCCGGGGACACCCCCTGTGCCATCCTGGGTGCCATCCCGTCCCTGCCTGCCCGCCCCTAGGTACATGAAGTACTTGTACCCCTATGAGTGTGAGAAGCGAGGCCTTAGCAACCCCAGCGAGCTGCAGGCCGCCATCGACAGCAACCGGCGTGAGGGGCGGCGTCACAGCTTTGGGGGGTCCCTCTTCACCTACTCGCCCAAGCTGCCCGTGTCCTCCCTGGGCCTGGCCACCAGCACCAACGGTAGCTCCATGACCCCCGCGGCCCCCAAGATCAAGAAAGGTAGGATGCCATCCTAGGGTGTGCGGGTGTGGGGGTGCGAGCCTGGATCCCAGCGTCTGGGGGACGGGGCAGGGCTTGCATCCCAGCCAGCGTCTGGGGCTGTTGGGGTCACCGAGAGGAATCCCCACTTGGGCCGCGCCCACAGCAGACAGCACTGTCTTTCTGACATCACCGGTTCACTGGCCGACCGGGAACCCCTCCGAGCCTTATTCCTGCACAGGCCCCCGCTCCCTTAGCCTACAAAGTGCCCAGCGGCCAGTGACTGCCGGGGGGCGCCGTGGTCCTGCGGAAGGGCAGAGCCAGGCCCCTCCTGACCTCCAACCCTCTTCTCTTCCCTGCAGAGGAGGACTCGCCCATTCCCATTCCCGTGCCCGGCCGCCTGCCTGTCTCCCTGGCAGGTCACCCGGTGGTGGCGGCCCAGGCGGCAGCTGTGCAGGCAGCGGCGGCCCAGGCAGCCGTGGCGGCCCAGGCGGCAGCCCTGGAGCAGCTGCGGGAGAAGCTGGAGTGCGGGGAGCCGCCTGAGAAGAAGATGGCGCTGGTAGTGGATGGGCAGCAGCAGCGGCTCATGCAGCGCGCTCTGCAGCAGAACTTCCTGGCCATGACGGCACAGCTGCCCATGAGCATCCGCATCAGCAGCCAAGGTAAGGGCCGGCCGGGCGGGGCGCGGACAGGGGCGCGGGGAGCCGGGGGACAGGGGCAGCCAGACCAGGCCGGGGCCTGGACAAGGGCACGGGGAGATGGAGCCCAGATAGGGGACGCAGGGAGACGGGGGGTGTGGGGAACTGGGGCACACAGGGCTCTTACACCAAGGCGGGTGGCATCTGGCCTCGCCCGCTGCCAGCTCCCTGCTTAGGTGCACCCTGGGACACAGCAGTGAAGGGCCCTGCACCCTCCCACGTGGAGCCCCTGGCTGCCGCCTGTCGCAGCCCCAACCACTGTGGGCGTCTCGGGGAATGAGCCAGCGGGTGCAAGGTTGTTCTCTTTGCCTTCCAGATAAACACACACAGAATGGTAAGGCGAGGTGGGGATGTGGACTCATGAGTGTCCACTGTATACAGTGTGACAGGGTGGCCCACTGGGCGCCTGCTGTATACAATGTGACAGGGTGGCCCATTGAGCACCCACTGTACATATCCTGTAGGTTCGGCACAGGGTGACGGTGCTGGGCAGGGGGAGACAGGCACGGAGGGGGCGGTACGGGGCGTGAGTAGCCATCAATGGGTGTCTTCCGTCCCTCAGCCTCTGACAGTCGCCAGGACCCCGCCGCAACCCTCAGCGGCTCCAACGGCAGCAACAGCATCAGCATGTCAGTGGAGATCAATGGCATCATGTACACAGGTACCATTCTGAGCCGGGCGTGGCGGTGGGCGTCCCTGGGCAGTGGGGGAGCTGGGGGCAACGGTGGGCGTCCCTGGGCAGTGTGTGGAGCCGGGGCGGTGGGCGTCCCTGGGCAGTGCGTGGAACCAGGGCAGTGGGTATCCCTGGGCAGTGGGGGAGCTGGGGGCAGTGGTGGGTGTTCCTGGGCAGCGAGGAAGCTGGGGGCGACGGTGGGCGTCCCTGGGCAGCGCATGGAGCCGGGGCGGTGGGTGTCCCTGGGCAGTGCGTGGAGCTGGGGTGGTGGGTGACCCTGGGCAGTGCTTGGAGTCGGTGGAGAGCAGTGGGTGTCCCCTGGGCTGCTCACGGAGCTGGGTGACCCTGGTCGGATAGGGTAGGGCATATCTGTGCGGTGCATGGGGCCATGGTGCTGGGTGAGCCCAGGCAGTGTGTGGAGCCAGGGCAGTGGGTGACCTCGGGCTGTGACTGGAGCTGGAACAGTGGGGGAAGTGGGTGACCCCGGGTGCAGAACCCGCTCCCAGGCAATGGCCAGGGTAGGTGGGCGTCCCCAGGCTGTGTGCTGAGCCAGGTATGTGCAGGTCCACGTCCCACCTGTTGGGGGACATCTGTGAGCCTGGGACCCCAAGACTCGGCCGCCTAGAATGTCCAAGGAGGAGCTTGGTGCAGCTGCGCCAGCCGAGGCGATGGGTCCCTACTGGGTGCCTGGGGACCCTGGGTGATGCGTGCCTTCTCCCATCCTTGAACCAGGGGTGCTATTTGCTCAGCCACCAGCCCCGATGGCACCGTCAGCTCCTGGCAAAGGCGGCGGTGGCACCAGTGGCAGCAGTGGTGGCGGTGGTGGTGGCCGCGGAGCAGCCGGTGGTGGCAGTAGCAGCAGCAGCAGCAGCAGCAGCAGCGGGGGCGTGGGTGGCCAGGTCGGGCCAGCGCCCCCAACTTCTACCTCAAGCAACTCGGTGCCTTAATGCTCTCCCCACTGGAGAGCCGGGCTGGGGAGACAGCCAACCCAGGGAGGACCACAGCTGACGCCAAAAAAAAAAAAAAAAAAGAAAAAGAAAAAACGGAAAGACATATATCCTATATAGATGCAGAGTTTAATAAATGGGGACCTCGCATCTCTCAGGGTCCGGGGGCGCCGCCTGGGCCACCTCCTCCGCACCCCACGCCGGAGGCAGCCCCCTGAGCCACGACGACCGAATTTTTTCCTCTTGTTCTTTGGGAATTTCTTTTTTTGTTTGTTTGTTTTGTTTTGAAATAGCGACAGACTGCGGGTTCTAGGAGGGTGCGGGTTTCCTGTGTAAATACGCTGTGTTCTGGGTGCAGCCTTAGCAAGCGGGCACCTGTGTCTTGGTGTCTGCGTGTCGTGGTCCTGCGGTGACCCGGGCCTCCCACGTGCGGTGCGCGGCAGGTACAGGGGCGGGCCAGTCGACTCAGGGATGAATGCCCGCTCGGGGCCAGCTCAGGGTGAGGATGTGGCCTCGTGGGCGTGCCCCCTACCCACCCCTTCCTGCATCCCACCCCCACCCCCCAACCTCCATCTCAGGGCATCTGTCAGTCCCCTTCTCCCCTGCTTCTGGAAGGTTCTCCCCACCGCAGCACAATCATTTTGGGAGTTGAGGCGGGGGTGGTTCTCTGGTCTCCTGCGCAGCTGCCCCGCCCCGCATCCACTGCCCCTGTCCGTCTACCTCAGGTGTAAGCAGGACATGAGAGGCTGCAGCCAGGTGGCACCTCCACAGGCGTGCGTGTACGGGGTGCACGCCGGCCGGACGTCCCGTGTCTCCAGCGTGTGTGTGAGTCCTTGGGCACATGTGCTGGTGTGTGCCTTGCATGTCTCTGGCATGTGTCTTGCACGCCAGCACATGTGTGTCCCTGGGTGTGCGTGTGTGTCTGCCCCCAGCACACGTGTGTCTCATATCCCTAGGCGTGCCTGTGTCCTGTGTTAGGGACTGGTGGTAAGCTGTGTGCTGCATTTGGTCCAGCCTCCCCTGGCAAGCTGGGGTGTTGACCAGGACTGACCGGACTCTATAACTCAGGGGACTGGCTTGCTGTGAACTGTGGGGCCATGGGGGGGACGAGCAGCGGCACGGCTGGGGGTGGGCCGCAGGTCTGGACCTGCCTCCACTGGTGTGCACCCGCTCAGGGCCTCCCCCCACTGCCCAGTCCTGGCCACCTGCTGCCCCTGAGGGCCCCAGTGTCTTTGTGGGGTGTTACTCAGCACCCCTTATGCAAGCGGGGCTGTGGAGGGGACCAGTGCCTTGGCCACGAGGACTCTGGGCAGTGACCGTAGAGCACCTCCCATCCCCCAAAAACAAAAACTCAGGGCGAAGAGGGGGTCCTGTCGGAGACCCCCTGCCCCGGACTGCTTCTAGAATCTTCCTTGACCTCGGGGAGGGGCCGGGGCAGGTGCAGGGTTAGTTCCTGAGACGCACGCATCTGTATGGCAGCCAGATGTTTCCTCCTGTCATTTCTGTTCATATTGTGACCCTCCCCGCCACCCCCCCAATTTTGCTTTAGCTTTTATTTTTTTTCTTCTTCCTCTCGGCACACACAAATTCAGCCTTTCATTGTCAATTCCTATAAGATTTCATCTCCTCCGGGGTCTTTGTCAGGTGGCGTGGCGACCACGCCTGAACTCAGGTAAAAGGAAAGAAAAAAAAAAAAAACTTAAAAAAAAAAATGGTAACTGCTCTACCTCTGGCTGGGCCCAGCCCGTCCCGCGCCGGCAATTCAGCCCGGCCGAACATTCTGGTATTAAAGGAAAAAAAAAAAACAAAACAAAACAAAAAAAAAGACAAAAAGACCAAAAAAAAAAAAAAAGGTGTGATTTTGAAATTTAAAAGAACACTGAAAGTTTACATTTTATAATAACATTATTATGCAGATTGTATTTAAGCTTCAGAAATATTTAAGACAATTGTAACCCTGTAAAGCTGATATTAAAACAAGACAAACACTTCTGACTTTTAACAAAACACAGAACTGGCTCCTGTGGTCTTTGGGTGGGGGGGTACCCCCCTGGGGTGGGTTGGTGGGAGCCCAGAGGTCCCCCCTGCAGCACCCAGGCAGGCCGACCGGGCTACCCTGGGCCCCAGCGGGCACCCCCTCCCTGCCCACCCCCACGTTCGGCCATGTCCCGTTGCAGAGAGCAGCCGTCCCGGGGCGTGACTGACACGGGAAGGTCGCCCTGTCCTACAGGCAGCCGGGCAGGGCCGGCCTGGGCTGGCCCGTGCTGACCACAGCCGTGTAAACAGCCTGGCCCCTCTGCAGGGGTGGGGTGGGGGGCTGTGTAGCACGCTGGGGGGTGGGGGCAGGGGTCCCGCAGCCCAGTTAAGGGGCCAACTGGAAGGACCAGTTGGGCCTCTTCATTCCTGGACTGGGGGGGCTTAGGTGGGGACCACTTGGGAGTCCCTGGGGTGACCACACCAGGCTGCTTGGGGTTGTCTGTGTCTGTGTGTGTATGTGTGTGTGTGTGTGTGCTGTCTCGGCGGGGTCCCCCAACGCCTCCCCGGCTTGAGGTGCAGGGTGCTGCAGGGAGGAGGGTCCGGGCGTGGGTGCTCAGTGGCCATGGAATGGGAGTGACCACCCGTTCCATCCCTCCCTGCAGCCAAGCCCCCAACTGCTCTTCCAGAACTGGTCAGTCCTCATTCCAAAGATCAGGCTGGGGGGCGGGGCGACCTCTGACCCTACAAGCCTGGCTAGGCTGGGGCCAGCGGTGGGCAGGACCCTGAGCATGGCCACGCTGGGGGTCGCGGTGGGGAGGACCCTGAGCATGGCCAGGCGGGGGGTCGGGGTGGGGAGGACCCTGAGCCTGGTCAGGGGTCGGGGTGGGCAGGACCCTGAGCCTGGTCAGGGGTCGGGGTGGGCAGGACCCTCCCTGAGCCTGGTCAGGGGTCGGGGGTCGGGGGTCGGGGTGGGGAGGACCCTCAGCCTGCCAGGCCGGGGGTCGGGATGGGGAGGACCCTGAGCCTGGCCAGCCAGGGATGGGATGGGATGGGGAGGACCCGGTGCAGAGGCCGGATGGACCAAGTGGGGACCGTCCTGGCCCAGCTGCCTGCCCATCGCTGCCCGGGGAGTGCCCGCCTCCACCCAGCCCCTCACGGCCTCACGGTCCCTGCGTGCTTCACCTGCTGCTGTTGGACCCAACCCGGAGACCACGACTTCGGGGTGCAGGGTCTTGTGCGTCTACACACACACACACACACACACGCGAGATGTGACACGCCGGGGACCAGCGCTGGGTTATTGGGGTACAGGTGGGCGGCCACTGCGGCTTGCAGCCGGCGGCTCGCGCGCGCCTCCTGGTGGCCACGCCGTCGCCGGACGCCGCGAGGGGAGCCGGGGGGGCGGACCCGGGGCGACCCCCGAGGAGACGGGAGGACCCAGCGCGCCCCCAGAGAGGCGGAAGGACCGGGGGCGACCCCCGAGGAGGCGGGAGGACCCAGCGCGCCCCCCGAGGACCCGGGCGACCAGGACCGCCCCCCGCGAGCCTCCCTAGGACCACCCGCACGCCGGGCGGAAGTGCCCCTCCGCGTTACACAACACCGTAGGGCGCAGGCGCCGGTCAGGCGGCGCGCAGGCGCCCTGGCGCGCGCTGGCCGCTCTAGCGCGGCCGCGTCTCGGTGGTGATGTCGCACTTCCGGGGCGGCAAGATGGCGGCGCCCATGGAAGTGGCCGTGTGTACGGACTCGGCGGCCCCGCTGTGGAGCTGCGTGGTGTGGGAGCTGCACTCGGGCGCCAACCTGCTCACGTACCGCGGCGGGCAGGCGGGGCCCCGCGGCCTGGCGCTGCTCAATGGCGAGTACCTGCTGGCCGCGCAGCTGGGCAAGAACTACATCAGCGCCTGGGAGGTGCAGCGCAAGGTGGGCGGCAGGAGGGGCCGCGTGTGTCCAGGGAGCGCCTGTGTGCACGTGGCCAGCTGAGGGTGGACATGGGGGGCCCTGGGCTGGAAGCAGCTGCAGGGGCGTGTTTCCAGGGGCCAGGGTGCACGGGGTGCTGCGTGGGGTCGTTTGCAGTCGGGGACCGAGGAGGGAGGTTGGAGGGTCTTCCAGCTCTCAATGGACGCCTGTCCAGGCTTCCCAGGCTGGACATCAGGACACCGGGCTGGGGGGGGCGTCCATCCCGCTGCCCGAGCCTCCGATTTCCAGCCCCCGGCAGGGGTGAGCTGCATGCAGACCCTAGGCCGGCCCCATGCGCTCCCCCTGTGTCCCCTCAGAGCCCCCTGTGCATTCCCCCAGGACCAGCTGCAACAGAAGATCATGTGTCCCGGGCCCGTCACCTGTCTGACCACTTCGCCCAACGGCCTCTACGTCCTGGCGGGCATCGCAGAAAGCATATACCTATGGGAGGTAGGAGAAGCAGGGGCCCCCTCTGCTCAGGGCAGGGCAGGAGGAGCCTGCAGGGCCAGCATGGGCAGGACACACAGTCGCCGGCCTGTCCAGGTGGGCTGCGAGGTCTTCGCTGGGCGAGCAGGGGGCAGGCACTGTCCACCCCCGCCCCAAGGTCAGGTATGCCTGCCCAGGAGGCCGCTGGACTGTGCCAAGCTGGGCAGGTCCCATCTACAGAGCCTCATCCTGCATCAGACCAATGCCCTGCCCCACCCAGGACCCACCCCCCACCGGGGTTGGGAACCAGGGGCAACTTGGGGGTTCAATGAGCCAGTCTGGGGTGCTCTTGCTCCTGCCACCAGGGGGGCACCCGCTCGCCACTGCTAGAACCACCTTCTACATCTGTGTGGGTGACCTGGGGTGTCCCCCCACCCCCGTCAGGGCTAGGCGATACCCACACCCCTGGGACCCCAGGCTGAAGTTTTCTCCCAGCCTATAGGAACCCATATGGAGAGATGGCTGAACCAGCCAGGACTGGGCCAGACTGAAGCCAGGAGCCAGGAGCTTCTTCCAGGTCTCCCACGCGGGTGCAGGGTCCCAAGGCTTTGGGCCGTCCTCCACTGCTTTCCCAGGCCACAGGCAGGGAGCTGGATGGGAAGTGGGGCAGCCGGGGCATGAACTGGTGCCCCTGTTGGATGCCAGTGCTGCTCCTCAGTGCCGGCCCCATGAACCCTGTTTTCTGATAATGCTGTGTCCAGGACCTCGAGGCTGGAGTGCATGTTACCCCCACACCCCGTGTCTCTTCCCAGCACCCTGCGCCTCCTTCAGCATCGGGATCGGAGCCAAGCAGGGGTTGCAGACATGGGCTGGGGGTCCCGCAACTGCAGCCTGCGTGTCTGCCCCTCCCTGCCCCCAGGTCTGTACTGGGAACCTGCTGGTGATCCTCAGCCGGCACTACCAAGATGTCTCGTGTCTCAAGTTCACTGGGGACAGTAGCCACTTCCTGTCGGGGGGCAAGGACTGCCTGGTGCTAGCCTGGAACCTCTGCAGGTAGCCTCCCTGAACCAGCTGCCCGGGATCCCCCTGCCCCCGACCTGGGCCAGCCGCCCGGGGTACCCCTGCCCCCCTGAACCAGCTGCCCGGGGTCCCCCTGCCCCCGACCTGGGCCGGCCACCCTGGGTCCCCCTGCCCCCCACCTGGGCCAGCCGCCCGGGGTACCCCTACCTGCCAGGGGCAGGGTACCCAAGGCCCTGAGGGCCTGGAGTGTGGAGGTGTTGTCCAGGGACCCTCAGCTACCCTCCGTGTTGGAGAGATGGCAGGGAACCTCCCTGAGCCCCTCTGCACCCCACAGCGTGCTGCAGGTGGACCCCGCCAGGATCCCTGCTCCACGGCACGTCTGGTCTCGCCACACGCTCCCGGTCACAGACTTGCACTGCGGCTGTGGGGGCCCCCTGGCCAGGGTGGCCACCTCCTCACTGGACCAGACAGTGAAGGTAGCACCGGTCGCATTTCCACTCGGGACCCCCCAGGCGAGGGATGCCTCCTGCCCCCCACCCCATGCCACAGGGTGTCAGAAGGGTGCCCAGCCCGAGGGAGGGGGCCTGCACACCCTCCAAACCCCCACATGCAGCGAACTCCAGGCCCCCTCCTGGTGACAGCACGCACATGGGCCCCCCACGGTCCAGGGTTCTGTGGGTGCTGGCCCGTGCTGCACCCCGAGGCCCCAGCCTGGCCCTGCCTGCCCTCCAGCTGTGGGAGATCTCGTCGGGGGAGCTGCTGCTGTCCGTGCTGTTCGACGTGGGCATCATGGCCGTCACCATGGACCTGGCCGAGCACCACATGTTCTGCGGGGGCAGCGACGGCTCCATCTTCCAGGTGGACCTCTGCACCTGGGTGAGTGACGGGAGGCCCCGCCCTCCACAGCTCCCTGTCCATCACGAGGCCCCGCCCCTCACAAGGCCCCGCCCTCCACATGGCCCCTTGTCCATCCTGTGGTTCTTGGTCCCACAGCCCGGGCAGAGCGAGCGGAGCTTCCAGCCGGAGCAGGAGGCTGGGAAGGTTTTCCGAGGGCACAGGTGGGCTGTTCCCCACGGGGATTGTATGCATGCCTGGCCGGGTCTCCTTCCCCCACCCCTTGAGCGGGACCCCAACACTGTGTGTGCCCCACAGGAACCAGGTCACATGTCTGTCGGTGTCCACGGACAGCACCCTGCTGCTGTCCGGCTCCCACGATGAGACGGTGCGCCTGTGGGACATACGGAGCAAGCAGTGCGTCCGTACCGTGGCACTCAAAGGTGGGCAGGGAGCGGGGACCAGGCAGGGCAGAGAGCAGGCATGGGGCAGGCCAAGGGACAGGGACAGGCAGGGTGGGCATGGGGCAGGGCAGCGAGTGGGGACTGGGCATGGAGCGGGATGGGGGCCAGCCCACAAGGCTGACCTCTGTACCCACCAACCCCCCAGGCCCTGTGACCAACGCAGTCATCATGCTGGCACCCGTGGGCATGCTCAGCTCTGACTTCCGGCCCAGCTTGCCGCTGCCCTACTTCAACAGGCACCTGCTGGGGGCAGAACACGGGGATGAGCCCCACCGAGGGGGCTTCACGCTGCGCCTGGGTCTCCACCAGCAGGTGCGTGCCTCCCGCGGCCCTGTGGAGATAGGATGGGGTGTTCGTTAGCTGGGATCCATGTCCTGCGTTGGGAATGTCCTGGGGCCTGTGTACTAGGCTGGAAGCCATGTCCTGGGGTCTGTGTCCTAGGCTGGGGGCAGTGTCCCAGACTGGGGCCATTGCCTTTCCTGGGAGCCAGGATTTCAGTGGGAGCCGTTGGGAGTACAGCCCGTCTCTCCCAGGCTCCGCTGGGTGTCCCTTCCTGCTGTGACCCCTCCCCTGCTGCCCCAAGTCTGCTCAGCTTTCCCGCTGCCCACCCTCACCCTGCCCAGGGCTGGCCTGTGTCCTTGGCATCTCCCAGCATTGCCTCCCTCCCTCTGCGCATGCCTACGTTGTACGTGAAAGGCACTGTGGGACGTGGCGCCCACGCCAGGAACCACCCGCCCCTGGGAGCCTGCACGAGTGTTGCTGTGGGGTTGGGATTGTGGGAGGCCTCAGGGAGGGGCGCAGATGCAGGGTCCAGGCCGAGCCGGGCCGTACCAGGCTCCAGGGCCATGTCCAGCCATGAATAACTTTGCTGCCTTGGGGACCGGTCTCTGCCTGGCACCTCCTCGACTGGGTTGCATCTTCCAAGGCCTGGAAGTCGGGCAGTTTGCTTCTGGAGGCAGGTTGGGCTCAGGATGGATGCTCACCCTGGCCTTGTGTTGCAGGGGTCAGAGCCCAGCTACCTGGACCGCACAGAGCAGCTACACAAGGTTATGTGCGGCACCATGGAGAAGGTGGGCAGGGCAGTGGACGGTGTGATGTTGTGGTGGGCAGGGCGTGTGTGGATGCAGCACGGGGCAGATGGATGGGACATCGGGCAGGGGCGGGGCAGAGGACACGGGGTGTGGTCTTCTGGGTGTGAGGGGCCCCGAGGTCCCATCACCTGTTGACCCTTGCCCACACTCCCCCCAACCACCCACCCAGAGCGTGCTGGGTGGCCAGGACCGGCTGCGGGTGCGCGTGACGGCGCTGGAGGAGGAGGTGCACAGCCTGCGAAAGATCAACCGGGACCTGTTCGACTTCTCCACGCACATCATCACGCGGCCGGCCAAGTGAGCCGGGGGCGGCCAGAGCCGGGCAGGGCAGGGCAGGGCTGTGACCTCAGAACGCTGGGGCTGAGCTGCCTGCCACCGCCGGCCACCCTGCTTGCCCCCCGGGGTCCCCCATGTGGGGGACACTCTGCGTCTCTTGTGTGTGAGGCCTCATGGGTGGTGCTGGGTTTTTTGTTTGTTTTATTTTGTTTTTAAGAAAATGACAGAAAAACCCTCCCTGTTGGTGTCTGTGTCTCTCCTTACCACCACCTCGGGAGCCCAGCTGGTGGACAGAGGGGTCACGGCAAGGATGGACGGGGTGCGAGGGGCGGATGGTAGGGGCCTGGCCCTGCGCCCACAGAACCTTCCAGAAGGGCTGCCCCCAGGCTGGCGGCTCTGATGAATGGTCCAGGAAATCCCAGAGAAGCAGTGGGTGCCAGGGTGACCGCAGACAGCGGCGGCTGCCAGCTCTGAGCTCATGCAGCTCTGTCCTGTTCTGGCTGGACTGGCTGTCCAGGCCACCTGTGCCAGCGAGACTGCAGCCCTTCTCGTCCCCTTGGACGCCAGCCTGCACTTGTCTGAACCCTGGACGTGGGCCTGGGGAGCAAGCAGGCTTGGGCGCGTGGCGCTGAGGACCCCACGGACTGAGTGGGGAAATCCTCCCCCACCCAGGTGTCCTGTCCGATTGCTGGCCCCTGGGGGGTGGCTCAGCCCCTCCCTGTCCACACCGTCATCCCCACCCCTCCCAGGGCGAGTATACCCCGTGGCGCCTGCCTCTCTCACTCAAGGGTGTGGGAGTGGATCAACCCCTCCCCGGCTCAGAACTGGGGATGCAGAGTAGCATCCCAGGAGATGGTGAGGGGGAAGCGGCCATGTCCGCTGACTGGCGTGGGCGCATTGTGGCGGCTTAGTGGTTCTCCTCGGCGGTGACCCTGGCAGAGCGTTCCCAAGGGATCCTGGGAGCCGCCAGCTCTGGCTTCCTGCCGCCGCCCCCACGAGTGTTAATCCAGTACCTCTGGTGCCCTGGGCAGGCCTGGATGGCAGCCAGGAGCTATGGAAGGTTCTGGGGCTGCAGAAGGGGGAGGCGAGAGTCCTGTCACCCATCAGTGCGCACCAGTAGCTAGAGATTCTAGAGACGTTCTCTCTGGACACTAGAGAGAGCACAGAGTGGGGGCCCCTGGATAGGGCCGGCGGTGGGAGGGTGCCGGGCGCCTGTGGTGGTGGGGGGATACTGCAGAAGCGCCTTTAGACAGGTACACCCGCTTATCTCCACAGGGCGCACAGTGGGGCAAGAGTGACCCCTCCCGGACCTCAGGCATCTAGGGTCCAGCGTGGTGACCCCGCCGCCCTCACCCCCGGAGCAGCCAGCAGAGAAAGGAGGGGACAGCGGCTCAGCATCGGGGCGCACGGGCCTGGTCCACACCGCACCCGCTCAATCCCAGGAACGGACGCACAGCGGACCAGCGGAGGGGCGGGCAGCGAGCGCGCCGGGCACCCGTGCGCCTCCGCCGGCGGCAACTTTTACCATGGAGTTTGTGCGGGTGCTGTGGCTTGGGCTGCTGCTGGCTTGGGAGCCTGCGCCCATCCGCGGACACCCACAGCCGTGCGGCGTTCTGGCGCGCCTGGGGGGCTCGGTGCGCCTGGGCGCCCTGCTGCCCCGCGCGCCCACCGCCCGCGCCCGTGTCCGCGGCGCCCTGACCCGGGCCGCTCAGGCCACTAAGCTACCGTTCAACCTGAGCTTGGAGCTGGTGGTCACCACGGCCCCTGCGCGCGACCCCGCCTCACTGGCCCGCGGCCTCTGCCAGCTCCTCGCGGCGCCGCCGGGTGTGGTGGCCCTGCTGGCCTTTCCCGAAGCGCGACCCGAGCTGCTGCAGCTGCATTTCCTGGCCGCCGCCACCGAGACCCCCGTGCTGAGCGTGCTGCGGCGGGAGGCGCGCGCGCCCCTCGGCGCCCCGGTACGCGCGGGCGGGATGCGGGGGAGCAGGACCCAGCCACCCCCATCCCCCGGGGGAGGGGAGGAGGACTCGGGCACCGGACGCGCGGGGGAGGGAACCCCGGGACGCAGGGACCTGGAGCAGTCCTGGGTGCGAGGCGCGGGACTTGGGCCAAGGGTTCCCCTCGTGGTTGGCTGTCTCTGGTTCGGCTCCCACGCTGCCGGGACGAGCCAGGCTCCATGGCGACCCCTCTCCAGCTGTGTGTTGGGGGCGGACCCTCCCCTCCTCCTCCTCCTCGTGCCAGAGCCTCACAGCTCACCATGGTCCCTCCCTTCCCTCCCGTCGACACCCCAGGTCCTGGTTCCCCGTGGCGGGGACGCAGAAGCAGCCCTGCTTCCCACCTTTCCACCCCTAAGGGTCCACTGTGCCCCCAGGGCCAGCCGCCTCAGCCGCCCCCTCCTTCCACGCCTGCCTTCTCCTGAGCCCGGTTTTCAGGATGCCAAGCTGGGGTCCCCCAGACCCAAACCCGGGCCTGTGGCGCCCTCTGCTGCCGGCTGTGGTAACTGCACCCGAGCCAGGCCTGGGACCCGGCACTGTCTGGATTCTGGAACCAGCCTGGCCTGCTGCCCAGTCTGCTGTCCTCGTCGGGCATTGCCCTGCCCTCCTTAGGCAAACCGCTAAGGGCAAATGCTGGGAACCTTTCCAGAAGGCCCAAGGCACGGCGCCTCAGCCAGCCCCCCAATTACACGGCTCAGGAGGCCTGGTGGTGGAGGCTGCGGCTGGGAGGCCCCCCGACCCTTACATGGCACCCTCTTTTCCCAGACCCCATTTCACCTGCAGCTTGACTGGGCCTGCCCCCTGGACACGCTGCTGGAGGTGCTGGTGTCGGTGCTGCGGGCGCACGCCTGGGAGGATGTGGTCCTGGTGTTGTGCCGTGTCCGGGACCCTGGTGGCCTGGTGGCCCTCTGGACAAGCCAGGCTGGCCGGGCCCCTCAGTTCGTGCTGGACCTGGGCCGGCTGGGTCCCGAGGCTGCAGACATTCAGGCTCGCCTGGCCCCCCTAGGGGCGCCCGTCCCCGTAGCCGTCCTCCTTGGCTGTGATGCCCCGCATGCCCTCCGGGTGCTGGAGGCTGCTCCCCTGGGCCCACACTGGCTGCTGGGTACTCCACTAGCCGCTGAGGCCCTGCCCACGACCGGCCTGCCACCTGGGCTGCTGGCACTAGGCGAGGTGGCCCAGCCCCCACTGGAGGCCGCCGTGCATGATGCCGTGGAATTGATAGCACGTGCACTGGGCACCGCAGCCAGGGTACAGCCTGATCGTGCCTTGCTCCCCGCACGGGCAAGCTGCGAGGACCCACAGGCACCCAGGCCAGACTCTTCCAGGCGTCTCCTGGCACGGTAAGCAGGGCTCAGGCACAGCAGCACCAACCCCGCAGGTCACTCGGGGCAGGGAACTGGGAAGGGAAAGAAATATGCAAGGATGAGGTCCAGGGGGTCGCGGCTTGTACCCCCACCTACCCTGGGGTGGTGGAGTGGTCACGTACTCCGGTTAAGGTACAACTCCAGCTGGCCCCACTGCGCCCTGCCTGGCTGTGTCCCTCCAGGATTCCAAAGCAGGGGGCAGTGTCCATTGAATCCCTCAAGCAGCCAGCACGCAGACAGGGAGATGGGATGCCTGCAGTGTGCATTGTGGGAGCGGCTGACACCCCTGTTCCCCCCAGGGTCCTGGCCAACACGACCTTCCGGGGCCGCACGGGCCCCGTGTGGGTGACCCCCAGCTCCCAAGTGCACCTGTCTCGGCAATTCAAGGTATGGAGCTTGCGTCACGACCCGATGGGAGCCCCTGCCTGGACAACGGTGGGCAGCTGGCAGGATGGGCGGCTGCAGCTGGAGCCTGGCGCAGTTACTGCCACGGCCGCAGCCAGGAGGCCCCCACCCCCGCTGGGAGCACAGGCCCAGCCCAAGCTGCGGGTAGTGACACTGGTGGAGCACCCGTTTGTGTTCGCACGTGAGCCAGATGAGGACGGGCAGTGCCCTGCCGGACAGCTGTGCCTGGATCCTGGCACCAGTGACTCGGCTGCCCTGGACGCGCTGTTTGCAGCCCTAGCCAACGGCTCGGCACCGCGCACACTGCACAAGTGCTGTTACGGCTACTGCATCGACCTGCTGGAACGGCTTGCAGAGGACGCACCCTTTGCCTTCGAGCTCTACATTGTGGGCGATGGCAAGTATGGCGCCCTGCGCGACGGCCGCTGGACCGGCCTGGTGGGCGACCTGCTGGCCGGAAGGGCCCACATGGCCGTCACCAGCTTCAGCATCAACTCTGCCCGCTCCCAGGTGGTGGATTTCACCAGCCCCTTCTTCTCCACCAGCCTGGGCATCCTGGTGCGGGCGCGGGACACGGCCTCGCCCATCGGCGCCTTCATGTGGCCGCTGCACTGGTCCATGTGGGTGGGCGTGTTCGCCGCCCTGCACCTCACCGCTCTGTTCCTCACCCTGTATGAATGGCGCAGCCCCTACGGCCTCACGCCCCGCGGCCGCAACCGTGACACCGTCTTTTCCTACTCGTCGGCCCTCAACCTGTGCTATGCCATCCTCTTCGGCCGCACCGTGTCCAGCAAGACGCCAAAATGCCCCACCGGCCGCTTCGTCATGAACCTCTGGGCCATCTTCTGTCTGCTGGTGCTGTCAAGCTACACGGCCAACTTGGCCGCCGTCATGGTCGGGGACAAGACCTTCGAGGAGCTGTCGGGGATCCATGACCCCAAGGTGGGGGTGGCCGACGGCCTTGGAGTTAACGGGCGGGTCGTGGGAGTACGGCTTCCCCTGTCGCGCTGAGAGGGGCCAGGCAGAGGTGCTGGGATGGGTGGCTGACGTGGAGGGAGAGGCGAGCGCTGGTCTGTGAGCTGGAGCTGAGGCAGAGGAGCGAGGGACACAGGGGCACCCAGGAAGTGGAGAGGCCACACAGAGGGCTGGCCAGAGTAGCTGTGGGCTCTGTTCTGAATATTCTGCCTTTTTTTTTTTTTTTTTAAAGAGATCATTTATTTGAAGGGCAGAGGAAGCAGGGATGCTTGCTTGGGGCAGCCAGGGACTGGCCAGGCTGAAGACAGGACCTCCACGGGGTCTCCTGTTTGAGGGGTGGGTGCAGGCCCACTCAGACCATCCTCTGCTCCCCCCACCCCCGGCATCAGCAGGGAGCTGGATGGGAAGTGGTGCAGCAGGGACTTGAACCCGTGTGAACTGGGGCTTTGCCCACAGCTCCAGCCTCAGCGCCCCCACCACAAGGTCTCTAAGTGGGGTCTGCCAGCGCCTCCTATTGTCGGCGCAGCCTGCTCCTGCGGCGACCCCGAAGGCGGGAGGGAGAAATGGGCATGGGGGTGTTTCCAACCGCAGGGTGCGGCTGTGGAGTCCCTCCCCGCCGCAGGTGCAGCCGATCCGCCAGGCAGGGCTGTCTGTGCGCCCGCGCCCCCAACAGACCCGCCGAGCCAGCCACCCCCGTGGGTCTCCCCACAGCTGCACCACCCATCCCAGGGCTTCCGCTTCGGCACGGTGTGGGAGAGCAGCGCCGAGACCTACATCAAAAAGAGCTTCCCCGAGATGCACGCGCACATGCGGCGTCACAGCGCGCCCACCACCCCGCACGGCGTCGCCATGCTCACGTGAGGGCCGGGCCGGTCAGGGACAGAAGGAGGGTGATGGGGGTCCCCCGCTGAGAGCCCCCCACCCCGACCCCACAGGAGCGATCCCCCGCAGCTCAACGCCTTCATCATGGATAAGTCGCTGTTGGACTACGAGGTGTCCATTGACGCTGACTGCAAGCTGCTGACCGTGGGGAAGCCCTTTGCCATCGAGGGTGAGGCGGAGGTGGTGGTGGGCAGGGCCGGGCCAGGACGGGCCGGGTCGGGCTGGGGTGCGTGGGGAGCCTTCCCACCCCGTCCCATCAGCCGCCTCACCCCCATCATCCAGGCTACGGCATTGGGCTGCCCCGGGACTCTCCACTCACCTCCAACCTGTCCGAATTCATCAGCCGCTACAAGTCCTCAGGATTCTTCGACCTGCTGCACGACAAATGGTACAAGATGGTGCCATGTGGGAAGCGCGTCTTCGCAGTGACCGAGGTGGGCTGGGCGCTGTGCCCCCCTGGGTTCTCTCTGGCACCCTCGCTCTCCCCGCTGCTGGTCACCTGGGGGAGGGGGGAACAGCGCCTGTCCTCGCAGCCGGCCTCGCAGCGCCCCGCTTCCCACAGACCCTACAGATGGGCATCTCGCACTTTTCGGGGCTCTTCGTGCTGCTGTGCCTGGGCCTGGGCAGTGCCCTGCTCAGCTCGCTGGGCGAACACGTCTTCTTCCACCTTGTGCTGCCCCGCATCCGCAGGAGCCCACGGCTGCAATACTGGCTGCACACCAGCCAGGTGAGGTGGCAGTGCGGCTGGGGAGGCCTGTCCTGCCCCGTCCTGCGTGCCATCAGCACGCTCTGTCTTCCGTCAGAAAATCCACCGAGCACTCAACGCAGAGCCGCGGGAGGGACCCGAGGAGCGGCTGGAGCCCGTGCCCAGGTAAGCCTCGCCAGGGCTACCCCTGCCCCCCGGGGGGGGACGTCCGGTCCAGCCCCTGTGCCCTGTCCCCAGCGACCCCACGGAGCCGCAGCACGAGACGCCCGCCGAGTCCGAGGGCACAGGCCGCTGGAAACGGGTGCGCCGGGCGGTGGGCAAGGAGCGACGTGTGCGCTTCCTCCTGGACGCAGCCCCGGAGCCCGAGGCGCAGGGCCTGACTTGGCCGTGCTCCAACGGCCGTCTGCCCACCGCGATGCCCACCGGCGCCCCGCGGCCCGGCGAGCTGCAGGAGCTGGAGCGGCACATCGAGGGCGTGCGGGAGCGGCTGCGCCAGGCCCTGGTGCGGCGCGGGGACCTGCTGGCCCAGCTCAAGGAGGGCGCCGGCCACCGGCCCCTGCGCCTACTGCAAGCAAGAGAGCCCCCCGCGCCCGCCCCGTGACCCTGGCCGGCCCCACCAGTTGGTCGTGCACAGGCTCTGCTGGCGGTTGTCCAGGAAGTTTATTCTATATACAAACACAATCTTGTACACTGCAATTAAATAGAGTGGAATGAGCACTCGCCCGCCCGCATTCCTCACCGACTGATCGGCTCACCGCCCGCCCTGAGCAGGGCTGGACCCCGGCGCCGGCCGCCGCTCCTGCTGTTGGCACCTGCACCCCTGCTGCTCCCAGACAGGGCGCTGCCCTTTCGGGGAGCCCCAGGCCTGGTGCGCGGCGGGGCCGGGCGTGTTCAAGGCACTGCAGAGGGAGCACCGGGCAGCGCCAGGGCCGAGCCCACCCCGGCCAGCGCTGCGGGGCCGCCCGCCCACCCACCCAGGCCTCTCCTGCACGCACGCATGCGCGGTCACTGCCCAGGGCCGCCCCGGGGACCCCCATGGGCCCTCGGAGACTCCAGACTTCACCTAGCCCTGCCCCCCATCTCCAAGACCACAGACTCGCCTCTCAGCAGGGACCGGGGGCCCCAAGCCAGCCGCAGCAGGCCGGCAGGCAGAGGCGGGGGGCCCGCCGTGGCCGCCCCCACGAGCTCCAGTGAGGCCAGTGGGTGGGCCCCAGGGCTCAGGACCCGGCCTGGGAGGGTGCGTCCACCGAGGCTGCGGGGGCAGCGCTGTTGCCGTCCCCCGTGTCCACCGTGGGGGCCGGGTCCGGGGCGGCGTCGCTCTGGGAGACGCTGTCCTGGGGGGCGCTGGGGATGTCGGGGGGCCGCCGCTCCAGCAGAGAGGCGCTCAGGCCCGAGAGGAACGAGGCGTCCGTGATGATGGCGGCCGTCTCAGCCATCCAACCCAGGTCACCCCCGGCGGCGGCGGCCACCGAGGCGGCCACGGCCCCCAGGGAGCTGGGCGCGGAGGCCACGGGCCCGGAGCCCCCGCCAGCGGCAGAGGAGCCGGGGCCCAGCGCCAGGGGCTGGCCGGGGTCGGGGCCGTCGGCGGGGCCGCCCAGGTTGTTGTTGAGGTCGTCGGGCAGCGCCGAGGGCGCCCCGGGGCCCAGGGGCGGGCTCCGCAGCAGCGTCTCCTGGATGCGCACCTGCTGCAGGATGGCGGGCAGCTCGTAGTGGTGGAAGAAGTAGATCATGGAATGCTGTGGGCGGGTGGAGGAGGGGTCAGCGGCAGCCCCGCCCCGCAAGCCCCGCCCCCGGCACACCAAGCCCCGCCCACCTGGATGAAGAGCCAGGAGGTGACCAGGGCCAGGCTGCTGTACTGCCCGTTGAAGCGGTAGTGGTAGGCGTAGAACGCGAAGTGGTACAGATAGAAGAACCTGCAGGTGGATGGGCGGGGCCTGAGCAAGCGCCGCCCCTGCGCACACCCACACGCCTGAGGCCCCGCCCTCCTCGCAGCCACACCCACCAGCCAGAGACCCCGCCCTCCTCACAGCCACACCCGCCAGCCAGAGGCCCCGCCCTCCTCGCAGCCACACCCACTGACCTGAGGCCCCGCCCTCCTCGCAGCCACACCCGCCGGCCAGAGACCCCGCCCTCCTCACAGCCACGCCCACACGCCCGAGGCCCCGCCCTCCTCACAGCCACACCTGCCAGCCAGAGGCCCCGCCCTCCTCGCAGCCACACCCACTGGCCTGAGGCCCCGCCCTCCTCGCAGCCACACCCGCCAGCCAGAGGCCCCGCCCTCCTCGCAGCCACACCCGCACACCTGAGGCCCCGCCCTCCTCACAGCCACACCCACACGCCTGAGGCCCCGCCCTCCTCGCAGTCACACCCACACGCCTGAGGCCCCGCCCTCCCCGCAGCCACGCCCACCGGCACCCCTCCCCTCGCCCAGGCCCCGCCCCTCACCGCAGCCAGTGCCGCTTGCTGGTGCTGGTGTGGCAGCAGATGGCGTCGTACTGGTCGGCCAGCCACACGATGAGGATGATGTAGAAGGCCGTGGTGGTGTCGTTGAAGAACTCGGACATGATGGCCTCCATCCCTGGGGGGGCAGCGGGGAGGGGTCTCAGGACAGGGGCGGGGCCTCAGGCCAGGGGCGGGGCCGCAGAGCTGGGGGCGGGGCCTCAGGCCAGGGGCGGGGCCTCAGGCCAGGGGCGGGCAGGGGGCAGGCCTCACCCACGAGGGCCAGGATGACCGTGAGCAGAGGTGCCGCCGGGAAGGCGATGGCCATGTTCATCTCCAGCATCTGCAGCAGGTCCACTGTGGACACAGGGCAGCATGAACGCCGGAACAGGGGAGCTGGGGAAGCTGGGGGAGCTGGGGGAGCAGGGCAACAGGGAGAGCTGGGGGAGCAGAGGCAACAAGGGGAGCCAGGTAACAGCCAGGGAGCAGGGGAGCCCAGCCTCACCGATGAACACAAAGATCTGGTGGTGCGAGTAGCGCAGCAGCATGGACACGCTCAGGGTCTGCGACGAGAGGGTGGTGAGTGGGGCGGCCAGATGCACCCTGACCCGCACCCCCAGGCCCGCACTTACAGACCACACACCCCAGGCACACAAAACCCCCAGGCCCGCACTTACAGACCACACACCCCAGGCCTGCACCCCCAGGCACACACCTACAGACCACACACCCCAGGCCTGCACCCCCAGGCCGGCATCCCCAGGCACACACCCCCAGACCACACACCGCAGGCCCGCAGCCCGCACCGCCCCTACCCGGCACTCACAAAGATGACCATGATGACGAAGGCAGCCAGGTAGGACGTGCGTGCCATCCACATGCTCACGAAGCGGTAGTGCTCACCCGACACCACGTTGCGCAGGAAGCCTGTGGAGGGGGCGGGGCGGGTGAGCAGCTGGCCCTGCCCCTCGCCCCAGGGCCCCGCCCCTCACCCCTGGACCCCGCCCCCACACCCTTGTTCTCCTCGTCCTCCGCCAGGCCCTTCACGCTGGACATGAGGATGTCGTCGTAGCCCAGGAACTCGTCCAGCAGCAGGCGGCTGAAGCGGTCCCCGAAGCACTGGTCCCGCGTGGGGTCTGTGGGCGGGATCAGCAACCATCCATCACATGGCCTGGGTGTGGCGCCAGCTCGGCCCCACCCTCCTCTCCCCTGTGGTCCCCCAACTCACCCAGGGTGACCACCATGACCGGGATGCTGAGGCGCTGACGTGTGGCCTGTGACAAGCGCAGGAAGCCATACTCCAGCGAGTACTCCACAATGTACTCTTCCTGCGGCCACCCTGCAGGTGGGCGGGCGGGTCAGCCGGGGGCACCCAGAGGCCACCCTGCTGGCCCTCCAATCAGCCCTGGGCTGAGGCACCTACCTTTGCCGGGCGTCTCCGAGAAGGGGAACTCGTGGCTGTCGTTGAGCGCCTCGGTGCTGCTGGGCAGCTGGAACCCTTTGGGTTCGATGTCCAGTTCAAACTGGGGCGAGCAGAGGCGGGGTCAGTGGCCCTGCCCACAGGGAGCATCCCTCCCTCCCGGGCCTGCCCACGGAGCCCGGCCCACCTTGACGGAGCTGTTGGCAAACATCTCTAGGGTCAGCTCTTCCTCCTCCTCCTCCTCCTCATCGGGCGCCCCGGGCAGGCCAGGGAAGCTCCCGCGGCCCCCGGCACCATCGCAGAACTGCAGGAAGACGGGCGCACGGCTCGAGTTGTGCTGCACTTCCACGCGCAGGACGCCCTCCCGCGGCCAGCGGTCACGCACGTGCTCCAGGCAGCTGATGGGCGAGCGTGAGAAGACGATGTGGATGTAGGCCAGCACGAAGAGCACGAACAGCGCCTGCGAGGCCAGGGGACAGGCCGTCTGAGCAGGGGACACACAGCCGCCCCCACTGGGCTGGGGCGAGCAGGACATTGTCCTGCTCTGGGGCACAGCTGCCCCCTGCCCCTGGCCAACCCTGTGGACCCCAGCACCCACAACTCCAGTCCCCCTCTCCTGCAGAGGGCGGTGATGCCTGCACAGGGCCAATTGTGGACAAGGAATGGGGGTGTGTCCCAGACAGGGGGGACACCTGGAGGGGACCCCTGGGCCATGCTGTGCTTGGCAGGCTAGACAGCCACACGTTTCCCTGGCCAGGGCAGCTGCGCAGGGAACAAGACACTATATTATCAGTGCTGTCCATGGAGGACCAGCCCACAGTACTGCAGTCACCCACAGCCTGCCATCCATGGAGGACCAGCCCACGGAGCTTCATGGAGGATAAGCCCACTGCCAGCTGCCCACAGCTGGCATTCCTGAGGGGGCAGTCACAGTCCTCCTTGGCCACACATGCCCAGCCTGCCCACGGTGGCTTCCAGTGTGGCTACCAGAGCCAGGCCGACTACCTGGAGAGCAAAACCGGCTGGGCCTGCCCTGCCCTGCCATGCCATGCCATGCCCTGCCATGCCGTGCCACGGGGCCAGTGGACAAGCCCTTTGGCCTGGGGTCCCCTTCACTCAGCCCCCCACAACTTCAGAGGAACCTCACGCTGTCCAGCCTCTATCCTCTCCCAGCTCCTCCTGGGAAGGGCTGACATCTGGGGGTGCATCGGGGCACCCCGGAAAACAAGGCGCAGGTGTCAGACCCACGTCAGCACTGGGCCGGGTGACAGTCCCCGTCAGGACAGCCACTGGTCCTGGGGTTAGGGGGTCCCAGCACCCTCAAGCTTCCCCTGGAAGGGGTCCAGCTGCTGACCGCGGGTATCAGGGTGCAGGCTGGACCCGGCTTCAGGTCCGGGGGGCGCGGAAGTGGCACATGGAAGAAAGGGGGCCGAGCCCGATCTCGGGGTCCGGATGAAGGTCGGGGTTGAGGGTCCCTGAGATCGGGGTCCCGGAGGTCGGGGGGTCTCGGAGGTCGGGGTTCGGGGTCCCGGAGGTCGGGGTTCGGGGTTCAGGGTTCAGGGTCGCCGGAGGTCGGGGTTCGCGGTCACCTTGAGCAGCACGAAGAACTCGAAGAGCCGGCGGAAGGCGGGCGGGAAGAGGCGCGAGTAGGTCACAGCCATCTTGAAGAAGAGCGCGTGGAAGAGCCGGTCGCGCACATTGATGAGGGGGTTGGGGTTGAGGTTGGGGGTGCGCGGGCCGCGCGCGGGGCCAGGGCCGCCACCGTTGGGCCCCGCAGGCCCCGGCGTCCCGGCCGCCGCGTGCTCCGACATGCCTCCCTCAACGGCCCGCGGCTGCCCTGGGGCGCCTCCCGGCCGCCATGGGCGTCCCTGTCTGCGCCGCTCACGGCCGCCCGGCCGCCGCAGCCGCCATCTTCCCCTTCCCGGCCGCGGCCCAGCGCGACCAACGAGCCGCGGCCAGAGCGGCCCCCTGGGCGCCCGCCCGCGGAGCACCCTGGGATGCCGGAGGCCCGGGACGGCGAAGGCCCCGCCCCCACGCTCGGTGGCGCCCGGCTCCCAGGAGCCTTCGCGGCTGAAAGTCCGCATTTAGACTGCAATATTGGCAAATTTCTAGAACTTAGGCCTCATGGAAACTATGGGTAGCCATACAAATGTGTTCTTTATGTGGAAAATCAAAGAGACAATGTATAGATGGACTCCTGATAGGTTACCCTAACCGAAAGGTGATAGTGACTCAGAGCTTTAAATACTGTCCTCAAAGGGATCTCGCTTGTGCTCGCTTCGGCAGCACATATACTAAAATTGGAACGATACAGAGAAGATTAGCATGGCCCCTGCGCAAGGATGACACGCAAATTCGTGAAGCGTTCCATATTTTGCCTCTTTTTTTCCAAAACCTTCACGCTCCAGTGTCACAGGGAGGTGTGGTTTGCAAGATTATTTTGTGCTAGGCAAAGATGAGAGATCGTCCAGCCCCTTGTTCCCTCCCCAGATGGCCCTGGACCTAGCAGCCCCATCAGCTTCCCACCCATATCCCATGGTTTTGGGTTAGCACCCGCCTCTATCCCAGGCAGCCAGCAGGGAGCCTGGTGGGATGTGGAGCAGCCAGGACTGGAACCTGCGGCCCTATGGGATGTGGGCGCCGCAGAAGCCGCCACGTCCAACCCAAAGCTGATCCCAGGGCTGCCCCCACCCCCTTCCCCAGCCGGCCAGGCCTGAGGACTTATACCAGCTCCGGGTTGCCAGCGTGTAACTTCACTTCTGTAAAGGTGTCTCTCTTGCAAAGGGCAGAGTTTGGGGTTGTGGGGGGCAAACGCCCATCTCCTGCAGGTCCCCTATTCCACACAGGTCTCTGTCGTTCCTCACTCCCAGGGGTGTGCACCCGGGGGGCCAAGGGCTCCAGGGCTGTGATGGTCACTGCACCTGCTGGGGAGACCCCTTGGAGCTGCAGGCTGCAGGGAGTGGAAACCAGGAGATGGGCGTCTCCCATGCCGGTGCAGGATCCCAAGACTTTGGGCCATCCTCAACTGCTTCTCCAGGCAGGAGGAGCTGCAACCTCGCGCTCCCCCAGCTTCTCTGTCCTTTCTCCCAGGCCTGGAAACCAGGCTGGGCCGTGGGACTGTGGGTTCCAGCCAGGCATGGAGGGATTGGCCGGCAGGTCCCCAGCTACTCAGCCCTCACCTGCAGCCTCCCCAGGTAGGGGACTGGGGCTGTGCCCAGAATTGGGGGGACTGGAGCCAGGTCCTGAATCACTCACTAGTCAGAGGGGGTGTGGCAGGTTGTAGGCAACCTGGTGTCATTGCTGCTGCATCTCACCTGCAAAGCACAGTCCCAGTCTCCCAGACTCCAGGGTGTCACTGTAAGTCCACACACCCTGCTGGGGGCCCTGTCCGTTTGAGGGACGCTCAGGGGACGCCACAGCCTAAGGATGAGGACATGTCTCTTTCCCTCAGGCACTGGCTGGAAGGCCGCAGGGGAGGGCGGAGTCCTCCGGAGCCTAACAGAAGCCTGCCTCCTTGGAGATACAAGACCTGCAGTCATGGCCCTGGGTGCTGACTCAGTGGCTAAATCCTCATCTTGCAAGCACCGGGATCCCATATGGATGCCAGTTCCCATCCTGGCAGCTCTGCTTTCCATACAGCTCCCTATTTGTGGCCTGGCAAAGCAAGTAGAGGATGGCCCAAAGCCTTGGGACCCTGCACCTGCGTGGGAGACCCTGAAAGGAAAAAAATGTGATCTTCTATAACTTAGGATTTAAAAATGGGTGTGTGAGTGGGGAGTGGTGTGCTGTACCCACATGGGGGACCTGGATGGAGCTCCAGGCTAGTTCAATCCCAGCCATGGCAGACATCTGGGCAGTGAACCAGGCGATGGAAGAATAACTGTGCAGAATTTTGGGGTGGAGGTGTCCTGGCCAGGTGGGTGGGCTGAGCCCTGCCCTGGAGTGGGCGGGTCCTTCCCCAAGGCCTGGGGAGTGGGCTGGATGCCAATGAAACAGCACACACTTTGGAATTTGAGAATTACGTCATTTATACATGCCCTGGAATACTTTTCACCTTTTGATTTTTTTTTTTTTTCTCTCCAGCCACTTAACAGACAAGCCACTTCTTAGCTCAGTGGAGTGGTGGTGACATGGGCTGGGCTGACCTGCCCCAGGCTTGAGGAGGGGGCTGTAGGAGAGACACATCAGCTAATGTGAAGGTACAGGCAGGCTCGGCTGTGCCAGCAGCCCACAGGGGCGCTGCTTCAAGTGCTGGTTGCCCCATTTCCCCTGCAGCTCCCCGCTCTGGTAACCTGTAGGCGCCAGTGATAAGGCCCTTCAGCCACTGTGCTTTTTAAACAAATGTCATTGCACATACAACTGTCACAACATCCCTTGCAGTTGCATCACATTTACCTTGGAACAGGAAACCCACACCCAGCCAAGTCGTTACAAGGAAAGGTTCCAGAGCCTGGACAGGCTTTTGACTGTGCCCTGCATGAGCCACCATCCATGTGGCACCAGCTGGGTCACCACTTCCCACGCAGGGCGAGCAGGGCCAGCACCCGCTCAGAATGCGGGGTGATGTGAACCCTCCCTGGCTCCGGCTGTGACCTGGGGGGCGGGGTTGTGATGGGAGGGCCGGGGACCCTGGGCTGGGGCTTCTAGCTCCTGGCTGTACCAGAGGAGCAGCTGCTGCAGGCCATAGCGGGGGAGCGTCCCAGCTTGCCTTTAGGGGGAGATCCGTGGGACCCCAATTACATATCCTCAAGCTCCACGCCTGAGCTCTCCACTGGCAACACCCACGAAGGAGCTGCGGCTCCGCAACAGGGGCCAAAAACGGAGCTCCCGCGGATGGGATGCGAGAAGGAGGGAGTGGACTTGGGATGGGGGGCTCCCCAGGAGACGCTGTGCCAGACGCCCCTGTGGCCTCTACAGGGCGATCTCCTGCGCCCCGCGCCCCTCTCGTGCGCACCGGGGACAGGTGCGTGGCGGAGTGCGTGAGTGGGCCAGGGTTCCTGACACGTTTTAGGGGCTCCCCTTCAGGGAACTGGCTTGTGCTGGAGCAATCCGCGATACTCTCAGGCGCCCAGGCGCGCGCACGGCCTGCAGAGCTCTGCAAGGCTTGGAGTTTCGGGGGGCGCGAAACGACACCCGAGGGGCTGTCGGGGGCGCGGCGAGGGGCTCCGGAAGCCGCGGCCCTGCAGGAATCCGCCGCTGCCCGGCCTTATAAGGACAAGGGCGGCGGGGGCCAATCGGCGGTGGAGGCGGGGTCCCGAGCCTCCCCGGCCCGCCCCGGTGCGTCCGCCGGCCCCGGTGCGTCCTCCGGTCCCGCGCGCCCCGTCCGAGCCCCGCGCGCCCCGTCCGAGCCCCGCGCGCCATGAGCTCCACGCAGTTCAACAAGGGACCTTCCTACGGGCTCTCGGCCGAGGTCAAGAACCGGGTGAGTGAGGGCCACGCGCCACGGCGGCCACAGCGCGCACCCTGACCCGCCGTCGGGGCGACGACTTGGGGGGGCACCCGCCTCCCTCCCCAATCCCTGAAGCCGGGATCCTGCAGCGCCTCCGCTCTCTACCGGATGTGTGGACGCTCCTCGGGGTTTGCGCAGACCTGGAGCAGCTACCCACCTCTCCGCCTCAATGCCCAGGGGCTCGCAGCCCCGACGCCCTCTTCACTGCCCCGTGCCCCCTAAAGCCGCCAGGAATAGGAAGGCTGGTGCACCGGGTGGGACCCCGCACCCCCTCCTCACCTCCGGACCACACTTCTGCTTTCCAGCTGCAGCTGTGGGCGGGTGGCGTGCAGGGGCGGGAGTTTCCCAACCTGTCTTGAACCTGGAGGGTGGGTGGCACTGGGGTGACCAGGCCTCTTCTAGTCCGTCCCAGTGCAACCACCTTAAAGGAAGATCCCCTACTAGGGGGGACCCCTAATGTGTGAGGCTGCATGGATGGGGCAGGGGGCGGGGACACTTTAAATCTCTATGTGGACAACGCTCCCCCACGCGGATCACTGTCCCGGGTGAGCCCAGCCTCCACGCAGGTCAGCGCTGTGCATCTACATGGGCAGGGAGCATGAGCCAGGCTCCTGGTCCGCTCCCTGAATGACCACGGTGACCAGTGGGAGCTTGGGGCCAGAGTTGGGGTGTGGCTGGCCCAGAGAGGGCAAGACCCTGTGGGCGGTCGCCCAGCAGCAAAAGGAGAAAAGGGAGTGATTGCAGCCCCCTGGAGGTTCAGTTGCTGGCAATCACCTTATCCAGTGGACAGCTGGGGATGTGTGGCTCTGCTGCCCACCCCCACTTCCACCAGGCATGTGGAGTGGAGCCCCAAGACCTGTGACGGACACACCCTCAGAAACCCGGGCTCCTGGGAGACAAAGAGGAGGTGGTTGAAGGAGTGCCCCCCCCCCCCCGGCTCCTGGCTGCTCGCACCCCAGCCAGCTGCCCTGCTGCACCTTGGGTCCAGGCTTGCCCTGCTACTCGGAGGTGCACACTTGCAAGGGTCAGAGGCCCAGGGTCTGGGGACCCCAAGTTCTCACAGGCAGGCTGGCACCCCCACACCCAGCCCAGGTTGGCGGAAGCCAGGAAGGGCATAAACACTGCCCCCTCCCCCCAGGGAAGGCAGCTTCCGGAGCAGTAGAGTGGGGTGCAGGGTGCGGCCAAGGGGGGCGGGCTGACACCTGCTTGGCTGGGGTGAGGTCAGGCTCTCAGGCTGCCAGCTGGGGAACAACAGGCAGGGCATGGACATGCCCGTCGGGTTGCACCCCCTGGTTCTTGGAACTCACCGTCTCTCCACTGTGGCAGCTCCTTAGGGCTCCCCCACCCCTCGAGACAGCCTGCCCATGCCACCCAGGGCCCTGGTTGCCGCCAGCCCCGAGACAGGCTGGGCTCAGGGTCGCTCCCAGCCGCTGCAGGTCGGGCTGGGAACAGCTGGTCCCAATTTAGCAGGGGCGGCCGGCACATTCCTGGCAGTTTGCGGTGAAGGAGAATGCACTGGGGGCCCGCAGCGGGCAGCGGGCGGAGGCTGGCCCCATGGGAGGGGCCAGCTGGGAATGCTGACCCCTGGCTCAGTGGCCCGATGGCGCCCGCAGCCGCGGGGGACAGAGCCCAGCTGGGCCGGGCATGTGTGGCCCAGCCCAGGGGCCGGGGGGAGGGGGGTACCTGTACCCTCCGCCATTCCTTGCGGGGATAGAGCCCTCCAGGGCAGGGAAGGGCATGGTTCTCCTGGGGTACCCCCAGTCCCACACACCATCATGCTGTGGGAATCTGGAGACCCAGGGGTGGCCCCGGATCAGGTTAGCGTTCAGCCCTCCTGTCTTTGTCTTTGTGAACTAGGGCCCCTCAATAGCCCAGCCCTAATCCCAGGTACGGTGGGGGGGGGGAGCACGCAGCCAGGAACCAAGGCACAGGGCCTGGAGGAGGACGAGCTGAGGGCAGGGGGAGTCTCTGGGAGGTGGGGGAGCGGGTATACCCCCCCAGGCCCAGCCAGCTTCTTCTTTCTCCACCCACACCCCCTGGAGCTGACTCACCCCTGCCAGGCCCAGCCTTTCCCCACCTCCCAGCCCGTGTTGGGGTGCTGCATGGGGAGGGGGCCCCAGCTGCTGCAGCCAGCTCTGAACCCCAAGGTGGAAGCCGCCAGTGGAGCTGCCTCCCCAGGGGAGCGTTCTAGAGAACAGCTCCACCCGCGTGCACCCCGCATCCCCCATCGGCAGGTCGGTGCTGGGTACACCCTGGTGCCCCGCCACAGTGCACACGGGTATTCCCCCAAAATCACACATGCAGGTTCACAGACATGGGGAGCCCCAAGCAGCCAAGAACAGGGGTGAGGTGTAGAGAAACCCAAGGACCCCATACTCACACTGACATGCCGGGCCACCCAGCTTGCTTATTTGAAAGTACAAAGCGAGAGAGACAGGGAGGTCTGGCAGCCGCTGGATCTCCACTGGGATGGGCCACAAGAGCTGGGGCTGCGCCAGGAGCCTTCTCCGGGTCTCCCTGGTGGGTGCAGGAGCCCCAGCACCTGGGCCATCCCCCACTGCTTTCTCAGACACCTGAGCAGAGAGCCGGGTAGGAAGCAGAGCAGCCAGGACTCGAACCAGCACTCACGTGGGGTGGGCTCCCAGTGATGGAATGGACTGTATCCTGTTCGCGGAAGTGCAAGCAAGGGCCACACACAGGCTCTAGTGTGCAGGGGTCGGGTTCCTGGCTGCCCCTCACCTGTCTCCCCTCCCACCCCCCCCCCCCCGCCCTTCCTCCGGGCCTCACCTGCTGTGCCCCACCCCCACAGCTTCTATCCAAGTATGACCCTCAGAAGGAGGCAGAGCTACGCAGCTGGATCGAGGGCCTGACCGGCCTCTCCATCGGGCCCGACTTCCAGAAGGGCCTGAAGGACGGTGTGATTCTGTGCACGTAAGTGACCCCCACCCATGTCCCCCCAGGCCCCGCGGTGGCACCCCTGACCACCCCTGTCCCCCCAGGCTCCCCACAGCAGCACCCCTGATCACTCCCATCCCCCAGGCCCCGCGGTGGCACCCCTGACCACCCCTATCCCCCAGACCCCACAGCGGCACCCCTGACCACCCCATCTTCCTAGCCCTGACCAGCCTTGGAAGGTACCCAGGCTGAGCTCTGGCTCTCAGCTCCTGTGGGCATTTAAGGAGGGAACGCAGCCAATGGAATATTCTCTCTCTGGCTCTCTGCCTTCTTGACTTTCAAACAGATGAAAACAAACTTTTTTTCTTAAAGTTGATTTTGGCACAAAACCATTCTGAAATGCGTGCACAGCTCTCACACTCTTCTGTGAACATTTTTTTTTTTTGAAGATTCATTTATTTTTATTGGAAAGATTTTCACACAGAAGGAGCAGAAAGATCTTCCATCTGCTGGTTCACTCCTCAAGTGGCCGCCCAAGTAGCAGCCACAATGAGCTGATCCGAAGCCAGAAGCCTCTTCCGGGTCTCCCACGCGGGTGCAGGGTCCCAAGGCTTTGGGCCGTCCTCCACTGCTTTCCCAGGCCACAGGCAGGGAGCTAGATGGGAAGTGGGACCACCGGGACACGAACCAGCACCCATATTGAAAGCTGGTGCTTGCTAACTGGAGCCAGCTGAGCCACTGGTTTGGCCCTCCAGAAACCATTTTTCTCTAAAGCAGGGAAAGACAGAGCCCTTCAGCTGCTGGCTCACTACCCAAAAAGGCCACAACAGCTGGGCCAGGCCAGACCAGATAGAAGCCAGGAGCCAGGGGCCCCTTTCTGGTATCCTCCATGGGCGTGGGGCCCCGGGACTTGGGTCATCCTGCTGCCTTTCCAGGCAAGCGTGAGCAGGGCCTTGGGAGTTAGAATTGGGACTTGAACCAAGGACTGCTGACTGGACCCACGAGTGTTAATGTGCATGTTTTTCAGGTTTTTTTTTTGTTGAAGTTTTTTTTTTTTTTAAATTTTGATTGCAAAGTCAGATAATCAGAGAGGAGGAGAGACAGAGAGGAAGATCTCCCATCCGATGATTCACTCCCCATGTGACTGCAACGGCTGGAGCTGAGCTGATCTGAAACCAGTTGCCAGGAACTGCTTCCAGGTTTCCCATGCGGGTGCAGGGTCCCAAGGCTTTGGGCCGTCCTCCACTGCTTTCCCAGGCCACAGGCAGGGAGCTGGATGGAAAGCAAGGCTGCTGGGATTAGAACTGGCGCCCATATGGGATCCTGGCAAGTTCGAGCAGAGGACTTAGCTGCTAGGCCACCGCACTGGGCCCCAGAATTATTTTAATTCTGTTTTCTTGAGTCCCCAGTGCCTGGGATTGCCAGGCTCTCGGGTGGGTGGGCAGCAAGTAGGGGAATCTACTCTCAGCTCATAGAGTTTCCTGTGTGCCACCCCTTGCCCGCCAGGCTCATGAACAAGCTGCAGCCCGGCTCCGTGCCCAAGATCAACCGCTCCATGCAGAACTGGCATCAGGTGCAGTGCAGGGCTGCGGATGGCGGGCCAGAAGGAGATGGAGGTTGGCAGGGGATGGCAGAGGCTGACCCCCCCTTAACATCGCCCCTCCCACTCCCCACCCACCCAGCTGGAGAACCTGTCCAACTTCATCAAGGCCATGGTCAGCTACGGCATGAACCCGGTGGACCTGTTCGAGGCCAACGACCTGTTTGAGAGTGGGAACCTGACACAGGTGCAGGTGTCTCTCCTGGCATTGGCGGGCAAGGTGAGGCCAGAAGGCAGCAGTCACCGGGGCAGGGAGCGGCCCTGGGGTCTGCCCAGCCAGGCCAGCACAAAGGCCAGCAGAAGCTGGCAGACCAGGGGACAGGTATCCGAGACGGCAGCCTCGGCTTGCCCAGGCTAGCAGAGTAACGATGCGTGGGGTAAGGGCAGCTGTGGTCCCCGTGCACCTGAAAGCGGGCGGAGGTGCTGCTCAGGTCCACCCGGCACCACGCCAGGCGTCCCTCCCTGGACAGCCACAGCTGCAGGGATCCTGAGCCGGGGTCCAGATCTCACACTCCGTCCACCCTGTGCAGGCCAAGACCAAGGGGCTGCAGAGCGGTGTGGACATCGGGGTCAAATACTCGGAGAAGCAGGAGCGCAACTTCGATGACGCCACCATGAAGGCGGGGCAGTGTGTGATAGGCCTGCAAGTGAGGCTCTGCTGGGGGGCATGGCCGGGGTGGACATGGCCAGGACGGGGAGGGAGGGGCCAGCCCAGGGGCGGGGCCAGCCTGGGTGGTGGGAGTGGCCAGCAGGGGAGGGTGGAGCTAGCCTGACTGGGGCGGGGCCAGCCTGGGTGGTGGGAGGGGCCAGCCAGGGGGCGGGGCCAGCCTGACCACCCCCGCCCACCCATCCCTACCCAGATGGGCACCAACAAGTGCGCCAGCCAGTCGGGCATGACGGCCTACGGCACCCGGCGGCACCTCTACGACCCCAAGAACCACATCCTGCCGCCCATGGACCACTCCACCATCAGCCTGCAGATGGGCACCAACAAGTGTGCCAGCCAGGTGAGCCACCCTACCACACGTCTGCCACCCCAACCCCACACAGAACACGTGCCGAGAAGCCGGGGTCTCACCCTGAGCCCCGACAGCCACAGCCGGAGCAGGGAGCCAGGCGTGTGTGCCTGAGAAGGGTGCCTGGGTTGGCAGTGTGGCCAGCTGAGGCAGAGGGTCAGCCAAACTGGGAAGGACCCCAGGGCCCCCAGGGGGGCTGTGCAGGGTGGGGGATGACAGGTGTGCCCCCCTTTGTCAGCGAAGCCTGGAAGGACCCCAGGAACCTCAGGGGGGCTGTGCAGGGTGGGGGGTGACAGGTGTGCCCCCTCTTTGTCAGCCAAGCCTGGAAGGACCCCAGGAACCTCAGGGGGGCTGTGCAGGGTGGGGATGACAGGTGTGCCCCCCTTTGTCAGCCATCCTGGGAAGGACCCCAGGACCCCCAGGGGTGCCTTGGGCTATGCAGGCCCTGACACCTGCTCTTCCACCCAACGCCACTCCTGGCAGGTGGGCATGACGGCCCCGGGGACACGGCGCCACATCTATGACACCAAGCTGGGCACGGATAAGTGCGACAACTCGTCCATGTCGCTGCAGATGGGGTACGCCCACGGTGCCAACCAGAGTGGCCAGGTCTTCGGCCTGGGCCGGCAGATCTACGACCCCAAGTACTGCCCGCAGGGCCCAGCGGCCGGCCTGGGGGACAGCGAGGAGGCTCCGGGTGGGCCCTTCTGCCAGGAGCAGGAGGGACAGGGTGGCTGCTGAGGCGTTCCCCCCACTCCCGGGGACTGTGAGTGCCTGGAGTTGGGGGGCCCCTTCCTCTTCCTCCAGCTGTCCCCTAACCGTCCTGTCTTCCTGTCCCCGCCTGCATCCTCGCTGTGGCTTCCGTCTCCTTCGGACCAGGGCAACAGTGAGGGCCAGGCAGGGGCACCCCATTCCCTTTGAGCACCCCTACTTTTCTCCTCATCCCGACTATCCCGGCTCTTGTTTGGAGGGGGGAAGCTGGGCCTGAGGTACCCCTCCCCTCTCCGCATGCTGGGAGATAATGTGAAATACTGTGGACCAAGAAAGCAAATAAAAACCTCCATTTGTAAGAATTGAGTATTTTTTTGGGGGGGGGGGAATACATCGGGGTCCAGGACGGAAGCCCCGCCCGCAGTCGGCCCTGCACCCTCAAAGCTCTCTCGGGGTGCGGGTCCAGCAGGGTGTGTCCTCCCCGGCAGAGCCCCCTCTGTGTCCTCCTGGAGGTGCATCCCACAAGGGCCTGCGGGCCTCCTGCCACCCCAGGGTCCTTCCTTCCAACTCGGGGTGGCCGTTGGCACGTGCTCTGCCCTTGCACTCGGGGACCCCCGAGGAGCCCCCCTGTTCCCACGGGCACCGCTGCGGGCGGCCACGCCACATGGGGGGACACCCCAGGGAGCAACCCGGCATCCTACGGGCGGGCGCGCGGGCCCTTTAAGAAACCCGGCTCAGAGCGCCCTGCTCAGGTCCCGCCTCCTCCCTCGGCGCTCGCGGCGATGATTGGGCCAGTCTTTGAGTGACAGGCGGAGCGGCCTATCGCAGCGACTGGGCGCGCCGCGGAGCTCCGAGATGCTTGGAAAGGCGCGCCTCGGGTGGGGGGGCGCTACTTAAAGGGGCCGCGCTCCCCGGCGCGTCGGGGCGCAGCGAGGACCCGGGAAGAAGGTGAGAGTGACCCGGCTCGGGCAGAAGGTTCGAGACGCGAGCACGCGGGACGGGCAGGCAAGTGCCCGGGACCAGGGGGTGCTGGGCGAGCCCCCGGCTCTGCAGCGCTCTCCCCGGCGAGTGGACAAGGAGGGCGCAGGACGTCCAGGGTGGGTGGGTGCGTCCCCCTGCGGCCCGCTGGTCATGGTGTAACCCCAACTTTCCGAAGCTCTCCTCATCCTGTGTGACCCTGGCCTGGCCGCTTCCGGGTGCTGGGCCGTGCTGGGCGGTCCCCCCTCTTCCTCTGTGCTGCAGGGGAGCCTGGGCAGGTGGGCCACCTCTGTCCCTCCGGGAGCTGCTGCGTGGGCCTCAGTGTGCACGTCTGAGCAATGGGATCAGACACGCCGAGGCAGCCGGGTGCAGAGTGAGGGGAATGGGGACCCTGGGAGGAGAGGGCACTGCAGGTGGCGCCGGCTGACTGTGCTGGGTCCACACTGGGGGAGACGCTCCCAAGGGTGGCTCCCACCTGGGAGGCAGGTCCTCCTCCTTCAGGACTCCCTGGAACCCCTGTACATGCTGGAGCGAGGGCCCAGCAGGGCTAGGGTGTGGTCTGAGCGCCCTTCCTTGCCCCCTTGTCCAGCCCCGCCGCCGCCATGGCGTTCCGCACCCAGCTCATGCTGCTCCTTTGGAAGAACCTGGTATACCGCCGGAGGCAGCCGGTAACACCAGGTCCCCCCCCCCGGGATGGGGGATTTGGGGGTGCCTTGGGTGCACCCAGCACCCCTTCCCACCCTCACCTGCCCCTGCACCCCCAGGTCCACCTCCTGGTTGAGCTGCTGTGGCCACTCTTTCTCTTTTTCATCCTGGTGGCAGTGCGTCACTCGCACCCCCCGCTGGAGCACCATGAGTGTAAGCCTGGCTGACTCCCTCCCACGCCCCCCGGGAGTGAGGGGTGTCCCTGGGGCAAGGGCAACCCCTTCCTCCTCCTCCCCCGGGGCACTGCCCAGTGCAGGCTGGATGCTCGGGGCCACAGCCAGCCTTTATTCCCTAGGCCACTTTGCCAACAAGCCATTGCCGTCGGCCGGCACCCTGCCCTGGCTGCAGGGCCTCCTGTGCACCGTGAACAACACCTGCTTTCCGCAGCCGACGCCCGGCGAGCAGCCCGGCCGCCTGGACAACTTCCAGGATTCCCTGTGAGCCATGAGGGGCAGGCAGGGGTGCGGCCTGGCCAGTGTGTGTGTGTGGGGGGGCTGGGTGTGGCCGCGCTCCGCCCTGCCTGAGCCCTCGCTCTACCTCCTGCTCTGTCCCCAGGGTCTCCCGGCTGCTGGCCGATGTCCAGGTGGTGTTGGGGGGCCCCAGTGCCCGCCGGACGCTGGCTGCCCTGGGGAAGCTAGCTCCGCTGCTCAGGGCCGCTGGCCTGACAGGTGAGGAGCCGGTGGTCCTGGTGCGGACAGCTCCTTGCCGGGTGAGGTGAGGGACTCTGGCCTAAGTGGCCATGGCTTCCCAACCCCAGCTGACCTCCCTCCCATGTTCCCGTCCCTGCAGCCAGGCCACGGGATTCCCTTCCACCGGCCACTCAGCTGCTGCAGACGCTGCTACGAGGGGTGAGCTGGCTGGCCCTGGCCCGTGGGGCTATGGCGGCAATGGTTGGCAGTGCTATGTCACGGTCACCCTGGGCTCTCTTTTCAGGATCCCCTGGGCTCCAGGATGGGCCCAGCACAGGAGGCTGTGGGCAGCTTGCTGGAGGCCTCCGAGGGCCTGGCCCAGGAGGTGAGCCTGCCCCACCCAGCACTGGGCAGGCTGCCTGGGGGCATCCCTGGCAGGTGCCTGGCCCTGATTAAGGTCCCCGGGAAGGAGACACTCAGCAGCTGGGGAGGGGCACTCGCCCTTTAGAGAGGGGACTCAGCGTCCTGTGCCACCTCTCTCCCTCTCTGCAGCTCCGGGCGCTGCCCAGCCTGGCTGAGCTGCGGGCGCTGCTGCAGATGCCCCGGACCCCCAGGGACCCCCTGGAGCTGCTGTGGGGTACCTTCTGCAGCGCTGGGGGGCCCAGCAGCCCCGGGGGCCTCTCTCTCAACTGGTACGAAGCTGCAGACCTGAAGGAGCTGGTGGGGTCTGAGCCGATGCCCTCGCTGCCCCTCAGCAGCCTGAGTGAGTGGGGGGCAGGAGGAGGGGAGCTGGGGGCGGGGCTAGGGCAGTGGGTGGGGTTAGGCAGTGATAGGCGGGGCTAGGGGAGCTGGGGGCGGGGCTGGGAAGCTGGGCTTGGCTTGGGAGTCATGGATGGGAGGGGCGTAGGTGCGGATCGGGGCGGGGCTAGGAGTGGGCGTGTCCACGGAATTGATGGGCGTGTCTGAGGCGGGGGGGGGCACTGTGGTGGGCGTGTCTGGCGCGGGGCGGGCCCTCGCGGCGGTGGGCGTGGCCTCAGGTCGCCCCGCCCCCAGGCCCCGCATGCCTGGAGCTGCTGGGGGACCTGGAGCGGCAGCCGCTGTCCCGCCTGCTCTGGCGCCTGCTGAAGCCGCTGGTTCAGGGGAGGCTGCTGTTCGCGCCGGACACAAACTTCACCCGGCAGCTCATGGCGCAGGTGAGGGGCCCCGGGGGCAGCGGCGATCCCCGATGTGCGAATGGCCGCACCCGGCCCTGACTGAGTGGACGGTGCTGGGCCCTGCAGGTGAACCAGACCTTCCAAGAGCTGGCCGTGCTGCAGGACCTGCGGCAGGTGTGGGCAGCGCTGAGCCCGCAAGTCTTCACCTTCCTCAATGACAGCAATAACATGGAGCTGCTGCAGGTGAGGCCCGCGGGGTGCGTGCTGGGGTGCTGGGGTACTGGGGTGCTGCCTCCCTGGACCGATGCTGACCCACCTCTCCCTGTCTCCCCACCCCTCCACTGCAGCAGCTCCTGCAAAGGCGGGGCCAGAGCAGTCAGTCCAAGCAGGCAGAGGCCCTCAGAGCCTTCTTGGACCCCAGCCGGGGTGGCTACAGCTGGCGGGAGGCTCATGCAGACCTAGACCGCCTGGTGGGCACACTGGGCCACGTGATGGAGGTGAGGGTGGACAGCCTGGGTGGCCTCCGGTGCAGGGGGAGGACCGAGGGATCCCAGAGAGTGACAGGACAAGCCCAGGGCCTCACCCAGGCATGGCTGCCCTGCTCGCTCCACAGTGCACGTCCCTGGACAGGGTCTCACCTGGGCACGGCCTGACCTCATTTAGCCTGACCCACCCTGCCCACCCGGCAGTGCGTGTCCCTGGACAGGCTGGAGGCCTTACCCTCCGAGGCAGCGCTGGTGTCCCGGGCGCTGCAGCTGCTGCCGGAGCACCGCTTCTGGGCTGGCATCGTCTTCCTGGGACCCGAGGATGCCCTGGACCCCACTGAGCTGCCCAAGGCACATGTGGGGCCTGGCCACGTGCGCTTCAAGATCCGCATGGACATCGATGATGTGACAAGGACCAATAAGATCCGAGATAGGTGGGCGGGGCTGGAGGTGGTGGGCGTGGCGAGGCAGACTTTAAGTCCTGTGCTGGACTGCAGGGACAAGGGCGTGGTGCGCAGAGCCCAGGGCATCCTGGGTGGGGTCTAGGCTTTGAGAATGTTCAAGATGCAGGAGGGCTGAGGTTGGGGGCCAGTGACGGGCGTGAGCAGCTGCATCCAGAGGTGCATCCCTACCTGGACCCTCCTGCAGGTTCTGGGACCCCGGGCCGGCGGCAGACCCCCTGGCCGACCTGCGCTACGTCTGGGGCGGCTTCGTGTACCTGCAGGACCTGGTGGAGCGCGCGGCCGTCCGCGTGCTCAGCGGTTCCGAGCCCCGCGCCGGCTTGTACCTGCAGCAGATGCCCTACCCGTGTTATGTGGACGACGTGTGAGTGCCAAGCGGGAGTGGGCACACCCGAGGTCTTCACCCCCTGGCATCCCCAGCCTGTCACCACCCTCTGTGCCCCAGGTTCCTGCGTGTGCTGAGCCGCTCGCTGCCGCTGTTCTTGACGCTCGCCTGGATCTACTCGGTGGCACTGACCGTGAAGGCCGTGGTGCGCGAGAAGGAGACACGGCTCCGTGACACCATGCGTGCCATGGGGCTGGGGCGCGCCGTGCTCTGGCTCGGCTGGTTCCTCAGCTGCCTTGGGCCTTTCCTGCTCAGCGCCGCGCTGCTTGTGCTGGTGCTCAAGGTGGGCACGTCTGGCCTGCCCCGGGGGGCCTTGTATGTGCGCACCCAGCAGGTGCAGGTCCCCGAATATCCTTCCCGTCTCCACCCGCAGCTGGGGGACATCCTCCCCTACAGCCACCCAGCCGTGGTCTTCGTGTTCCTGGCAGCCTTTGCCGTGGCCACAGTGATTCAGAGCTTCCTGCTGAGCGCCTGTTTTTCCAAGGCCAACCTGGCAGCCGCCTGCGGAGGCCTCGTCTACTTCACCCTCTACCTGCCCTATGTACTGTGCGTGGCCTGGCGCGACCAGCTGCCTGTGGGCGGCCGCGTGGCCGCGGTGAGGCCTACAGCAGGGTCTCCCGGGGTGAGGATGGTGGTGGGGGTTCCTCGGGCACCTAGGGGCCGCCCCCTGACCCGCCTGTCCCCTCCCCACAGAGCCTGCTGTCGCCCGTGGCCTTCGGCTTTGGCTGCGAGAGCCTGGCGCTGCTGGAGGAGCAGGGCGAAGGCGCACAGTGGCACAACCTGGGCACGGGACCGGCAGGCGACGTCTTCAGCCTGGCCCAGGTCTCCGGCCTGCTGCTGCTAGACGCAGTCCTCTATGGCCTGGCCACCTGGTACCTGGAGGCCGTGTGCCCAGGTGGGGAGCAGGTGCTGCCAAGGGAGGAGTTTCATGGAGGGGCAGGTCTCTGGAGGGGCACCATCCAGGGACCCCCCTCAGCTGTGTGGCCAGAGCCCAAGGGGGTCCTCAAGCACTGATGGGTGCTGCTCCCCCAGGCCAGTACGGGATCCCTGAGCCCTGGAACTTTCCCTTCCGAAGGAGCTACTGGTGCGGGCCAGGACCCCCCAAGGACCCTGCCCCGCCCCCCACCCAAGCAGATCCCAAAGGTGAGAGGCCTCTGTGAGGGAGGGGCTTCCACCACGCTTGCCCACTCCCCCCCTGCAACCGTGGCAACCCAAGCCCCTCCCAGCCCCAGTGCCAGGGCCCCCAGTGCCCACACACCTCCCTTGCATCCCTTCCCAAAGTGTTGGTGGAGGCAGCCCCACCCGGCCTGAGTCTGGGGGTCTCTGTGCGGGGGCTGGAGAAGCGCTTTCCCAGCAGCCCCCAGCCAGCACTGCGAGGCCTCAGCCTGGATTTCTATGAGGGTCACATCACCGCCTTCCTGGGCCACAACGGGGCTGGCAAGACAACCACGCTGTGAGTGGCCCCGTGGGAGGGGAAGGGTGCTGCGCAGGGGTGTGTGTGGGGGGGTGTTGGAGAGACGCCACTTGTCTTCCAGGTCCATCCTGACGGGCCTCTTTCCGCCCAGCGCGGGCTCCGCCTTCGTCCTGGGCCATGACGTGCGCAGCAACATGGAGGCGGTGCGGCCCCAGCTGGGTGTGTGTCCACAGTACAACGTGCTCTTTGACCTGTGCGTCCCCGCGGGTGGGTGGCCGGGCATGGGGAGCCCTGCAGGCCGTGGCAGGTGCAGCTGACCCTGGACTGACCGCAGGCTGACTGTGGATGAGCACGTGTGGTTCTACGGGCGGCTCAAGGGGCTGAGCGTGGAGGCTGTGGGCCCCGAGCAGGAACGGCTGCTTCGCGACGTGGGACTGCTCCCCAAGAGGGCAGCACAGACCCGGCACCTCTCAGGTGGAGTGCTGGGCACAGGGAGGCACTCAGGTGGAGGAGTCAGCATGCGATGGGGAAGAGGGGGACTCACCTGGAGCGCACCCGTATCTTCCCACCTGCCGGCTGCTCAGGAGGGATGCAGAGGAAGCTGTCGGTGGCCATTGCCTTTGTGGGCGGCTCCCGCGTGGTCATCCTGGACGAGCCCACAGCCGGCGTGGACCCTGCTTCCCGCCGTGGCATTTGGGAACTGCTGCTCAAGTACCGGGAAGGTTAGGGGTTTGGGGGAGTTGTCTTGAGGGTCCCCCTGGCTTCTGCTGAGGGGCCAAGGGGCGGGGCAGCATGGGCAAGACAGGAAGGACAGCTAGGTGGACGGGGCTTGGCCTGCAGGGGCTGTGCTGGGTGGGCGGGGTTCTGCAGAGGGCCCGGCTTAGCAGCAGGGACAGAGGGCTGTTGAACCAGCAGTGAGGATCCAGCGCCCCGGGGGAGGGGACCAGACAGGCCTCTTGCCCTTGTCCCCACACCCATCTGAATGCCCATGTGCAGGCCGGACGCTGATCCTCTCCACACACCACCTGGATGAGGCAGAGCTCCTGGGAGACCGAGTGGCTGTGGTGGCCGGCGGCCGCTTATGTTGCTACGGGTCCCCCCTCTTCCTGCGGCGCCACTTGGGCTCCGGTTATTATCTGACTCTGGCAAAGAGGCCGCCATCCCTGTCCACCCCTAAGAAGGTAAGTGTCATCAGTCAGAGCTCCCCCGGTCCCCAAGGCTCTGGCCAGCCAGGTAGTCGGGACAGTGAGGGACCCTCTGTCCACAGGGTGATGCTGAGATGCCAGACGGGCCCGATGTAAGGCAGGAACAGGAGCCTGGTGGCCAAGGACGAACAGCTGGTAAGGGCCAACCCTGGGTGCAATGGAGAGCTTAGCTATGCCTGGTTTGCAGGGACCCCGAGGGTCCCTGACCCACGGCCGTGCCCACACAGGTGTAGCCCAGCTCCTGGCCTTGGTGAGATGCTCGGTGCCCGGCGCCCAGCTGGTGGAGGAGCTGCCCCATGAGGTGGTACTGGCGCTGCCCTACACAGGTGCCCACGATGGCAGCTTTGTCCAGCTCTTTCGGGATTTGGACAGGCGGCTCTGTGAGCTGGGCCTCAGCGGCTACGGGATCTCCGACACCAGCCTGGAGGAGGTACGGGGGGAGGGGGGTGGCCACCTGGCAGAGGCAGTTCTGTGAAGGACAGCAGGACAGTGAGGGCATGGGAGGAGGGAGGATGGAACAGCACACATGCGGGCCGAGCTTGGAAGGGGAGGACCCTGAGCTCCGCCTACCTCGCCAGATCTTCCTGAAGGTGGTGGAGGAGCACCGAATGGATGCAGGACCTGAGGGTATGACTGCAGCTTTCTGACCCCTGACCCTGGCCTTAGGCCACTCCCCACCCACTGTGAAGTCCCCCCGCCCCCAGACAGCTCCCCTCTGACCCTACAGATGCTGTAGATGGCCATGCCAGAGGACGCCCAGGACTCAAGATTCTGCCGGAGGAACCAGCCCTGGAGGATGGGGAGGCAGGTGAGTGTGCCACACGGCCCCATGACTCCACGGCCTCACAGCTCCTCTTCAGGGGCCTGTACCCAGCCTGCTGACCATCTCCTTCCCTGCAGCCCTGCTCGGTGCTGGGCCGGGCGCAGCAGGCCGAGTCCAGGGCTGGACGCTGACCGCCCAGCAGCTCCGGGCCCTGCTGCTTAAGCGCTTCCTGCTGGCCCGCCGCAGCCGCCGGGGGCTCTTTGCCCAGGTAAGAGGGCATGGCCGAGGTCAGGAGGTGGGGCCAACTCTTTGGGCACCCCGGGAGAACCACTGGCTTGCCCGGGCGCTGACCGGCTGCTCCCACAGATGGTGCTGCCTGCACTCTTTGTGGGCCTGGCACTGGTCTTTAGCCGCATCGTGCCACCCACGGGCCTCTACCCGGCCTTGCGCCTCAGCCCTGCCTTGTACGGCCAACAGGTCTCCTTCTTCAGGTGGGTGCGGTACTGGGAGGGAGGATGGGGGCCAGTGGGCATGGCCCTGAGCCCACCACGCCCGCATGCACTTACACACAGTGAGGATGCGCCGGGAGACCCTGACCGTGCCCGCCTGCTGGAGATGTTGCTGGCCGAGGCTGGGCTGGGCAGCCAGGGCTTACCTCACAACGGCTCGCTCAAGTAAGCACCCCGTCCACCCCCAGGCCCTCCCCTGCCGTGCCTGCTCCCACTCTCCACCCCTGCCTCCCCCACTTAATCCCTTCCCACCCCTTCCTGTCCCACCTCTGCCCCCTCCCCTCCCTATTCCCCACCCTACCCTCTCTCTGTCCCACCCTACCTGCCCCCTCTGCCCTCCTCCTCCTCCCCACCCTTCCTTTGCCGCCTGGCAATCCCCTCCTCTGCCAGGGCATCCAGAGCCCCGCATATTAACCCCAACAGGCCATCACAGTGCGCGTCACCCAGTGCTTGCCAGTTCCTGCCGCCGGAGGTTCCTGCCGCTGTGGCCGAGACCTTGGCCAGTGGCAACTGGACCCCAGAGGCTCCGTCTCCGGCCTGCCAGTGCAGCCAGCCTGGTGCCCGACGCCTACTGCCTGACTGCCCAGCCGCGGCTGGTGGCCCCCCGCCCCCGCAGGCGGTGGGCAGCTGGGGGGAGGTGGTGCAGAACCTGACGGGCCGTGACCTGGCTGACTTCCTGGTCAAGACGTACCCACGCCTGGTGCGCAAGGGGTGAGCAGCTGCCCGGGACTTGGTATACCTGTAGGGGGTTAGCTGCACCACCCTCTCACACCGTCTTCTTCCCTTGCCTCCATCACAGCCTCAAGACGAAGAAGTGGGTGGACGAGGTCAGGTAAGGAGGGCCCCTGCCCATTTGCATGGCCTCATGCTCTTGCCCACCCTGGGAGCTCACTTCACCTCCCCTCTGCCCCACCCTGCAGGTATGGGGGCTTCTCGCTGGGGGGCCGAGACCCCAGTCTGCCCTCGGGGCGCCAGGTGAGCCACTCACTGGAGGAGCTGCGGGCACTGCTGAGCCCCACACCTGGCGACGCCCTGGACCATGTCCTTGGCAACCTCTCAGCGTGGGCACGCAGCCTAGATGCTTGGCACGGTGTCAAGGTGGGTCCCAGGGGTGGTGGGGCTGGCAGAGCCAGGGGCCAACCCCATGATCCTGACCCCAGTCTCTGGACCCTCCCCTCCCCTGCAGGTGTGGTTCAACAACAAAGGCTGGCATGCCATGGTGGCCTTCGTCAATCGAGCCAACAACGCGCTGCTCCAGGCCCGCCTGCCACCCGGCAGTGCCCACCAAGCCCACAGCATCACCACGCTCAACCACCCACTGAACCTCACCAAGGAGCAGCTGTCTGAGGCGGCACTGTGAGTGCCAATGGCAGTGTGGGGTGGTCAGCTGGGCAAACCCCATCATACTCTCGGCAGGCCAGGGCTCTGCCTGAAGCCTCCTGTAGTCCCTGTCTGGTGGGAACCCCCTTTTTCCCAGGTCTGGTGGCAGCAGCCTTTGTCCTGAGCCCTGGCCCTCTCATTCCCAGGATGGCCTCCTCAGTGGACGTGCTGGTCTCCATCTGTGTGGTCTTCGCCATGTCCTTTGTCCCGGCCAGCTTCACCCTGGTCCTCATCGAGGAGAGGGTCACACAGGCCAAACACCTGCAGCTCCTGGGAGGGTTGACCCCAACCCTCTACTGGCTGGGCAGCTTCCTCTGGGACCTGGTGCGGTGAGGGTGGGGGACAAGGGGAAGTTCTGGGACAGGGGGTGGTGTCATCTGTGCCTGGGAAGGCAGGGTGCAACTGTGCTCCTGGGGGGTGGAGTCCAGCTATGCTACTGGGGGTGGGCCCAGCTGGGCTGCTTGGGTGGGGCTGGTATGTAGATGTGCTCCTGGGAGGGCAGAGCCACCTTGGGAGGATGGTGTCTAGCTGTGTTCCTGGGGGGTGGGCCCAGCTGTGCTACTGGGGGATGGGGTGTAGCTGTACTCCTGGAGGTTGGACCCAGCAGGTTTACTTGTGTGAGACCATTTGTGCCTTGGAGGGCGGGACCAGCTGTGCTTTTTGGGGGCGGGGTTTAGCTGTGCTCCTGGAGGGTGTGGGCCCTGTTATTTCTCACCCTGCCTCTCCTGGGCATGGATCATCCAGGCTGTGCTGGGTCAGTCTTGGGGTCACAGGGAGCCTCATGCCCACAGTAGGAGCAGAGTGTTGGGGTCTCCCCCCCTCACAGTGTAACTACCTGGTACCTGCCTGCATCGTGGTACTCATCTTCCTGGGGTTCCAGCAGAAGGCATACGTGGCTCCAGACAATCTGCCTGCTCTCCTGCTGCTGCTCTTGCTTTATGGGTGAGGACCCTGCTCCCTCTGCTATTGGGGGTACTGGGGGAGCTCCTCTGGGGAGGATGAGGAAGTCTCAGTGGTGGGGGGGGGGCGAGTCAAGGCCTTAGAGCACCCAGTGGCTTTAAAAGCTCATCGGATTGTCAGCCTTGTCACAGCAGCCCAAGGCCCGGCAGGTGGGATGGAATGTTGATGTCCCTCCCCATGACTCCTACTGTCGCCCACAGCTGGTCCATCACTCCGCTCATGTACCCAGCCTCCTTCTTCTTCTCCGTGCCCAGCACGGCCTACGTGGTGCTCACCTGCATTAACCTTTTTGTGGGTATCAATGGCAGCATGGCCACCTTTGTGCTGGAACTCTTCTCTGACAAGGTGGAGCAACTAGGGGAGTTCATGGGGCTGAGGGGAGCTGGGACAGGGCTGTGCTGGGTTGGGGCTGGGCTGTGCTGGGTTGGGGCTGGACTGGACTGGACTGGACTGGGCTGTGGCTGGGATGGGGCTGGGACTGGTGTGATAAGCAGGCTCTGGCCCTGAGCTGGCCACCTCTTTCCACCTGGAGCAGAAGCTGCAAGAGGCAAGCCGGGTGTTGAAACGCGTCTTCCTCATCTTCCCTCACTTCTGCCTGGGCCGCGGGCTCATCGACATGGTACGGAACCAGGCCTTGGCAGATGCCTTCCAGCGCTTGGGTGAGCATTGCTGGGGTGTGGATGTGACTGCAGGCTCCAGAGGACCATCCTGGAGTCAGCCCTTTCCCCCACCCTCAGGTCTGGACACCCCTGGAGGGAAAACTTCCATTCTGCCTTGGGTCATATTACCCAAGGAATAAAGCCCCAAAGGAGGGAGGCGGTAACATGCCTGTTTGCAAAGGCAGTCATCCCTGGGGAAGCAGCCCACCCCAGATCTTGGTCCTTCCTTCACAAGAACCCAAGGTGTCATGGACAAAGAAGGTTCTGAACATGGAGCTGCCTCCCAGACCCAGTCACTTGCATCTGTTTCCACAGGAGACCAGCAGTTCCAGTCCCCACTGCGCTGGGAGGTGGTCGGCAAGAACCTGCTGGCCATGGCACTACAGGGACCCATCTTCCTGCTCTTTACACTCCTATTACAGCACCGCAGCCGCCTCCTGCCTCGGTCAGTGGGGTCCGTGGGGTCTGCAGGGCATGGGCAGCAGGGGGCAGCTGGGCTCCCTGTCCACTCGTGTGTCTGTCTCCAGGCAGGGGATGAGACCACTGCCGTCACTGGGGGATGAGGACAAAGACGTGGCCCGGGAGCGAGAGCGGGTGTCCCGGAGGGACACTCAGGGTGATGTGTTGGTGCTGAGGGACCTGACCAAGGTGGGTGAGGCAGAGCAGGGCTGGGGGCAGGGCTCCAGCTAGCTCCTTCTCCTTTCTTAGGACTAGCCACCCTTTGCAGGTATACCGGGGGCAGAGGGTGCCTGCGGTTGACCGGCTGTGCCTGGGGATCCCTGCTGGCGAAGTGAGTGCAGGGGCAGGAAGATTTGCACCCTCCTCCCCACCTACCCCTGCCCTGGGCTGCATCCTGGCACCTATTGCCAGTAGCTGGCCTCTTCATCACCTCCACTTGACTGGGGAGCTTCAGGCCCAATCCTGTGTGTGCCCCACCCCTCCTGCCCACCGGCCCTCCCAACAGAGTGTGGGGTGCAGGGGCCCCAGGGCTCAGGCACATGGCCCTCACGGGCCTCCACACAGTGCTTCGGGCTGCTCGGCGTGAACGGAGCAGGGAAGACGTCCACGTTCCGCATGCTGACCGGGGACACACTGCCCAGCGCGGGTGAAGCGGTGCTGGCAGGCCACAGGTGAGGGGTCGCACCTCCACACCCCTGGATCACACTGGTCCCTGAGGTCCTCCGGCTCCCCTCAGGGTTTGCTCAAGGACCTGGCTGGTCTTCTAAGTAACCTGTCCCCCACCCGGCAGCGTGGCCCTGGAACCCGAGGCTGCACACCGCTGCATGGGGTACTGCCCGCAGTCGGACGCCATCTTTGAGCTGCTGACGGGCCGCGAACACCTGGAGCTGTTTGCGCGCCTGCGCGGTGTCCCCGAGGCTCAGGTAGCTCAGGTGAGCTCGCTGGGCCACGCCCCTAGGCCCGGCCCGGCACTCCTCCAGCCTGGTCCAATCAGAGGGCTCGCTCTGTCTCAAGGTCCCGCCCTGGTTCCCTGTCCCATGTTCCCCTGGCTCCACCCTCACATCCACTGTAACCACGCCCCGCCCACACCGGCCCTCGCCCCGCCCTGTCACCCACACCCCGCCCACACCGGCCCTCGCCCCGCCCTGTCACCCACGCCTCGCCCCGCCCTGTCACCCACGCCCCGCCCACACCTGCCCTCGCCCCGCCCTGTCACCCACGCCCCACCCACACCGACCCTCACCCCGCCCTGTCACCCACGCCCCGCCCACACCGACCCTCGCCCCGCCCTGTCACCCACGCCCCGCCCACACCGGCCCTCGCCCCGCCCCGCAGACGGCCCGCTCCGGCCTGGCGCGCCTCGGGCTCAGCGCATACTCGGACCGGCCGGCGGGCACCTACAGCGGGGGCAACAAGCGGAAGCTGGCGACGGCCGTGGCGCTCGTCGGGGACCCCGCCGTGGTCTTCCTGGTGCGTGCGGGCGGAGAGGGGACAAGGACGGAGAGGGGCCAGATCTGGACCAGAGCAGGGGTGGAAAGGAGATCGGGGCTGGGCAGTGGCTGGACCAGGGTGAGGGGTGGAGAGGGGCTGGGGCTGGACCAGAGGACGGATGCACAGGAGACAGGGGCTGGACTGGGGCTGAACCAGGGTGGGGACGGAGAGGGGCTGGGACTGGACCAGGGCTGGAGAAGGAGCTTGAGCCAGACCAGGGACAGGGGCTGCACTGGCGCTGGAGAGGGGGTCGGAGCTGGACCGGGGCGGGGGCGCTGCTGGGGCGAGGGCTGCACCAGAGCGCGACCACAGCCCCTGCCCCTTTCCCTCCCCGGCCACGCAGGACGAGCCCACCACGGGCATGGACCCGCACGCGCGCCGCTTCCTCTGGGACAGCCTCCTGGCTGTGGTGCGGGAAGGCCGCTCCGTGGTGCTCACCTCGCACAGGTCAGCCCAGCGCGCTCGGGGCCCGGCGGGGTGCGAGGCGGGGATCTGGTGAGGAGCCGTGGCGGACAGTGCAGCTCATGGTGTGGCGGACAGTGCAGCTCATGGTGTCCTGCCCACAGCATGGAGGAGTGCGAGGCCCTGTGCACGCGCCTGGCCATCCTGGTGAACGGGCGGTTCCGCTGCCTGGGCAGCGCGCAGCACCTCAAGAGCAGGTGTGCACAGGGCCCGGCAGGGGTGCTGTCCGAGGGTGGAGGGTGGGGGACGCGACGTCCGAGGCAGGGGCGAGGTCACCGCGGGCGTTCGGGCGGGCATGTGGTTAACTCTGGCTCTCCCCCGCTCCAAGATTCGGGGCAGGACATATGCTGACCCTTCGGGTACCGGCGGAACAGCACGCGCGGGCGGTGTCCTTCGTGGAAGCTGCGTTTCCAGGCGCCGAGCTGCGCGAGGCCCACGGCGGCCGGCTGCGCTTCCAGCTGCCGCCGGGAGCGCGCTGCGCCCTGGCGCACGTTTTCGAGGAGCTGGCGGCGCACGGCGCGGAGCACGGAGTGGAGGACTTCTCCGTCAGCCAGACCACGCTGGAGGAGGTGACCGCGTGAACGCAGCGGCCGAGAGGGAGGATCCGGGGTGTGGTGGGGCGGCGCGGGGCAGGGTGTCCCGCCGAGGCTGAGCGCGCGCGTCTCCCGCCGCCTGTGCCAGGTATTCCTGCACTTCTCCAAGGACCAGGGCAGGGAGGAAGAGGAGGACGCGCAGGACGACACGGAAGCACACTGTGTTCAGCGCCCCAAGCGCATCAGCAGGTTCCTGGAGGATCCCAGCATGGCAGAGACCATGCTCTGAGCCTTCCCCTCGGGCGGGCCTCTGCGGGGACACAGGGGGGAGCGGGCCCCAGCTCGGAGAAGCCTCGCTGCCTGAGGAAATAAAGCAAATGCTGTTGTGCAGGGGCGTGCACTCGTGTCTGTGTGGGCCCCAGCTGTAAACTCTTGCGAGAGGCCCCAGCTCGGGGGCTTCGCGAATTGATAGAACCTGCGCCTGCTCCATGCTGGCCTGTGTCCCCGGAATGCGGGGTGAGGACTCCTGCTCTGCCGGGACCTGCTTAGTGGGCCCTGTGGAGGCTGCGGGGGTGCAGACACACCTGCGCCTCCCGCCCGCACCGTGCACGCGAGGGCGTCCGCTGCGCCGGCCCCGCGGGGGCCACGTCGAAGGAGGAGCGGAAGAGGGCGCAGGACGGGCTCCGCCTCACCTCGCGCCCAGTCTGCAGAGCGGCAGGCTGAGGCCGGGGAGGAGGGCGGGGTCGCGGCGGCGGCGGCTCCCGAGGCCTTTTCCTGTGGGGGGCAGGGCCGGCCAATGAGGGCCGGGCCCATCACGTGGGCCTGACAGCTTGGGGCGGGGGGTGCCGGCGCAATGTGGTCCCCGGAGCGCCAGCGCTGAGCCCCAGGCTGCCCGAGGCCGGCGGGCCGCGGGGGGCCCGGCCTCACCATGTTCTCCAGGAAGAAGCGAGAGCTCATGAAAACCCCTTCCATCTCCAAGAAGAACCGCGCGGGAAGCCCCAGCCCACAGCCGCCGGCGGTGAGTTGTGCCTCCCGTGGGCGCGGGCGCAGGCCAGGGGCGCCCCACTTGAGCGCTGTGCCGGCGGGGGTTCTGGGCGCAGAGCCCCTAAACCCCGCGTCGGGCTTAGGGCAGGGAACCTGGAGCGCTGGGGAGCGGAGAAGCCTGGGCTCCCAACTACACAGTCCGAGAAGGGGTCGGGGCTGTGCGTGGATGGGGGCCAGGGCGTGGCTTGGGGTTGGCGGCGGTTTCGCTGGGTGCCTGGGTCTAGGGGTGCCTGTCCGGAAGGCCCAGAGTATTCGTGGGAACGGGGGTGGGATGGGGGTCAGCAAGAGGCTGGGGGCCCACAATGGCGGGAGGTGTTTTGATGGAAAAGTTGATACCTTCTCTGCGCGCCCTCCCCTTCCAGGAAGTGGGGTCTCCCCCACCCCAAGGTCTGCGCGCCCCGCCCCCGGCTGTGGTTTTAGCAGGGCCGTTGTTTGTGAAAGCTGCGAGGGGAGGATGTTGGGTAACAGGTGGGTGGGGGGGTGCTGGGCACTAAATCTCAGCCCTCTGACCTCTGGCTTCTGACCTCAAAGCCCCTCCCCTGTCCACCTTGCGTATGGAGAAACTGAGGCAGTGTCAGGGCCAGACCACCCCCTCTACCTGTGTCCCCCGTCCACCTCTCACAGGAGCAGACCAGGAGGGAGGGGGCCGAAGCTGCATTCCCTGGGCAGGGCCAGGAGCCCACGGCCACCAACGCTAAGGCCACGGGCACCCTGAAACGGCCCACCAGTTTGAGCCGCCATGCCAGTGCAGCAGGCTTCCCGCTGCCTGGGGCCTCCTGGACGCTGGGCCGGAGCCACCGCAGCCCCGCAGAGCCACCAGCCGAGGGGCCTGGGCCAGAGGCCGGGGAGGACATCTCTGTGCTGCTGGGGGACGTGGCTCGCTTCGCCGAGGGCCTGGAGAAGCTCAAGGACTGCGTGTTGCGTGACGGTGAGAGGCGCGCGGGATGGGCAGGCCGGTGTTAGCGGGGTCTTATGGGAGCTTCAGCAGGTGCAAAGGGGAGGAGGCAGCGTCGGCCCCAGGCAGGGAGGAGCACCAGTTCCCTTTTTGCCTCCACGCGCGGCTGACAGCCCAGCTTCCTGCCGAGTTATTTTCATCCGCTTCCTGTTTGTCCCTGGCACTGCGGCGGGCACCCTGAGCTGTAGTGGGCACAGCCCCCTAAGAAGCGCAGCCTGCACCCTGCATGTGGAATCCGCCTAGAAACCGCAGTGCCAGGCCCGCACCAGGTGCCTCTTGCCCCACTGTGCTGCCAAGATGGCCCTGGATGGTTGGCAAGTGGGAGGTGGCCACAGCCTGGGGGCTCTGCGCTGAGTGGGAGCCCCAGTTATCTGGCTTTGGGGCGGGGGTGGCTTCCCCAGGAAGCCGCCTAATCTTGGTTCCCTTCCCTTTCCAGAGCTTCCTTGGAGGCGCAGCCCTTTGGGACTGAGCCAGGGGCGGCCCTGGGGCAGCTAGGCGGGGTCAGGGTCCCAAGCTGCACCCACTCCCCTCAGGTGTCTGTGAGCCGGGATCCCAAGGATGGCCAGGAAGGGGTACCCATGCAGGCGAAGGGGGGCTGCCCAGGGATGGACTCACCCCTGACCCACACACCTCCTGTGCCCTGTCCTGCGACCCCCCCCCGGGTACTGCTGCTGCTCAGGGGAGATAGACCCAGGGAGAGGCTCTCGGCCCAGCTGCAGCCAATTTGGCTGGCTAGCAGCCGCCGACAACCCCCCAAGAGTCATTTCCTGAAACCCTTCGCATGCATGCTGTGTTCAGCACCCTGATGGCTGCACCAAGTGTGTCTGCCAGGACAGTGCACCCAGCGATGCCCCGTGGGCGGGGATGGGGCAGTGCAGAAGTCTGGGTCCACACCCCACAGCCACCTCCCCCCAGCATGTGGTGCTTGGCTCAGCTGCAGCCCACGGGGGTGGGTCTGCTGGATGCATGTTGTGTGTCCTGTGCTGGTCTTAGTGGCCACGCAGAGCTGGGTGAGGTGGGCTCCGCCACCCAGGAGTCCCACCTGCTCTTGGTTCCTGGTTGCCTTGTGCTAGGGGCATGGAGGGGGAAGAGCTGGGAGGCGAGTCCCCAGCAGGTGCGTGACTGAAGGGATTCCAAAAGCCGGAAGATAGCCTTCAAGAACATGAAGCTATGTTGGTGCCAAACTTCATAACACGGAAAGTGGTTAGGCAGGAGGAAAAAAAAAGCATGAATTGCAGTGGTGGATTTTTTTTTTTTTGCAATAAATTCAGATGTTTCTTAAGAATGGTTTATTTAGTAGGAAGGCAGAGCACGAGACATTGAATATGCACTTTGCTCCCAAGCCTGTCCTCTGGGTGGGGGCCAGCCCACCCCCAGAACTCTCCCCGGGTCTCCCACAAGGGTGGCGGGAGCCACAAGCTGGAGACATCCCTCCTGCCCCAGGGGGCACCAGCAGTGCTGGAGAGCTGGGGGGTGGTAAACTGAGGCACACTCTGCCGGATCAGCAACACTTACAGTTCCAACATCTTTTTTATAAACATCTAACACTTGGACAAGATTTTTTTCTTTGAAAGGCCTCCTTCAGTAGTGGTGGCAGGGGGTTTTGGTAGTGCGGAAGGCAAGGAAACTACAAACCTTTCATCTGCTGGTTCACTCCCCATACAGCTGCACCGGCTGCGGCTGGGCTGGGGGGGCAGCCCGGAGCTCCATCTGGGTCTCCCATGGGTGCTGATTCCCAGAGGCCTGCGGCAGTAGGAGCTGGGGTCCTGAGCCTGAACCAGGCACTGGGATATGGGATGCTGGTGCCCTGCCCTCCGCTGCCCTCCCCTGCCCCCACTGCAGGCATGCCCAGGCATCCAGAGAAAGGACTTGAAGTTCAATTGGGAGTTCAGTGTCCTAAGGCGCAGACCAGGAGCACAAGGCTGGGTCCCCGCCCCGCTGGGGTCAGCCACTCAAGCCTGCTCTGCCCTCCCCACCCCTCCCCTAGATCTGCTGGAGGCGCGCCGGCCACTGGCCCACGAGTGCCTGGGTGAGGCTCTGCGTGTCATGCACCAAGTGATCTCCAAGTACCCACTGCTCAACACTGTGGAGATCCTCACGGCCGCGGGCACCCTCATCGCCAAGGTCAAAGGTTAGGCAAGTGGCTGGGGCCGGTTGGGGAGGAGGGGCAGGGCGTCCCAAGGTGGCCTTGACCCTCTGTGGGCCCCCCCACCCCTGCCCTCTCAGCCTTCCACTATGAAAGCAACAATGAGTCAGATAAGCGGGACTTCGAGAAGGCCCTGGAGACTGTGGCCGTGTCCTTCAGTAGCACGTGAGGACTGGGCTAAGGGGGGTGGGGGGCCCTGCAGGCAAGGGTGTGCTGGTGCCCCTGCACTGACCACCCCCTCCTGCCACCCTGCCCCGCAGTGTGTCTGAGTTCCTCATGGGCGAGGTGGACAGTAGCACCCTCCTGGCAGTGCCCCCGGGGGACGCCGGCCAGGTGAGGTGCATACAGGGCTGGGTGTGCTATGACCTCTGTGTGTGGGGTGGGGACTCATTGGTGCCCCTCCTGCTCGCAGTCTATGGAGAACCTGTATGGCCCCGGGAGCGAGGGCACCCCACCCAGCTCCGAGGACTGTGACGAGGAGGGTAAGTGTGGGATCCACACGGGGGGACACACTGGGCAGCTGCGGGGACACGCCAGCTAAGCCACGCATGTGTCCCACCTACCCACCTGCCTGGTGCAGGTTGCCTGGCCCCTGAAGAGGTAGACCTGTTGCTCCAACGCTGTGAGGGCGGCGTGGACGTAGCCCTGCAGTACGCCAAGGGCATGGCCAAGTACATGAAAGACCTCGTCAGCTACCTGGAGAGGCGTACAACGCTGGGTGAGTGCGGAGCCCAGCAGGGAGGGGCTGGGCACAGCATGGCCTGCTGCCTGCCCTGACCTGTCACCCTCCCGTCTTGCCTGCCCGCAGAGATAGAGTTCGGGAAAGGCTTGCAGAAGATTGTGCACGCCTGCAGACAGACGGTGGTGCAGGAGGTGGGGCCCTGGCCCGGGAAGCGGGAAGAAGCTGAGGAGCCCAGGGTGCCCACCTGCCCGCTGACCACCCACCTGCCCGCTGCCCACAGCCGCACATGCCCCTGCTATCCATCTACGCGCTGGCACTGGAGCAGGACCTGGAGTGGGGCCATGGCCTGGTGCAGGCGGCCAACACACTGCAAACGCAGACCTACATGCAGGTGGGCATGGTGTCATGGGTGGGGAGGGGGCCGAGGGGGCAGCACCGCAAACAGCCGGTTCACCTGCTTCCCCCGCAGCCCCTGGCGCTGCGTCGCCTGGAGCATGAGAAGCGGCGGAAAGAGATCAAGGAGGCCTGGCATCGTGCCCAGCGGAAACTGGTAAGGCCTCCCGCGTAGGCGCAGCCCCCCACCCACCATTCAGGAGTAGGGTGGGCGCGGCCTCTCCCCACCTGGTCCCCCATCCTCCCCGCCTGGTCCCCCATCCTCCCCGCCCGCTCTTTGCCATTTGGCTTTGGCTCCGTGGCTGTCGGCGGAGGCCCTGTGTTTCATTCCCCACGCCTGGGTTATGTCAGTTTTTCTGTGGTTCTGGTCTCTGCACCCGGCTCAGCCTCCTGGGGTGCAGGCTGTGCGCCCTGGCTTCCTGCCCCCTCACCCCACCCAGGAGCTATGTGGCTTCCTGCCCCAGGGGGTAAGGGAGGGGACAGCCACCAGGCTCCAGCCCCCGTCACCTTGGGCCGAGGGTGGGCATGAGCAGGGTGGCTTGCCATGCCGGGGATGCACGGCCCGCCTTGGCGGCATGAGTCTCCTTCCTGCACGCCCCCAGCAAGAGGCCGAATCCAACCTGCGCAAAGCCAAGCAAACCTACGTGCAGCGCTGTGAGGACCACGACAAGGCCCGCCTCCAGGTGGCCAAGGCGGAGGAGGACCAGGCGGGCAGCGCGGCTGGGGCGGGTAGCGCAGCCTCCAAGGCCCTGGACAAGCGGAGGCGGTTGGAAGAGGAAGCCAAGAACAAGGTGAGAGGCTCCAGGCAGGTGTTTGCCCCGCTCCCCGGCTGAGCACTGGTCCCAGGATGGCAAGCTGAGTCCCACAGTGGCGCGGCTCATCCCCGCAGGCAGAAGAAGCCATGGCCACATACCGCACGTGCGTGGCGGATGCCAAGACACAGAAACAGGAATTGGAGGACACAAAGGTGACGGCACTGCGGCAGCTGCAGGAGCTCATCCGCCAGAGCGACCAAACCATCAAGTCGGTGCGAGCGTGGGCGGGCAGGGCTGCGGGGCGCAGGGCGCACGGACAGGCAGAGCGCGGAGTGCAGGGCACACAGACAGAGCTGTGGGGAGCGTGGTGAGAAAGCGGGCAGGGCTGTGGGACGCGTGGGCGTGCAGAGTTGCTCATGGGTGTGCAGGGTTGTAAGTCAGGGCTGAGGGGCGCAGGGTGCGCGGGTGGGTAGCAGTGCAGGCGCCCCACCTCCTGACCGTGCGCCCGCGGCTGCCCCCTGCAGGCCACCATATCCTACTACCAGACGATGCACATGATGACAGCACCGCTGCCCGTGCACTTCCAAATGCTGTGTGAGAGCAGCAAGCTGTACGACCCGGGCCAGCAGTACGCGAGCCACGTGCGCCAGCTGCAGCGTGGCGACGAGCCTGATGTGCGCTATGACTTCGAGCCCCACGTGCCTGCCGGCGCCTGGTACGTGCTTGTGGGACCCCTTGGTGGGTCCTACTCCAACCCCTGCATGCTCTGCCAGGACCCCTCAGGAATCCCTCAGCGCCCTCCGACCCTCCAGCCCATCACAGCCTTTCCTCTCTCCCCCAACCAGGTCTCCAGTGGCACGTGCCCGGAAGAGCAGTTTCAACGTAGGCGATGCAGCTGGGGCCGAGGTCACGAGCAGTGCTCTAGATGAGCCTAGGTCTGGAGAGGGGTCCCAGCCCAAGGAGTCCCGGGGTGAGTGTCCATGGGGCACCAGGATTGGCTCTGGCTCCCCTTTGTCGTTGGCCCTTTCTCCAAGCTGCCTCCCTCCCCAGGTGTGCGGGGCCACCAGGTGCACAAGTCGTGGCCCACTTCGGTTACTGAGAGCGGGGTGGAAGCGGGCTCTAGCCCAGGTAAGGGGACTGCTGGCGGGGTGGGCTAGGGCTCCCCTAGGGCTCTGGGCACCTGACGCCCTCTCTGCCACTCAGGGGACATGCGCTTGGAGCGAACGTCGTCCTCTGGCACCATGTCATCCAGTGAGGAGTTGGCGGACCAGGAGGCGGCACTGGAGCAAGGTGAGGTGGGAGCTTGGGCAGGGAGGGGGGCTGCCTGCATGGCTTACGGTCCTTGGTGACCTGGGCTGCCCTCCCACCTGCAGCTGACCTCAACGGCATGGCCCCTGAGCTGCCTGTGGCCGTGCCCAGTGGGCCTTTCCGCCACGTGGGGCTGTCCAAGGCAGCGCGCACACACCGGCTGCGTAAGCTGCGCTCGCCCGCCAAGTGCCGTGAGTGCAACAGCTACGTGTATTTCCAGGGCGCTGAGTGTGAGGAGGTGAGGGGCATCGGTGGGCGGGTGGGCAGGTGGGGGTGTGGGCCAGCGGGCACCCCGGGGCTTAGCTCATGCCCAGACACCACCCCCAGTGCTGCCTGGCCTGTCACAAGAAGTGCCTCGAGACCCTGGCCATCCAGTGCGGCCACAAGAAGCTGCAGGGCCGCCTGCTGCTCTTCGGCCAGGACTTCATTCCCGCCGCCCGCGCCACTGCGGACAGCGTGCCCCTGGTCATCCGGAAGTGCATCAGTGAGATCGAGCGCCGCTCACTGCATACCAAGGTGAGGCCGGGCCCATGGCCGGGGGCTCTGCCTATGGCCTGGTTGGCATCTGCTGCCGGCTGACTGTGCCCCCCCACCCAACCCAGGGCATCTACCGCGTAAATGGCGTGAAGACACGGGTGGAGAAGTTGTGCCAGGCCTTTGAGAACGGGCAGGAGTTGGTGGAGCTTTCACAGGCCTCACCCCACGACATCAGCAATGTCCTCAAACTGTACCTTCGCCAGGTGAGCCAGGCTGGCCGTGGGGCGGGGCTGCGGCTGCGCACTGGGGGTCGTGCTGAGCCCCTGCATCTGTCGCCTGCAGCTGCCCGAGCCCCTCATTTCCTTCCGCTTCTACCACGAGCTGGTGGGGCTGGCTAAGGACAGTGCCAAGGCAGAGGCGGAGGCCAAGGCAGCAGCTAGGGGCCGGCAGGAAGGGGCCGGCAGCGAGCGGAGCGAGGAGGTGGCTTTGGCCATGGCCAGCCGGCTGCGTGAGCTGCTGCGAGACCTGCCGCCGGAGAACCGGGCCTCACTGCGGTACCTGCTGAGGCACCTGCGCAGGTGAGCGTGAGCCGGGCACTGGGGAGCGGGGAGCTGCAGTCTGTGGGACCCGTCCTCACTGCACCCCATCCCTCCCCCTCAGGGTAGTGGCTGCTGAGCAAAACAACAAGATGACACCAGCGAATCTGGCCATCGTGTTTGGGCCCACGCTGCTGCGGCCTCGGCCCACGGAGGCCACCGTGTCTCTCTCGTCCCTGGTGGACTACCCCCACCAGGCCCGCATCATTGAGACGCTCATTGTCCACTACGGCCTGGTGTTCGAGGAGGACCTGGAGGAGGCTCCAGGCTCTCAGGTGAGGGGACAGACATCCCGGGAGAGGCTGAGGCCCCAAGGGTGACTTGGAGCCATCTTCTGGTGTCTGATGGGTGGTGTCATTTGTCTTCCCCTACAGGATGCACTGCCCGGCCAGCAGACGCAGGTGGCTGTCCAGGTGTCATACCTGGAGGCGGGCGATGGTGCCATCTGCTCCCTGCAGGAGGTGGCGGAAGGTGAGGATACAGGTGAGCATGGCCATGAACCCTGCTACCCGGGGGCTGAGGGGCAGGCTTGGCGTGCGTGGGCAGGGCCACTGCCCCGGCATGCCTGGGGGTTTCACATATCCAATATCCCCTCAGAATCACGAGCTGCATCCGCCGACTCTGACTCGGAACTGGAGGAGGCTTCTGACCCTCTGTCTTCATCGGATGCCAGCGCCCTGCACAGCCTCAGCTTCTCAGAGGGCCAGGACGAGCAGCCAGGGGCCGGGAAGGAGGGAGGCCCCGCAGGACTGGCCCTGCAGCTTTCAGCCTACAACAGCAGCTAGCGCTGCCCCGTCGGGGGCCCGGCTGCCCCCGTGAGGCTCCCTGGGCACCTGCCGGGCGAAGTGGCCAGAGCTTGACTGAGCTGGTCAGGGCAGAGGCACACATGGCTAATGCCAGCCACCTCCTGGGGCAGCGGGCCCTGCCGACCTTCGGTGGCTAGGGTGGTAGTGGGGTCACCTTCCTGGAAGTTGGGGTCTGGGGACACAGTGCTCTTGCTGCTATTCACAATAAAGCCTTCAGCACTTGGATTGTTGGCCCGCGGGCTCCCGTCCCTCAACCTGGAGGTGCAAGACAGGGGACGCCCCATGTCAACAGTCACATTTGCTCACAAACACTTAACAAGCTGCAGGAGGCCCATTCCCACACTGCAGCCCAAGCCACCATCCGCTTCCAGAACCTTCTCCAGACTGAGGCCCCCCCTACTCCATCTGGGCTCCTGTGATTATCAGAGTCACAGAATTTGAATAGGTCATTCCCCACAGGGCCACAGTGCTACAGTATCTGATAGTGCCCCAGCGGTAACTTCGAACCAGGAGCTCCATCCAGGCTTCCTGGGAGTGCAGGGGCCCAGGAACTGAACCACCGTGGCTGCCCCCGGGAACACCAGCCCTGAGCTGGCTGGCAATCTGTGGGATGCTGGTACCACAGGCAGCGGTTTGGTCCTTGGAGCCAGCCCCACAGACCAGCATTGCAGGGCCAACCCAGCTGCTTCAGCACCAACTGGGGCCCTGCAGCCACACCGAGCCAGGGTTGGGACCCACAGTGGGGGGCCTCGATGTGAAGGCAGTAGGTGAGAAACCTGCAGTAGGTGCATACTGGGGGAGGAGCCTGCCATGGGGTACAGTGGGCACAGGCCTACACCTGGAACAACTGCCCCTCAACCAGCTGGGCTCAGAAGAGCCAGTTTGGACAACACAGCCAGACGCCGCACGTGGGCACCATGCAGGCTGTGGGGGAGCCGGGTTCATAGCTGGCATGTGGTAACTACCGCCCATCCACACTCCACAGAGCTGTGTGCCCGGGAGTGCAGGGGCCACCCCGCCGGACGTGAGCACCCAACACAAGACCCCAGTGTCCACAGAGGTGACAGACAAGGCGCAGCCCATGCACCCCACGTGGGGACATGGCTAGGGACCGCATGGGTTTCTGACATGCCAGACCAAACCAGGGAGAGACATGACGCTGCCACAATGGTGACCGAAGCATCTAGCACAAATGCGGACTCGCAGGCAACACAAATAGGTGTGCGCACAGAAGGTGCTAGCAACAGCCAGGGGTGTTGGTGGCACAGCCCTGGGGTCTGACGTCCCAGGAGCTCTCAACACGGTAGGCTCCCTGTGACTTAAAGGACAGGTGTCTCCGCCAACTCCCCTGGAGCCCCACCCAGCCCTGCTGGGAGGGAACTGGGGGTACCAAGAGCCCCACAGACCTTGCCACTCAGTCTTCGTTTCCAAACGAAGAGTTTATTCACTCACAATCTCTGGCCCTGGGGTCGGCGCTGGGACCTGCACCTGCTGACCGCAGAGTACCCATGGCCCACAGACCCAGAGAGCGGGTTAGGGGCAGACCGCACATGCCAGATCCCACCTGCCAGCCAGCTGACCACACTGGCTCCTGCCCAGGGCCCTGTAGTCCCAAGTGGGCCCCGTGCGTGTGACCTACAGCAGAGGTGGAAGTGCCAGTCTTGGGGTGTACAGGACAGCAGAGACGGGGCTGCTGCCTTTGGGGTGCCTTGAGTAGGGCTGGATCTGGGGAAGCCAGGTCGTTGGACACCTGTGGTACAGAAAAGATGGACAGTTGAGCCAGGCAGGCAGACCACAAGCCACGACCCCGGGTGATGGGCAGGGCAGGGCAGGGCAGGGAATGGATCAGCTTAGCAGGGCCTGGTCTGAGGCCTGCAGGGAGACACAGGATGGCCTGGCAGGGGGCACCTCAGGATGCCGGGCAGGTGCTGGCCCAGGACTGTCCTCTGCTACTCAAGGAGACAGAAGGTCCATGCCAGGAAAGACCCTCCCACCCTGGGTCCGTAGAGGGGATCCTATGGGCTGAGTGATCCCACGTGTGGGGTCCTGGTGCCTCTGCTGGCTGCAGAGTCCCCATCCCAGGGTCCATGTGAGCCCACCCGGGAGCAGCACGGCCCTGGACTCTCACCTGCATGCGGCTACTGCACCAGCCGGTACGTGATGTACCTGCCCGCCGTCTCACTGGGTCGGATGATCTTGACCACCTGCAGTGACATGGGCAGGGCTGGGGCTCAGGCATCTCACACTGGTGCCTGAGACAGTGGGCATGCTGGCCTGGGGCTAGGACAGCTTGCACCTCTGCCCAGGGTGGTGGGCACAATGGCCTGGGGTGCCAGGCTGAGGTACCTTGCACCTGCCTGGGGTAATGGGCACGCAGGCCCAGGGCTGGGCTGGGGGCTCAGGCACCTTGCACTACTGCCTGGGGAGATGTGTACCCTGGCTTGGGGTGCTGGGCCCGAGTGCTGGAGGTCAGCCGAATAACCCTGGGCAGCCCTGGCTTCATACATGGGTGATCCCAAGTCTGCCCAGGAGGTGGGGAGCAGCCCTTCTTACCTGCCCCCGTTTTATGCCGAAATAGCGTGCCACAGGGTCCCCTGCTTGGATCCTTGGTAGCTGGTTCTCCCGCAGCTTACTGGGGTGCAGTCAGGGAAAGCCAGTCTGGGCAGTACTGGGATACAGAGTGAGGAAGGGAAGGGAGGGAGCCCTGGAGGTGGGAGGAGGAAGGGGCCCCTGGGAGGGAAGGGGAAAGAAGGAAGGGGAAAGAAGGAAGGGGAAAGAAGGAAGGGGAAAGAAGGAAGGGGACCCCCGGGGGCGGGGGGAAGCTGAGTTCCGTAAGGATACTATCGTGCCAGCAGCTCTGTCACCTCCTCCTTGGTCATGACCACGTGCTCAGGGACCAGCTGAGGACAGATGGGGCAGATGGGGCGCTGAGCACGGACGGACGACTCCACCCTGCACCCCCCACAATCCCCACGCCCTCCCCCCACGCACCTCGTGTTCTGTGATGTTGATGAGCAACTCTTGCTGCAAGAACTGCTCCAGCACGTATTTGGGGGCCATGTCCACCAGCGACTGCGAGGGGCCAGAAGTGGGGGTGCTCAGCAGGGAGTACCCCAGGCCAGCCCCCACCCTGCCCGTCGCCCCCAGGCCGGCCCCCACGCTGCTGTCGCCCCCAGGCCGGCCCCCATGGGGCGCACCTGCTTGGCCGAGGGCGTCATGCCCTGCTGCACCACGATGAGCGCGCGGGTGATGTTTTCCTCCTGCATCCGCTGGCAGTACACCTTGATGGTCTTGATGCCCACCTTGGGCTCCTCTGTGGGCACAGTGGGGCTCATGTGGCCACCCCAACCCCACACCATCACCCAGGGCCTGCTCAGCCACAGGAGGACATGGGAACCAGGGCAGCCACTCCTGGACACGGTGGGGAGTCCAGGCCTGGGACAGGCTCCCCTTGGGGGTGACACAGTGCAGTCAGCGGGTGAACACCCAGACACCAGGGAGGGCCCAGCACGGATGGCATCCCCGCCCTGTGGACCCCACCCACACCTGTGAGCCACCGGCATCCCACATGGACACCGGGCAGGCCCACTTGCCTCCAGCCCCGTGGCTGAAGGAGGGACCCCACTGGTCGTGTAGATGGGTGGGGGACTGCAGCAGGTGGGGACCCACCTTGAGCCCGGTCCGTGCACCCCACCCCAGCCCAGCCCACCTGGAGCCCGGCGGTCACCTGGGAAGAAGACAAACATCTGGTCAGTGGGGTCGTCGTTGTGAGCTACCAGCACGGTCAGGTCCGTGCGTCGCGGCCGCCCCTCGCTCGGCTTGTCCCCGAACTGGGCCTTGAACTCCTCCAGGGTCTGGTCCAGCTCGTCCTGGGTCACCAGGTAGCCGCGGTCGTGGCACAGCTGCGGGGTGCACACAGCCAGGTGGGTGAGGGACCCCATTAGGTGGGGGACCCCGCTGGATAGGTGACCCCGCAGCCACAAGTAGGGGATCCCAGCGGGTGGGCCAGAGACCTTGCTGAGTAGGTAGCTGGGGGGCCCCACTGGGTGGGAAGTCCTGGCAGGTAGAGGACCCCGCTGGATAGGTGAGCGTGGAACCCCACTGAGTAGGGAACCCCAGCAGGTGGGTGATCCCGCAAATAGGCGACCCCTCCAGGTAGATAAGGGATCCCGCTGGATGGGTGGCTGACCCCACTGAGTAGATGACCCCCAGGTGGATGGAGGACCCCGGCAGGCAGAGACCCCAGCAAGTGGGTGGGGGACCCTGGCAGGCGGGTGGGAGACTCGGCAGGGTAGGTGACCCCAGCAGGCGGAGACCCCGGCAGGTGGGTGGGGGACCCTGGCAGGTGGGTGGGGGACCCGGCCGGGTAGGTGATCCCACTAGGTGGGTAAGGGACCCCGCAAGTGGAGGATCCCAGCGGGTGGGAGACCCTGCTAAGTGGGAGACCCCGCGGGCCGGCCGACGCAGACGGAGGCCCACCTGCATGATGGTCTTGCGGATCTTCCACAGCCGGTACGTCTCCTCCTCGTCGTCCATGTCGCCGTTGCTGCTGCTCCTGCCGCTGCCGCCACACTAACTCCGCGTTATAGAGCCGCGCGCGATAATTGCGCCTGCGCCGGACGCTAGTCAGGCCCCCGGCCCCGCCCACCCCGGGCTGTCTCCAGCGAACGCCTGAATAAGGCAGCGCCGTTCGGGACAGGCAGCGCTGCGGACAGCCCGACACCGTCGGGTGCGGTTACTGTGGCAACCGACGCTATCCTCTAAGGCCGCCGGTTCGAGTCCCGGCTGCTCCAGTTCCGGTGCGGTATCCCCCTTTGCTGACGCCCCTGGGCTGACGCAGCCTGGGCCCCCGCACCCACCCTGGGAGACCAGCGATGGAGCTCCTGGCTTCGACCTGGCTCTCCCCCAGCTACCGCAGCCATTTGGGGAAGTGAATCCGTACATGGAAGAGCTCTCTCACGCTACCCTTGAAATAAATGCATTTTTAAGTAAACACTTCTGCTTTCAAAATATTTTCCCGAACAGCAGTCAGCCTTGCCCTTGGGAGAGACTGCCTCTTAGAATAGGTGGAGTCGTCGTGAGGAGCTTGGGGTGGGGAAGGCAAGCAGAGGGCACCGAGTGTGCCAGGCAGTGCCGGGTGGCAGGCAGTGAACAGATTGCAATGGGGTGTGGTTGCGAGCTAGTAGGCCAGAGGGGACGAGTACCCCGATAGGGTGAGCCAATGCGAGGACAGAGTCCCCTGTGGGAGGGTGGAGGAGGCACCCCGAAGTGTGGGGATTGTGGAAGATGCCCTAGGGCAGCTTGCCAGGGCAGTGCCCTGGAGACGAGGCCAGGACAAGGTCCCAGGTCCCTGGGGATGGGGTGTTTCCAGGGCAGAGTCTGCAGCCCCAGGGATCAGGAGAAAAGGGTGGGGTATGGAGAGAGGTTCAGCTGTGAAGCCCTGTAAACCTGTCCTCCTCCTCCAGGCTGGAGGGTCACCAGCCAGGGCGGCAGTGTGCCCAGCTGAGCCCTGACATGGTGTGGGCACACAGCTGTCCCTTTAACAGAGTGATGGGGCAGGAGGCTTCAGGTGCCTGGGGACACGTGTGGGTGTCTGGGGGTGGTGAGGTGCCACATGCCTGGGCACAGGTGCAGGTGTTTGGGGCGGGGACAGGCAGGAGCGGAGGTGGCAGGCAGAGGTCTCCCAGAGTTTTGCTGTTCCATGGGGAGGTCCAACCACACCAGTGGTACCCGTCTCCCCTTTATGCAGTTCGACAGCCCCAGGTTGCCCACTGGACACCCCCCCACACACACACACAGGAAGTGACTGCATAGGCAATTCCACAGCAACAGGAAAAGGCTCAGGGTAACCAGCTCCCAGGACAGGACTTCCTTCGGTGGTGATGAAATGTTCTGAAACTCAATGTTTTTTGTAACTTTTCCTCCAGGGTGAGCCCTGGGACTTCTTCTAACCCTTAAAGGACTTTTTTTTTTTTTTTTTTTTTAATGTATTTTGGTTCTGGAAACTCTGCCCCTTGTGCCCCTGCGGGCCTGAGTGACTCCTTGGTGTGATGGGTCAATTCTGGTCTGAGGGGGACCATTCCTAGTGTGAGGGGTCACTCCTGGTGTTTGGGGGTCATTCCTGGCATGGGGAGGGGGTCAATACTGGCCTGAGAGGGAACCACTCCTGGCCTCAGGATCACTGTTGGCATGAGGAGGAGTCACTCCTGGTATGACAAGGGGGTCACTGCTGGCTTGGGAGGGGGTCATTCCTGGCTGGGGGTCACTGCTGGCTTGGGAGGGTCACTGCTGGCTTGGGAGGGTCACTGCTGGCTTGGGGGGGTCACTCCTGGCTGGGGGGTCACTGCTGGCTGGGGGAGGGTCACTGCTGGCTGGGGGAGGGTCACTGCTGGCTGGGGGGTCACTCCTGGCTGGGGGGGTCACTGCTGGCTTGGGGGTCACTCCTGGCTGGAGGGGGTCACTCCTGATGACCGTGCGTCCAGCTGGGTCATGGCTGCGAGCGGCCAGCCCGCGGGGTGCGGGGCTCCCCGAGAAGGGAGACGCCCCGGGGAGGTCCGGCTGCGGCCAGGGCGGCCGCATCCTCCCAGGCCCGCGACCCGCGAGGCCCTGCGGACACCGCAAGGACACGGCAGCGCCGCGCGGCCTGAGGAAACGGTCCTGCCGAGCCGTTTCGGCCGTTGTGGAGCCCCAGGCCCCTGTGTCTTCTCGGGGCGCCCCGGCCACTGTCGTCCCTCCCCAGTGTCCAGCTCCCGGCCATTCGGCCCTGGCGGACTCGATCTGCCGTCACACGACGCGGAAACGCTCACAAACGCGGCGAGCATGCGCAGTCACGGACCAAAACAACTTGCCCTATCTCTCCTCCTTCTACCCCGCCTTTCTCCAGCCTCAGTCACAAGCCCGCCTCGCCCCTCACGCGCAGGCCTCCCCATTGGTTGACGTGACCGCACGTCAGAGGAGACGACGGGTTGGGCCAATGGGCGCGTGAGTGGGTGTGGCCGAGGGCGGGGAGGCGAGGCGCACCGGCGCGCGTTCATTGGTCGGCTGGGTGAGAGGGGAGGAGCCGCCGGCTCCGGGACCCGCCGCTGCCGCCGCGATGCTGCTGAGCCGCCTGAGCCGCTTGCTGAAGCCGGCATTGCTGTGCGGTGCCCTGGCCGCTCCCGGGCTGGCTGGCACCATGGTGAGCGGGCGGCGGCGGGCCGTTGGGGACCGGGGCTGGTGGGCGGACGCGCGAGGCCTGCTGCTCCCTGGCCGTGGGGGGACCCCCTTCGGACCGGGGCGGCTGGAAGGGGACAGTGTCCGGCTGGGACCCCTGGACATGGGGCGCTGGGGAGGGCGGCCGAGCTGGGCCGCTCCTTCCTCCTCCTCCTCCTCCTCTTCCCCGCCGCTCGAGGCCGGCGCGCAGCGGCGTCACAGTGCACGGCCGGGCGCCCGGGGCGACCACGGCCCGCTTTGTCCTCCTCCTCCCCTGGGCCCCGCGGGGTCGGGCGGCACTGAAGCGGGCCATGGGCCGCGCAGCCGCCGGCTCCCCGGGGCGCTGCAGGCAGCGGGGCCGGGGCCGCCCGAGCGGGGGAACCACCACCACCACCACCACCACCGCCCGGCGCCCGGGCCCAGCTCCCCGGAGGCAGCGGCGGCGGCGGCGGCAGCAGCAGCAGCAGCGGTCCAGGCGCCAGGCCCCCCGGAAGCGCAAGGTCCCTGCGTGCCGACGCCGGAGGCCACGTCCTCCGCCCCTGGACCCCTGCCCTTGCCCCTGCAGGCCCGGGCCGGCCGTGCCGCAGCCCGTGTGCTGCCACGACAAGTTCCTGGATCCGGTGTGCACAGAGGGTCCCCGTTCCCGCCGCCGCGGCCTCGCACCATGTTGGGGGTGGGGTCCTGAGTACGCTCCTGCTGGTTACCTCGAGCTGGTGACCTTCGCTCGCTGCCCCCAGGGGCCTCATTCCGGACTGGGGCGTGGGCTCCCCGCCCCCGCCGTGTCCCCTGATGTCCCCTGGTCACCGAATCCCCGATCTTGCGTTGCAGTGTGCGTCCCGTGATGACTGGCGCTGCGCGCGCTCCATGCACGAGTTCTCCGCCAAGGACATCGATGGGCGCATGGTGTGCCTGGACAAGTACCGGTGGGTCCCGGGGAGGATGGCGACTGGGGAGAAGCAGGGGGTGAAAGCAGGGCAGTCCCACTCCCCGACTTGGCTGACCTCCCCGCCCACCCACCCTCCTGCAGGGGCTTCGTGTGCATCGTCACCAACGTAGCCTCCCAATGAGGCAAGACAGAGGTGAACTACACTCAGCTGGTCGACCTGCACGCGCGATACGCTGAGTGTGGTTTGCGCATCCTGGCCTTCCCCTGCAACCAGTTTGGGAGGCAGGTAGGCGTGCGCACTTGCGGGAGGCTAGGCTGCGGTGAGAGAAAAGGGGGTGATCTGGGGGGTGCGGAGCCCGCTCACCTCCCACACCCCTGGCCGCCCCCTCCCCTCCCCTCCAGGAGCCAGGGAGTAACGCCGAGATCAAAGAGTTCGCCGCCAGCTACAATGTCAAGTTTGATATGTACAGCAAGATCTGCGTGAATGGCGACGACGCGCACCCGCTGTGGAAGTGGATGAAAGTCCAGCCCAAGGGCAGGGGCATGCTGGGCAAGTGCGTGACCCGAGTGGGGTGCGGGGCGGGGGCGGGCGGGGTGCTGGGGCCCTCCCCACTCAGGCTGCCTTTGTTTTGTTTTTTGTGCAGCGCCATCAAGTGGAATTTCACCAAGGTAAGTGGAGGGCTCCAGGGTGCGCCTGGGCGGGCCAGTGCTTCCAGGCTCCTTCCCACACTGCCCCTTCCGCCTCCCGCCGCAGTTCCTGGTGGACAAAAATGGTTGCGTGGTGAAGCGGTACGGTCCCATGGAAGAGCCCCTGGTAGGTGCCCCGGGCAGGGCGGTGGTTCAGCGGGGTGGCCAGAGTAGCCGGGGCCATGACCGCCCTCTCCCTGGCCCTGTGCCCCCCACAGGTGATCGAGAAGGACCTGCCCTGCTATCTCTAGCTCCCACAAGTGCCCAGTCCTGCCCGAGCCCCCCGCCTGAGTCCCCCGGAGCCTTCCACCCGGCACCATGACGGCCTGCCTGCAAACCAGTCCGCTGGTGAGGCTGGCCCGAGAACTCGCGTGCAACCCTGCCGGAGGAAGGCCCCCCTGGACGCCGGACGCCGGCTCGGCGCCACCATCATAGCTGCCTTGTGGGAATAAAAGATAGAAAACTCGCCTCTCTGCCGGCCTGGTCATGGGTAAATCTGGGTCAGATGGTCGGATGATCCTGGCTAATCCCTCCTGGCCCTGGCAGGTGCCCAGGCAGATCCGCCTTAGCCCGTTAGCAGCAGCTGCTCTGGGCCTGCAGGGGTGGGGCTGGCAGGGTGCCCATGTAGGCGGGCAGGGCACTGCAGCGACCCCCGGGGGACAGATGAGGTACTGCCCAGCTGCAGGCCTCCAGCACAGGATGGCAGGTGCTGTGGGTGCGTCCTGGGGCCCGGGCCTGGGCAGGTGGTGGCCACTGCCCCAGCGCCCCAGGTCACGAAGGCGTGTAGGTAAAAGGCATGTTTATTTTAAAAAAGACCTTTACATATGTACACTTATTTTTTTATAAATACATAGAAACTAGGGTCCCCACCCCGACTCCAGGGGAGGCCGCCTGAGGGGACAGCAATAATTTAGGGAGCAGGGGGGATTGCATATATTACGGGGTCTGCCCCAAGGACCCCAGCCACGCCGAGGGGCGAGCACCTGGGGCTTCCTGAGTTTGCAGCTCCCGCAGCCGCGCCTCACGGGTCCCGGGGTGCGGGGCGGGAAGGCACTGCAGCGGCAGTGGGGCTGCCCGCGAGGCCGCCTAAGAGCTGGGGAAGGGTGGGCTGAACTGGATGACGCTCTGGCGCTCCGGGGGTCCTGGGGGCGGTGCTGGCGTGGGGTGCAGTGAGCGCAGCATGTCCTCCAGCACCTCCTTGAAGTTGATGTCGCAGCCCTGGGGTGTGAGCCCCACGGGGTCGGCGCCGGGCACACACTCCAGCGGCGGGAAGGTGAAGCGAGGCGGCGGCAATGGCAGGGGTGGCGGTGGGCAGGGCTCGGCCGGCGGGCTGTAGGTGAGGTCCAGCACCTCGCCAGGGCCACAGGGCAGCTCAAGCGGCCCCCGGGCACGTGCCATCCTGCGCTTCACGTCGGCGTCCATGCGCTGCAGTTCCTGCAGGACGCGCCGCACACAGCCCTCTGGGATCTTGATGCCTGTTGGGGCAGGAGTGGCCATCAGGCGTCCTCAGGGAGTGGAATGGGGTGCCCCAGGCCAGGCAGCCCTGCCGCCACCTCTGGGCACTCACCCACTTGCTTCTTCTGGTCCTTGGTGCGGAGACGCACAATCTGCAGATAGCTGCTGCTGCTGACGTCAGCAATGACAGCAGCCACGCGGCCCCACACACGCAGCAGTGCCCCGCACAGCACGTAGTGGTGGCGCAGCCGCAGGCCCAGCACACACTCCTTGCCCTCCTGCACTGGCCGGCAGCGCTGGTTCCTGGCACAGGGATAAGGTTCTGTTCAGCGTGCCCCCCGCTGCCTCCCCACACCCCCGGGGCAGCCACCCCATGTCCCCCCTGCCGCTCACCAGACCATGTGGCTGCAATGGGTCAGCGAGAAGGCAAAGCCGCTCTCCCAGGGCTCCCGGGCTTCCTCTGCAGGGACCTGCAGGAATGCGCCAGGGGAATAGCATGAGGCACAGCGCAGGCATGGCCCACAGGTGTGTGCCTACAGCATGCGCCCCCCACCTTCACCCCGTGCCCTACCCGGTGGAACTTGCGGCAGAGACTGTCCAAGGTCTCCAGTTGGCTCTGGCGACCAATGTTGGGCTTGTAGATGGTGAAGTGCTTGCCACGGCTCTGCTCGGCCAGCAGGCAGCTGGGCTGGCTCCCTCGAACCTGTAGAGGGCATGGGGTGGTAAGGCGGGGACCTGCCCTCCAGGAGGGCCCCTGTGTGCCCGCGGTGGGGGAGAGGGGGTGGTCACCTTGTAGGACAGGTAGAAGCCGTCATAGGGACCCGTGAGCTCCAGGGACTTGGCCAGCGCGGCCTCCCACTTCAGGCCGCGGTCCACGCTGATCTGCCGGGCACAGGCAGGTCAGCTGGGGTGGTGCGCATGGGCACAGGCAGGGAGGGGCTGGGCGCTCCTTCTCACCTTGTACAAGACTACCTGGCCATCCTGCGGGTGCCCAGGGGCCAGGAATACCTGCTGACTCTCCTCATAGATCTCCTCAATGCCGGGGGCCAGGTCTGAGGGTGTGGGGGGGAGGGGGAGGGCATCAGGGGCCTTGAACCCTCAGCTCCAGTCAGGCCCAACCCCAAGTGCATGAGGGGACCTGAGTCAGCCCCCCTGGCCATCATCTGTGACTCTGTTGGTCATAGGCAGGGTGCCCATGGCAGCCAGTGGGGACCAGGCTAAACCTGGGGACCCTTGCTTCTCGGTGGTGGCCATCACCTGGGGTCCCTCTGAGTAGGTTACTGGTGCTTCAAATAGCCCAGCTCTCTACCCCCTGCAGGCACTCATGTGGCACATGTGGGCAGGGCATGGGGGATGGCAACTGGTTATTTGGGGCACATGTGAGGGGGGCCGGGAAACAGGCTGTCGTCGGGGGGTCTGTGTGAGGGGGCCCGGGGTACTGGCTGTCATGGGTCATGGGGGGTCAGTGTGAGGGGGGCCAGGGAACTGGCAGTCTTGGGGGGAATTGGCTGCAGTGGTTCTTAGGGTGGCATCCCCCCAGCCGGGCTCGGCTGGCATTGCTCACCCAGGATGCCCATGTCGTACTTCCCCTCCTTCTTGTCGGCAGCGATGAGGTGGTCGAAGGTGTCGGAGAAGTACTGGAAGAGCGCGTTCTGCTTGTGCACCTCCAGGCCCAGGATGCGGTTCAGGAACTTGGGGATGGAGCAGTCTGGGGGTGGGGTGGGACTGAGCTTCAGCCCAGGCCTGCCCACAGTCCTGCCTCATGTGGGTGGGTCTTCAACCCAGCCCTGCCTCCTTGGGGTGAAGTTTTAACCCAGCTCCCGCCTCCTGGGGGCAGAACTTCAGGCCAACCCAGGCCAGCCTCCTGGGGAGCAGATCTCACCTCTGTCCACATCCAGGCATCCTGAGCGCAGCTCCCGCCCACCGATGCCGACAGACAGCAGGCCCTGCTTCATGTCTGCGGTGGGGCGAGGGGGGTGTCACATTGGGTCCCGCCAGTCTGGGCAGGCCACCTGCCCTCTCCTGCAGCAATCCAGGGCCACCCCCTGCTGTCACAGGACAGAACACAGCACCCCAGCTCACCCCTGAAGAAAGCGGCATCCCCTCCCGGGTAGCTCTGGGGTAAGGGCACTTTGTTGTCCGTCTGGTTCAGGATGGTGGTGAGGACACAGCTGAGGGCCCGGGCTCCATACTGGGTGGGGAGAGCAAGCCAGGTGAGATCTCCTCAGCCCTGAGGTCAGAGCCCCCACCCTGGGGTCAGAGCCCCCAGCCCTGTCTGCCGGGTACCTTGTTCTCGAAGTTGTACTTGCTCAGGTCGCGGGACTCGGTGGCACGGCGGTCCCCATGGGTCAGGGCGCCCTATGGGTAGGTGGCGATGTCTCAGATTGCCTGGGTTCTCCCTGGCTCCCGCCTCCCTCGGCCTCAGCAGCCCTCTGGCCCTGCTCACCAGACTCTCCAGCCTCTTGGCCACGATGGAGGCGAACCTGCGCTCACCAGCCAGCTCTGAGATGAGGAAGATGTACTCGGGCGCCGAGACCTGGTTGGACCTGTGAGTGCGGCCTGGAGGCGGAGTGTGTGTCAGAGACAGGGAGCCTGGGAGGGCAGCCTGGTGGAGGGACAGGCTGGGGAGGGCGAACTCACCAAACTGCTGGATGGCACGGTCAGCACTCCAGGGCAGCTCCAGAGTCATGTGCACGCGGCGGCGCTGGTTCAGGACCCGGCGGTCGGCTTGGAGGGAGACACCCGAGCTGGACGCTTCTGAGATGATGGCCACCAGCTGGGGCAGCGACCGGTCAGCAGGACAGGCCTGTCTACCGAGCCCCTCCGCGCCCAGCTCAGCACCCAGCCCTGGACCACTAGGGAGTGATGGAACAGAGGGAGGCCTCCTACACACACCTGTGCGCCCCTTCCCGCCCCACTCGGGCCCCCAAGGCCCCCACCTTCTCGCCACTCATGAAGCGCTGCTTCTCTCGGAGGTTCACGTGGTCGATGGACAGGCCCTGCTCCGCCCGCGACTCGAAGGCCACCGTCCCGTCGGGCCGGGACACCACACGGCCCTTCCTGCCGGTCATCTGTGGCCAGAAAGGGCAGCCAGGGTTACGGGCTGTCAGTGTGCCTGGCCAGCCAGGCGCCTTACCCATAAAATCGGCTTCTCTCTGATTAGGGCAAGACTGTGCTTGGCACAGGCAGGGACCCAGGGCAGCCAGCAGGGGGATGCCGCACCCACCTCAGCCACTCGCTCAGGCCCCCCGAGCCGGTCGATAAGCTCATCCAGTGTGTTGACCGGCAGCTCCCGACCCAGAGCCCGCACTTTGGCCAGCAGGTCCTGTTTCAGCCGCTCCACTCGCTCCAGGACACCGGGGCCTTGGGCATCTCTCTGCAAGGAGTACAGGGGACCTGCGGGGACAGGGTCAGGTGGCTGTTAGGCACAGTGAGGTTTGGGGTGAGGGTGGCCAGGGCTGGGGTCCTTCCCCTGAGGCCCCACCTCGCTCATCAGCAGCTGGCCCGGTGGCATCCACTATCACCACATCGTCGTCCAACAGGGACTCGGGAGAGGAGTTGAAGTCGCTGTCCAGGCCGCCGTCTGACTCGGTGCTGCTATCATCGCTGATGCGAATCACGCTGGACACCTCCAGCGCTGGCCGGGCAGCCTTGGCCCCACGGCCCCGCGGCCGCCCTGTGAGGCAAGGCCAGGGCTTGTCTCTCACTGCCAGAGCCCCCTGTGGGGAGACGCCCTGGCCTGCAGACTTCCCAGCTCAGGATCCAGAGCCCACAAGAGCCCACAAGTGCCCCAGGACCCAGAGGAAGGGACAACAAGATTGTCCATGCTCATGCCCTGGCCCAGGCAGGTGCCGGCCAGAGGAGGGAGTGCCCTAGGGGGACCTGCTCCAGGGGCCGAGGACACATTGTCCCCAAGGGCCTATGGATGCTGGCTGGCCCTGTGCTCCTCCACAGGGAAGGGCTCACACTGCATGGGTGTGGGGCTGGGTGTGACCCCATGGGCCGGGGGTG